TAAGTGAAATAAAGAACAGTAGCATATTGACAAACGATGTGGTCGTCAAGTAGTTGTTAAGGCGTTGGTCTCTTCAGTCCAAAGGTTTCAAGTATTAGATTAGCGTATCTTATATTCGACGAACCGGCTAGACCAGCTAGTATTTCGACTTTTTATACAACAACGTCTTGAAATAAATAGTCAATGTCTGTTTAACTGGATATTTGCTTCATTTGCGATTTCAGATGTAATGCTTGTTGCCTCATGTCATGATCATACGAGTTATATATACATTTAATCGAGTTCATATATTAGAGACAGGAAATTCATCGAAGACGGGAAACTCGTCTGATGTGAATTACAGACGGGTTTCTGTCCGAATTTTCCCGTATAAATAAAGAGTCGGGTAAGTTGAACAGGAATCCCGTGTGGAAGAGAAACTCGTCTTCAATTCGCAATTAGATGGATAAATCAGACTGAGTTTCAGAAATATTAGCACGGTCAAGGACGGAACAAGGCTAAGAAAAATAAACACAATTATTATCGTAATGATTAGGCATTACCCGAACCAAGCATCACAGGTATAAATTTTCCAGATCCCAATTCACATTCAGACCGGTTTTTACGGCTATCAACTTTCCAGTCTCAGTAACATGAGTATTCGGCTTTTCTTAATTCTTGTACTTTACTTTGAATCTACTTCATTAAAAATACCAAACAATCGCACCGTAACCATTAGCTTCACTTGGCTGCATATAACAACTAACTTATGGAAACAATAGTGCTTAAGGCACTTAATATATACCTGTATGTGATATTTTAGCGAGAACACAAATGGCTACAATTAGGTTATAAGCTACGCCTAAGATACAATTGTGTGCGTGTTTTAGACAAGAAAATAAATCATGAACAATAAAAAGAACTCTTTTAAATTGCTATTTCATTTGAGATCTTACCCATAAGGTATTCAGTAATATAAAAAAGTACAACCATTCATCGCAAAATCGTGCGGTCTACTGGTAAAGGCATTGCTCTCCGAGTTTAAGGGCGAAGGTTCGAGTCCCAGATGGGAATGTTTTTTTCTTCTATTTCATTCAAGATCCTTCCAAAAAGGATTAAGTAAAATAAAAAACTCTATGCTTGCACCACAAGAACTGGTGGTGTAGTGGTGAAGACGATTATCTGCCACGTATACAGTCGATGGTTCAAGCCCTGGATAAACCGAAAAAGAACAAGGTAATAAAGCGAGAATTTGTGAGTGTGAGAGGAGTAGAACGAGAGGGCGAATATGCCCTCGCCTTGTGCGAGGAGTAAACTGAGGGGGGTTGTCTTCTGCTGAACGGCTATGGTTATTTAATTTACTATATCCTTTTAAGGAAGTTCGTTATGCAAAATGGTTATGGAAGGATTCGAACCACTGATTCAGCGCTTGGTAGACCATTGTCTTCGCCACTCGACAACAAGATCTCGTGCGGATAGGCTATGGTTACTTAATTTACTTTATCCTTTTCACGAAGTTCATGATGAAAAAGGGTTATGGAAGGATTCGAACCACTGATTCAACGCTTGGTAGACCATTGTCTCCACCACTAGACTACAAGATCTTGTGCTGAAAGGCTACAGTTATTTAATGTACTTTATCCTTTTCACGAAGTTCATAATGAAAAACGGTTATGGTAGGATTCGAACCATCGATTTACCACTTGGTAGTCCATTGTGTTAGCCACTAGACTACAAGATCTTCCGCTGAAAGCCTGTGGTTATTTAATTTACTTAATCCTTTTGACGACGTTCATAATGAAAAACGATTATTGTAGGATTCGAACCATCGATTTACCACTTGGTAGTCCATTCTGTTAGCCACTAGACTACAAGATCTTCCGCTGAAAGGAGGTGGTTATTTAATTTACTTTTGACGAAGTTAATGAAAAACATGTTGTAAGATTCGAACCATCGATATACCACTTGGGAGATCATTTTCTTCCACTAGACTGCAAGATCTTGTGCTAAACGGCTATGGTGGTTTAATTTACTTAATGCTTTTCACGAAGTTCATAATGAAAAACAGTTAAGGTAGGATTCGAACCTTCGATTACCACTTGGGAGGCCATTGTCCTCGCAACTGGACTACAGGATATTTAACTGAACGGCTACGGTTATTTAATTTACTTAAACCTTTTCACGAAGTTCATAATGAAAAACGGTTATGGTAGGATTCGAACAATCGATTTACCACTTGGGAGACCATTGTCTTCGCAACTAGACTACAAGATCTTGTGCTGAACGGCAATGGTTTTTTAATTTACTTTATCTTTTTCACGAAGTTCATATAATAGAATACGATTATGGTAGTATTCGAACCATGGATTTACCACTTGGGAGACCATTGTCCTCGCCACTAGACTACAAGATCTTGTGCTGAACTTTTATGCTTAACGTTATTTAATTTACTTTATCCTTTTCACGACGTTTTCGAACCATTACAATGAAAAACATTATGCAAGCATAATTTAATCCTTCCGCTTATAATTAAGACATGCGTCTTCTCGAAACAGGACAAGAGAGCGAGAATCGATAAATGTGTCACACAGTGGATGCGACTACAAACGCCGAAGGCTTAGTGTATATGACATTGATCTATGCGGTGATTGTGGTATTATCATTCGTTCACTGCGACTGCGCGGGGTTTCTTTCTTCTAAATTCGACTTTTTTATCGTTTTCCAATAGCGTTTAATAACCGTAAAGTGTCCTTTTTCACTCACTGCATTTACTATAAGCTAAAACAGATTGATTTAGTTAAGAAATGATGTGAATAAAGAACAGTCTTTATTCTTGATTTAATGCAATAGTACACACATCACAAAGGTTGATAATTAAAGTAAATATATTTACTTTTTGTACTCATATACCCCTATATTCACCCTACCTATCCCCTGATTTCCCGAAATATTAACTTCGATTTCCAAAGATTAACCGAGTATAAACCTCCCACGGGCAACATGCCTACCATTTTTTTTCTTTTACCGCCACGAGAACGTATCATGTTATATTAATAACGAAAATTTCCGTCGAAAAAGAGATTCGAACTTTCGACAGTCGACACATGGGCCCAACATCTTGACCACCAGACTACAAGATCTTCTGCTGAATGGTTATGGTTATTTAATTTGCTTTATCCTTTTCACGAAGTTCATAATGAAAAACGGTTATGGTAGGATTCGAGCCATCGAATTACCACTTGGGAGAACATTGTCTTCGCCACTAGACAGCAAGAACCTACGCTGAAAGACTATGGTTATTTAATTTACTTTATCCTTTTTACGAAGTTCATAATGAAAAACTGCTATGGTAGGATTTGAACAATCGATTTACCACGTGGGAGGACCATTGTCTTCGCCGCTAGACTACTAGATATTGTGCTGAAAGCCTATTCTTATTTAATTTACTTTATTCTTTTCACAAAGTTCATAATAAAAAGACTGTTATGGTAGGATTTGAACCATCGATTTACCATTTGGGAGACCATCGTCTTCGCAACTAGACTACAAGAACTTGTGCTGAACGGCTATGGTTATTTAATTTACTTTATCCTTTTCACAAAGTTCATAAAAAACAAAGATGATAGGATTTGAATAATCGATATATCACTTGGGAGACCATTGTCTTCGTTATTAGACTACAAGATTTGATTTACTTTATCCTTTTCTCGGGAGCATAGAGACAAACGGACATACTTGGATTCGGACCCCCAGAGTGAGACATGGGAGAGCATTACCTTCGCCATTAGACCAGGAGAACTTCTGGCGATTTACTACACTATTTTATTTTACTCAACCTTTTTTCAAATATTTTACATAAATGTATACAAGTTTACACCCAATGACATGACTTTAGTCCTTCGCCTCATGAATGCGTTACTTGCCAGTCTAGATTTCATTTTATTGCGGTTGTTGTGGTTACTCCTATGAATTCTGGTTGGTGCTAAACTAGTATTTTTAATGTTAAGGCCTTGGCATGATTGTTCGGTTCATCGGCTGATACGACAGGTGGACAGGCCGCCGTTTTCGACCGTTATATAAGAAGAAATAAACATGTAAATTCATCTTGCATACTCAAGATTTAAGATAACAATGACTTTCGAATAAAATCGAAATGTCACCATGCAACATATCTGTGCATCATTGCACTAATATGAAATTTAAAATAATCCAATTGTTAGGGTTACTATCAGGTGCGTTTTATTACACAAATATTGCTAGCGGCAACAGTGGGGATCTAGGGGTGTGCACAATAAATTACTACGGCTTAAAAACGGAATCGCATTGGTAGATTTTAATGTAAAAGTATTCTTTTCAAATCTATAACCAATAGCGTTGTTATTAAGGTGTTTTGAATTTAAATGAAGCTGTGTAATTTATTCTGCACACCCCTAGATCCCCTACTGAGCAGCAAGCCAGGGCTTCTTGGAAATTTTTTTGAAGGAATCGGAATGGGTGGATTCCAAAATGTTTTTACTCTATTCTTTCTAATAAAGTTTAGGCTATATCTTTCAGAAAGTCTTACGAATGTTAGCCGTGCAAAAAGGCTAAGTCGGGCACGTGCCCCAGTGCCACCTGGTTATAGGCGAAGGTGATTATATGCATGGAAATTCTCCATGCATTCACTTTAGTTAAGTTTCCTGGAGAGCAGTTTATGAATAGGACTGCTGTACTGCTTACTTATTCTTCGTTAATAGTTATTGGGAAAGATTTATTAAATTAAATCAAAGGTAATTGTAGAAAATTCGGGCCTTTTAGGCGATAATTACGGTTTTCAAAATGGTGACGAGTAGTTTCTGTCTGTGAGAGATATGAAAAACAATGAATTTTATGCTTCGCGATCTTGTTCTTCACAAAAGACCATGCTTAAAACATCTCAAAACTCGATTTCGAATATTAATTTCCGCTTATATATATCAGCTTATTTTACAACACTGTTAACACGAGTTCTAAAAATGTGTTTTCTAAAGTTATCTTTTTAGAACACTCGTCTGATGAACTCACGTTATTAGCTGGATCTATTTACTATGTATAACTGCATCCTAATTATTTTATTTCAATTTTCAGTTTCGTCCCAGGAAGCACTCACTCAGTGTCACTACCTCTAACGTTAAAGTTGTAAATCTTCTTGCATAACTTCCAACCTTCGTTTCGTAATGGCCCATTGGCCCAGAAAAAGATAATTGAATTAAACGTAGAGTTCATGGATATTAATGTGAGTGTCCAGACTTTAGCATGAGCCACACCATCAACCGCCTTGACCCTGCCGCTAAACATGACTAAAACTACTGCGTTTGGTAGATTTAAAAGAACTGTAGTAAAGACGACAATTACGTACATTTTTGCAAGTTGTATATCGTGAAACAAAGAGACTGTTTTTTCGGGTCTGGTGGATTCTTCTGATTCAAACGTGTGTGTTGTTGAGCGACGCAACGGCGAATTTCTACTTTTCTTAGCCACTCGATACACTGATACGTATATGAAGAAAACGCCCCCCAGAGCGAGTACTGTTATGGCCGTGACAAAAAACTGAATGTCCATTCCAACTATGGGGGCGATTGCTGTTCCTATGCTAATGAGCCAGGAAATAGCGGAGAGAATGAAACATCTCTTTTTAGTCACGTGCTTCATATGAAAGAAAGGTTGACATATTGATAGGTACCTCTCGATATTCATGGCAACAAATGTAAGATAAGATATCCCCGATAACATAACCGCCGAAGTTTGGTAAATCATTTTGTAAACGCATTTCGAATTGTTCATCATCTCAGTTATCGAATTCAGCATATACAGTGGGTGAACAATAACGGTAACGCATATGTCGTTACAGGATAAAAGCATTATCATAAAGTAAGACACTTTGTTACGTAGTCTCCGAGTTTTCCAGAAAACTGCCACGACCAAAGCGTTCAGAAATGTTCCAAGAATTGCTAGAATGGCGTTCACCAGGACTCCCAATGCGCTGTTTGCGATATACGCGGTCGTTGGCCTATTCACGATATAAGTCCTAAAGCAAATCTCAGTTGCCTGCCCACTGCTAGAGATATTGAGTTCTGTCGTAGAGTTTTGATCCATCGTGTTCATTTGGAGGTTCTCTCGATCTGTGGATTTCACAAGAGTATATGTTATAGTGACCTTATAGTTTATCACAGCTTATTGAAGCGTTCAAAGTTGTGATTATATCAAGATTGTCTTAAGTCTATGTAATAATACGACTCTTCGCCTGTCTACGGGCGATGTAGTTTTGATTTAGCCGGAAGTTAGCAATTAAAGGCTCATTCAGCTATGACGCAGTGAGTTATGTTTCGAATATAACCAGGAGCAGGGTGGCAGCGTCTTCGAACAACTTCGCTCCGAATGTGGTATAACAACTGCCTATATATAAAATAGACAAAAACACTTCTCGACGTTTCGATTAACTAGCATTAATTAGCGGGGCAGATTAATTAAGGTCGAAACGTCGAGAAGTATTTTTGTTTACTTTAGCTTTTCTTGTATTTCTGTATTTTAATGAAAGCCCAAACCTATTATACCTATTATATGGACTTGTAGTGAAGTGAATGAGACCCTTCCGGTAATCACGTCAGAACTTCACCGTTTCCAGTTTAGAACCACCTTATTAAATGAAACGGTTTTACTTTTACTTTCAAAAAAGTTTTACTTTCACGAGCTATTTTGGAATTCGTTATAATCGGTCACACCTATAAGCGTGACATACGGAAAATATCCGCACTTGCAATGTTTTTGTGTACAACCGAACCCTGCATGTATTGGGCGAAATGCATGTGTTCGAGTCTCACGCCCTCGGTATATTCCTCCATGTCACCTAACCTTCATTGGAATTTACATTCGAAGAGTCCTTCGTTTTGAGGAAGAAAGCAATCGAACCGTATATTGGTTACTTGCATGTAAGTAACGTCATATTTCATATATTATTGCCGTCCGCTATATCTAACCTCGTACGAGGTTGCGCTGTGTCTTGGACGGCGTGCAACGTTTGTCTGCGAATTGTTGAAAATTACGGAAAATATAGCCACGCAAAGTTCACGAATTTTGTATACTTTTGTATTACGACCGGAAGTGTGTAACTAATTTAATTTGCCAACTTCGCATGGCTATATTTTCCGTAATTTACAACAATTCGCAGCCAAACTTTGGATTTGCACTATAATTTAAGTAAGATCTTTCTGACTGCGATGATTTATTTTCTTCTAGTTTATTATACTTCGATCAAAAATTAGCCTAAGCAAAAGTCGTCCATTGTAACAATGCCGTATGCGCGTACAACCTAATTTCCGGTGTTAAAGGTTGGTATAAAAGCGCAAAGCCTGTTAACAATAAGAAACTAAAACATGGCGAACTTTAGAATATACAACCAAAGGCGTTTAGAACTAGGTTGGCTATGATTCAAATCCTACAAGCACGCGTCGCACATTCTTCATATATTCATTCAGCTACACCAAGAACTGACTTCTTTATGTTTTGATCCATGGTCTTGGCATATATATTATTGTTTCAGGAAATACAACGGCAACCGCAACGCCCGCATTTATTTAATTTGTTGATCCGCTACGTTAAGGCCCACGCAGACAGGACGCGAATTGGAAACGCGGCGCAAATTTTCAACGTTTTTTATTTTTCAAAATCAAATAAATTTTAACCTATCATAATATTCTTGTATAATAACATAGCAATAATACATTTTGACTGACTTCCAGAACTTAATTTATATTCTTCAAAAGTGCAAAGTAAATGGTCAGCTCTCAAGCTCTACCTCGTTAACCTGTGGAGTCCCTCAGGGTAGTAGTTTGGGGCCATTGCTATTCCTTATCTATATTAACGACCTACCAAATTGCTTGAATGTATCTAAGCCCAGAATGTTTGCAGACGATACGAGTATAAGTTATTCCGCTTATTCATTGGACAAAATGCAATTTGTTATTAACCGTGAATTAGAAAATCTGAATAACTGGCTTACAGCTAATAAGCTTAGTTTGAATATTGTTAAAACGGAATTCATGATAATAGGATCGCGGGAAAGAATTAATACTACCGATAACGATATATCTATTTCCATTAACAATCGTGAAATAAACAGGGTCAATGTTTCCAAATCTCTAGGTATGTATATTGATAGTCACCTCTCGTGGTCAGAGCATATTGACAAAATATCCAAAAAGGTTTCTTCGGCTATTGGAGCGTTAAAGCGCGTAAGACCCTTTATATCGCGCAAAAGCGGCAGTTCAGCTTTATTTCGCTTTAATACAACCACATTTTGACTACTGCTGCTCGGTTTGGAATGAATTAGGGGACACACTTGCAAAAAATTACAAAAATTACAAAACCGAGCAGTTCGAATCATAACGAGGTCAAGTCATGATGCCAACGCTTGTGCTCTCTTAAATCACTTGCAATTAGATAATCTCTTTATACGACGTAAAAAATTGAAGTCTCAGTTGATGTTTAAAATGTTAAAAGGAAATATGCCTCCATATTTACAAACCTTGTTTTCTATTCGAAATTCTGAGTATGACTTTAGAAATAATCAATTTAAATTAAATTTACTAAAACCACGAACGAACTATACCTAAAACGTAGCTTATATTCGCGTCAGGTTGCCGCATCGTGTCCGATCTGTGCATGTTGGCCTTAATAATTTATAAAGGTTTTAGGAGCACATAAATTAAATTCCGAAAGCAAAATTTGGAATCTATGGACGCCAGAGCAGTCAAAATGTATTATCGTTAAGTAATCTACAACAATGTAATGATAGTTTTTGACTTTGAAAAATTAAAAACCTTGAAAATAAAGTCGCTTCGCGCGAAAAATATCGCTCATGGAAAACCGGCTTTAAGGCGGATTTCCACTTACAGCGAAATCGTTCGCTAGCGAAATATTTGCATATTTTCTTTTGAATTGAGAACAGTCAAGTCGAACTAATTTATTTATGCTGTTAAAATTCAAAAGAAAACATGCAAATATTTCGCTGGCGAACGATTTCGCTGTAAGTGGAAATCGGCCTTTATTCGTACTTTATTTCGCGCGACTTTAATTTCACGCTTTTGCCGAAGCCACATTCGCAATTTTTGATGGACGAAAAAAGGGCAATAAACTTCGCGAAATATTTCAGAAAAGCGTTAAAAATTTAAACTATACATCTTCTCAGTTAAGCAATTCCACAACAACAGAGTCTCGCACACTCCGTGGTTATTTAATAACCTAATAATAAAAGGCTAATCCTTTTCTCGAAAGTCATAATGAAAAGAGGTTATGCTTAGATTCGAACCATCGACCTATACCGCTTGGGAAAACATGCATCGCCTCCACCAATACACTACGACATCTCCTGCTGAACGGCGATGATTATTTTTTATTATTTATATTATTATTATTTAAAAAGTTCGCATTTAAAGTTGTAAGAAATACTAAATTACAATGCGAACTAACAATTAAAAATGGCGTGCATAGACCTCGACATAGACTACGCTTACACTTATACTATGCACTACTTTAGAGATAGCTAAAAATGATTGTATTTGTTAATTCCATATTCAATTCCACTATTTCTAAATCTTTGAGCTCTACAGTTAAAATGATAAAATTTATCGCCATTCTGTCTTGTTATTCTTGAGTGAACTTTAGGTGCTATGCATTTTATGTTCATGATTACTCAACGATGTGATAAGATTTACACAAAAGTCATCGGTCATCCCTTCGACTTTCCAGGGTATTAAGATTACACTCCTCCAAAGCCTCCTCATACGACAGTCCTGGAAGGATTATTCGAAGAGCCAAATTATTAAATGCACTGTATTCAAGTGTTGATTTTTACATTTGCATCACTCTTTAGATTAACACTTCAAGATGGTGCATGTAATTCACTTTCCCTTTTTCCTCAAGGCCATCAGAGAAAAACATTTATGCTTAGATTAAAAGCATAAACTTACCGACGGCATGGGAGACCGTTATCTTCCCAACTACACCACGAGATATTTTGCTGAACGGCGATTACTTTGTGTATTCAGAATCAGTTTAAGCTTCGCAAAGGATTAACAAAGATTTATTCTTTGACGTGAGAGAGATTCCAATTTCGAATGTGATAATGCATGATCATAAAACATCCCTGGGAAAATTATTCTGAGTGCACGTTTTCTGTATATTCTCGATGAGATCGGACTGGTTCACCGTCAGATTCGACCAAGCAGGTGCGGCGTATTAAACGAGCAATAGATTTCCACCTGTTGATCTTATGAACGAACAATGCATTTCCACCATGTCCGATTAACGAAGACAAGCCCATCGTCAAATAGAGGCAGAACGCTAGGTGAACAACGGGGAATGATTTCAACCGTAGCGTCATCCACTTAATTTGTCTTTGCTAGTTTTTTATCAGCGGGTTTTTGGAGGATCTAGATTTAGATGTGGAGGATCTTGGAGGATCTAGATTGAGATCTGTTCTAAGATTGGATTCTAAGATCTAGATTTATTAACGATAGCATTATGATCACTTGAATCTATTGGAGACACTGGACTGAGACCCTGTCCACACGTATCCGGATATTTTTGAAAACGAAGGATTTTTTCTCCGTTTTTAAAAAAATTCGCGTCCACACGAAGCGTATTCGAATCGTATTTGCCCGTCCACACGTAAACGCTAAAACGAAGGAAATTTGATATCGCCATGCATGGAGTATGCGCATTTCTAAGTAACATGAGCGCTTTCAAACGATCGCAGATAAAAACTATGTTAACTTGACGGAATTTAAAAAATTCCGCGTGCTTGCTTTGGGTTCGCTTTATGCTCGCTCTTTCTTAAACTAAAATGACTATGCTCGCTCTTTCTTGAATTAAAATGACTAAATGACCAAATCTTCGTGGTCTAGCTGGTGAGACGGGAACATAGGCGTACGGGCCTAGAAATTTTGGGGGGGGCGGGGATATTCTGCCCGACGAGCGCCGAGACCGAGAAAAACAAGCATAGTCCAGAGGTCTGCTCCCCCGGTATTTTGGAACGTATAAACGCTGAAATACCATTTTCTGCTTGGGTACTATGACGAAACTTTAACAGCCTTCACATTATTTAGGCAATTTGATAAGTTGATTTCCACTCATAGCGAAGATTCGTTTTGCCGAGTTTAGGCAGCGGCGTAGTCAGTGTTTTTTGTCACTGCATTTTCCGCGTGAGATTTTGCAGAATAAAGTCAGGATTCTGAGGTCTATCAACTTCGATTAAATCTCGGATTAAATTTTGCACAGTTGCTATAAAAGTTAGTAAAGTTACAAACTTACAGAACGATAGATTTGTTTCGTAACTACATGGTGAGTTTTGCTGCGCCAATCAGTTGTGGCACATAGGGTAGCCAGTGGCACAAACGGAAAGCATGTTTATTTCAATTATTTTCGTTTCCTTTAATTCGGGTTTACGTAAGCTGCAAGCATATATATTCTACCATATTCTACCATATTTGAGGATTCTTAAAAATTTTTATGTAGTTTGTAGACCAAATTCACTTAAGTATAAATTGCCCGACTCGTAAATACAAATTGCCTGACTAATTAATATTTCTGACTAAACTGGGGGTGCTGCCGCCCCCCCAGCCCCCCGCCTCGTACGCCTATGGACGGGAAGCATCTTCACCATAATTATTCATTCGCTTTTTTAAATACTCTCCGTATGTTGAGGTTTAGCATAGTTACATGAACCTTAATGCATGCTATTAGACTTGAAATTATGAAATAGGCAAAAATAAAACAGCCAAGCAATTTTAGTTCACCATATTGAAGAGATACAGAACACGCGCCGTTAATGGCCCGGTATAGACTGGATCCGATTATAAACGTCATCGAATTCGAAAACCCGTCCACACGTAAGCACGAAACCGGCGTTTTCGAAAAACTCCACTCAGGAGAGCGTTTTTGAAAACCTCCGTTCTTGGTTGGCGAAAACGCCGGTTACGTGTGGATGCAAGGCCAAAACCGGATAAAATACCATCCGATTTTAAAAATATCCGGATACGTGTGGACGGGGCCTGAATTGGCTGGATCGTCAGCGTGGAGTTTAAGCTTCGCGTTCATATGCCATACGAATAAAAACGTTCACGCTATTAAAGAATAAAGGGAAAAATCAATGCTGCTTTCAAACTGTAATACATCGTTTGGCGATAAGGAGAATAGTACGAAGCAAACGCGTGGAGAAATTCAAGACATTTTCGACTCTGATGTACAAACTCTTTATTATTAGCCGAATTCATGTTAGAGACGGGGAACTCTTAGACGGGAAGTTAAGATCACCCGTTAAGGTTTAACCTAAGCGTATATTTTGTTGATTTTACAATTTCATTTGCCTATTCATAGTAATTGGGTCGAACACATAAATTCCAGAATCTACTCATATAGAGACCACAATTACCAACAAATAATTATTTTGCATCGCTTCATTAGCGATCGACCTCCTGTTATGCCTGCCATACGCAGCTGTGTTTATATATACTTCCGCATACATACATATAACTTCCCACGACAAATAACTTGGCCAAACTGTTATTCCTTATTATGAAGTTTTCATCATTTCACATTCATTTTGTTGAACTGATAATAACGTTCTCTTTGCAAGGTACGTATTTTGCTTTTGCACAACCACTATTTGCATGTATAATGGAATTATACCGTTCGAGCATACGAATAGATCAAGATACGGCGTGTGGTATAATTCGTATATATTCAAGATTCAAGAACTCGAACATTAACTAACGTTCTAAATAGGATTGCAGGTAAAATAGAGAATGGTGGGAAATTGTCAGTAAAATATCACTGACATGAAAACAAAATCGTCAACATGAGGTTAAAGCTTCGCGTTCATATATGCTCATAAGATTTAAGCTTTGCGTTCTTATAAAAAAATCACAAAAAAATCACCTTATGAGAATATAAAGAGAAAAACTCAATGTTAAATGCTTCTTTAAAACTGCCTTTAACTTCCTTAAAATATATTGTATCATGTATGCGTATTTATTTGATTCTTGGATGTGTAACAATTATTTTCATTGGCAACATTTCCGTGAACTAAGAAAACATGTTAATAACCAAATCAAGTTCGCTAAATCTATTCCAAGATTCCGTGAATCGAAATAAAGAGAAGCTCTCCGACCTTTGGAAAACATTAAAATTAATGAACTAAGTAACATCTCGCAATAAATCGGGAACACACCCGTCGTGTATAATCTCTAAAGGCAAACCCGTCACTAATCAAAAATCTATAGTAACAATTTTAAACGAGTATATTTCACGACTATATATTGAGACACATTATCAAGCTTCAATAGACTTTAATAAGCTGGAACATGAACTAAAAAACGCTATTTCATTTCTTTACTTTAAGAACCTATTGAAAAGACGGTGATCGAATAATTTTATACAGTTTGGCTATAGCTCCCTTTCCTTCTTCATTCCTGTACCATTTTCCACTCAATATCTTTCTTCCACATCATATTCCAATTTCCTCATTGTATTGTATTATATATATAGTATTATATTGTATTGCGTTGTCACCTACAGCATTGTATTGTTTGGCATAGTATGGGAAGGTATCGTTGAGCATTGTATTGTATTGTGTTGTGTTGTATAATTATATGTGTTGCTGTAAATAATGCATGTTTAAATTTTGAAATCATGTAACATATAAATGGAGGAACCCACTGAAAAACACCTCGGTGACGTGGGTATCCTGGTTAAATATGAAGTTAATAATAATTATTATTATATACTACTTGTCAAAGTTTTGTTTTCGTAGCGTTTCATTGGTCGAGAGCGAAATGCGAGAGTGACGAAATTTTGATGTCGTCAGTGCGACCCCCTGCGGTGCCCATTTAATGCCCACTTCATTATTTTGTATAATTCGTCCATGTTTGAATCAGTTCTATTTTTAAACATGCAGTTTTTTATATATGAATAAATCAGCAGATGTTATGTAAAAACAAAAATTTCGTTAAAAATAATCTGTACGCTTCGTTGGCGAATAAATTCGTTTATTATAAATCACTTGTCAGTTTGGTGCCCGTAGCGTTTCATTGGTCGAGAGCGAATCACACGAGAGTGACGAAATTTTGATGTCGCCTGCGCGACCCCCCGCAGAGTGAGATAACGTGTTATATCATGGGAAATAACAACTTTTATCCATTCGAAATTATGTCTTTTATGAATAGATATTTCGTTGTTTACCTTGTATTTTGGTTTTTCTTTGACAAGTGGTATATAATAAAAATCTTATTTACCAAAAACTCAGAAAACATTATGTTTTGTGGACCCTCGACCATCGATATTTCACTCGGCTTCGCCTTGTGAAATATCGACAGGTCTCGGGTCCACACAACATAATGTTTCCTTCGTTCGCAGTAAATAAGTGTTAATTGTCTTTACGGACTGTCAGATAGGTGATAATCATAACCTAGGGTGATACAGGATGCGATCACAAAAGATCGAACATTCATGTTTATTATATGGGCATGGTAGCTACTATGCATTTTCACACACATTGGATGAAAACTGAGTTCGTTCCTGAACCTGTAGCTGCTGCATGCTTCGCGACGACATGAAGGATTTCAAATGTTGTACAGTTCGTGTCTTCCGCATGTAATTTTTATAACATTTATTCGTATGATTATTTTGTTTCAGGTTCTGCAGGTTTCTTTGTGAAACATGTAAACTCAGGAATGTGCATAAATGATACAGGACTAATACAGAGCAAAAGCGCCAGTTGGGGAAGCGTGTCACTCTTAACATTTTCAAACCATTGTTTGGATCCAGCTTCGCAGTTTCGGTTTCGGGAAAATGGCGCAATGTTAAATTTGAAAAGACAAGGATGCCTCGCTGCTTATTTTAAATATGGTGAGCCCGGCTATCTTCTAGATATGCTTTACCTTTACGTTAGCGAAAATTTGAATTTTTCTGCTTGTGCTTATGATCCAAGCCGAAACATTTACCGTCCAATCAATCAGACCTCTTGGGGAGGTTTATCTGTGTACTATAAAGGACATGAAAAGAGCTCATTTCAGACATGGTGTGTCGTCCCTAAATCTCACGCAGAACTCGCCAAGAATTATGGGATAGAACCATATATCGTCCTGACAACTTCATGTGTTGAAACGACAGATAAACGATTTAATTTTGGTGAGTTTTGCTAACTTTTGCAAAAGCGCCCTAGCTGAGTCTTATATTGCTTTTGCATATATTACATAATACTCGCGAAGTATTGCCAGTGGGAATCATTAATATTTTGCACCATTTTAAGGGTATAACAGTATAAATTCTCGAATATCCATTCTTAGTAGGTGCTTAAGCACGCATCGTAGTGAATAATAGTTTTTCAACATACAAGCGTTGAACAGTACGCTAGCCTTCAACATGAATTAACTTGCTATTCTTTTTTGTTATGAGCAAGAGAAGCGTCAATGAAATCCATCAAAGTTTCGTAGTAATTTGCCTATCCTATGAATATTACTTTGCTTTGCATGACTTCCCCAGATACCAGTCGAATATTATAGCTTATGTTTGAACAGTTTTGTAACAAAAAATAAATCAACGTCACCTCATTCCAAGGCACGGTGACATGTTATGGAAAGATGGTAGAGAATGCCAATTGTCCTAAAGATCAGCATTACATGGTGGTCAAGACTGCATCTTATCGTGGATTAGCTGCAGGAAAGATATGCGGCCAAAATTATGATTACAGTTGTGATGTCGATGTGACATGTGTTGTCAAGAGAGAATGTGACCGTCAACACGAGTGCCAAATGACTGTGGATGAAAGAGTGTTCCTCGACTATGCCGGTGCTTGCCCGGGATTAACAAAATATCTCTATTTCGAGTATCAGTGTGTTGATACACCAAGAGTCCATTTGTGTGGTACGTTAAGGTGGCTCGATACAGTTTTAAAAAATTCCATCGTTCATCACTTTGACACGTTCAAACAACGCATTTTTATGATTTATTCTAGAGATATTGGGGGTTTTATATTTAAGAAATAGAAAACATTTTCCGTGTTTCTATACAGTTTTAGTATAATTTCAGTATTGAAAAATGGCCTTTGAGCATTCTGATTGGCTCCCTCAGCAGTAACTCTGAGGCAATAGTTACTGCTCAGAGCAGTCTGAGCAGTAACTATTGCTTTTCCCCAAAAAAACACGGCTGAAAATACTCAAAATCAAAATTATATTCATAAAATAAACACGTGTATCAGTTGTATTTATAAATAAAACTTTTTCAATACTGAAATTATACTAAAACAATTAGTCGCCTCAGGCTCGGTGATTACAAGTCTATATTCACTTCGCCTTCGGCTCAGTAAATATAGGCTTGTAATCACCTCGCCTTCGGCGACTAATTGTTAAATAGAAACACGCGTGGGAGTTTGGGAGAACGAGAAATAATCAGTGGGAAAACGAGCCCGTAGGGCGAGTTTTTCACGCTATTTCGAGTTCTCCCAAACTCCCACAAGTGTTTCTATAACTGTATAGAAACACAGGAAAAAAGTTTTCTATTTCTTTTATAATATAACTCAATAAAAAGATTTTGTACAAATATAATAATTCGATTCAATTACAAATTCTCATTACATCGCTTCGCTTGTCAAGTTCGGCGGGAGAATTCCCGTGTTTCTATACAGTTATAGAAACACGCTTCTCGACCAATCAGCACGCGCGTACTATAAATGTTATATTATAAATTTTGATGTTTCTACTTTTGAATCGTATTAGTTTTAGTAACAAATCGCCGCGCTATGGCGACATACGTGTACAAAATTCACTCCAAAATGGCCAATTGCCTCGGATAGTTGGAAAACAAGCACGGTGACCCCCAATATTTTTTCCTGCATTATTTTACTTAAAAGAAAAACTAACAATTAGCAAAATATAAAAAATTCTATAATGGCAAAAAAAATTATCGGAAAAATGCCATTTTTGCATTTTTCAAAAATGTGGCATTATAGAATTTTTTTATATTTTGCTAATTGTTAGTTTTTCCAAGTAAAATAATGCATGAAAAAAAGTAGGGGCCACCGTGCTTCTTTTCCAACTATCCGAGGCAATTGGTCATTTTGGAGTGAATTTTGTACACGTATGTCGCCATAGCAACGCTACACATAGCGGACGATTTGTTACTAATCACTAACTAATCACGATTCAAAAGTAGAGACATCAAAATATATAAAAAACCCAATATCTCTGAAATAAATCATAAAAATGCGTTCTTTGAACGTGTCAAAGTGATAAACAGTGGAATTTTTGAAAACTGTATCGAGCCACCTTACGTTTGTATGAAACGGATCTCATCATACCGTGAGGTTTTGGACACATTGCCTTGCAACGCACTTTTGAATTTTTTTTAATTATAAAAATTAATGACCATTTCGATTTCTCGAATGGCAATTTTAAAGAAGCTACACTATTCTTTAAATATTTGCGAACAAAAACACATAGCTGCCAGCCCTGCCACACCTTTTCAAGAAAAGATCGAATGTTTCCAGCAAAATATTTTGGATTCAGTGTCATAAAAAGTCGCAATTGAGCATTATTAGCGTTAACCATTATTAACGATATCAGTGGCGTATAGCTCGTGAGCTTGGTTCTCAAAATGTCACCGAAAGTCGCGATGTATTGTTTGTGGCTTGGGAGGAAGATTTATTTAAAATAACAAAGCACTTCGTCTACGGTCTATCGCTGTCATATGAGAACTAGGATTTTGTATAATTTCTTCGTCACCTGCACAAACAAAAACATCGCCGACTGTTGGTGATGCATGGACGTGGCTTTACGTGGCATGATAAAAGCAAAATATTCGAAGGATTTGAATTTATGAGGAGCTACTATCAGTATCCATATCTCATCACACGATCATCATAAAATAACGCGTGATTAATGCATACTCTGATTTCATAATGTTATATTTACGTTAGGAAATAATTTTCATTTGAAGAAGTACAAGGATATTCCGATTTCTTTTTGCTTCTGATAATAAAAAAGCAACTCTCATTGCGATTTCATTTTCAATACTTCATTCTAGCCCCAAGCGGTCCTCCATTGAACATAAGAACTACATCAAGAAGCACATCGTCGTTAACTTTCGTCTGGGACTCTCCTGAACAACGTAGGGAAAATGGTGTCATTCTCAGTTATACTGCGTGTGCTTCAGAGTCGGAGGATGGTCCTTGCTTTCAGACATTTGTAAGAGCAACAAGAAAGTGGGACGTTAGAAATTTGAATGCATCAACAAAATATTACATCCGTGTTCTTGCAAGCAATGAAGGCGGCGATGGAAACTATAGTGAAAGTAAAGGGTTTTTTACGAATGGAAGTAAGTTCAACAGGATTGTGCAATCCTTGTCATTTTGTTTGTTATGTGTTTAGGGACATTATTGACATCAGGTCCAGAAACTGGTTTAATCTTGAAAAGGCCAAAAATCTATTAGATTGTAAGTAAAACATTTCGGTACGATTCCGGTATGACCTTAGGAAATTCATCCAGTTTAGCCATGACTATTACGGTTTCCAAAATTTGAGAATCAGATAGATTGTTTACAAAGCATTTCGCTGTTTTCCGGATCTATATTTCTTTACAGGAGCAACAATGGGGGCGACAGCGAATACAGCAAGTACACTTGCATTTTCATTAGAAATTCCTTCAAAAACCTTTGTGTAAGTTTATCAAATTACGTGATCGTGGTCATTAGTCTTAAAACTCGGAACAATCATAAACAAAATCAGGCTTTATGCATGGTTGTTTAAGTGAACCGTATGTTTTGGTTCTGCAGGTATTTGTATGTTGTCGCTTTGAAATTGAAAGAGGGGGAAGAAATAGAATCATCAAGTACATACGAGGACAATGAACTGGTGACATATGCTGAGGCAATAAAATCTCGTCATCCAATTCCTTATATCGCTGCTGTGATATTCTTCAGCGGAGTTAATGATAAAAACTTTATACTTGGTGATGGCAGTAACACAAGTGATGCTACAACGGGAAGAGGATTTGCCAAGACTGGATATTATAATGGCCCTTTAGAACCTGGATCTAGTTACAGTATTTTTCTGCGGATTTTTCTTGGTGACAAGGTATTATACTTTTTATGGGATATCAGCTTCTACAAAAAGAACTTTTCTGATACTTTATTTTAACAAATAAAAATCATAGCGGTTGTAGAACATCTTTTTAACACACATTCGCAAACAAAAATTTGATAATTACGTATTCCTAAATCCTAAGGTATTAGACTCGCATAGTTCCACATATATATTCACTCGCATATACTATTAGGAAGATTACTACTCGACCGATTGGAGTGCTTCTTCAAAGACCAGTGAATATGCAGGTATTAACTCTTAAACTGGCTATATTTTAATTTTTTGATGAGGATAAAAAAGATATAAAGATCTATGACTATATATGAAAAATCTATCTTATCTTATGTTATTATATGCCTAAATGCCCAATTTGTTCCTTCTCAGGTGGACCTCGTGTGTTATTAAACATGTCAAACGGCAAAGTAACTGCGAAACAAGGTGATCTTGTCAATCTGCTGTGCTCTGTTCAAGGCGAACCTCCGATTACTTTCCAATGGGAGAAAGACAAGAAGGCGCTAGACAGTTTTTTCGAAAGTCACGAGTCCATAAGCAGTTCTTTTCTTGTTGTACCAGTAAAAGATCAGACAGGTTTTGGAAAATACATTTGTCATATTCGCGATCGATTTCATACTGCTAATCACACAATCTGGATCAACAAACTTGAAAGTACAAGTACTGACGAAGTGTCAGGTATCTCAAAATCATTATAACAGCCGAATGGACCTTTGCGCATTAATGAATTAAATTTGTGGGATAGTGAACGGATAAAATTGGTACGGATGAAATTTGACTAGCTATTGGGAAATCAAAGTTTTAGCCGTAGCAATTTTTCCTGTAATCAGCGGCAGGGGCAGACTGGCGTATACATGATTTAGCGGGAAAACTAAAAAGGGGGCGCCATTTTTAGTTCTAACATGAACAACAGTTATTGAAAATGCGTGTGCTGCCATGTCGCGTTTAAATTTAATCGCTACAATGTTGAGTTTCAAACTGATACATGATTTAGATCAGATTATTTTTCCTGTGTTTTACTTCAATGGTTTTATCATTTCCTCCATAATTTTCTCCAAAATGCAGGGGCGCGCACCGAGAAATTTCCCGCTATCCCTGTGGGCCAGTTCGCCCCTGCCGTACCGTACACCAAAAATTTTGCAGTAAAAATGGGGCTTCAATCCTGAATGCACGGCACACAAAAAACTTTACCGAAACATATTTCATCAATATAGTTTTGATAGTTTTGAGTCATATTAAACCACGTACATGCAAACAGAATATTGTATGGAGTTAAGACCTGAGATTTACTTATTTATCAACAGTTCTGATCAGGTAAAGTAATCCTATTTGTGAACCTCAAATGACCTTGCTGAATAATTATCTTTTATACAGGTGAAGAAAATACTAAAGTGAACCTCGTTGGAATTACAGTGCTTGCAGTTCTCCTCACAATATCTCTAATCGTATACATGCCTGCTTTGCATATCAATATCGTCGTCTTAAATTGGCAAGCGCGAATGCAAGTTTGGAGAACGAAAACAAAGATAGAGAAAATTCGCAAGATTGCGAAAATCGTGAAAAAAATGACGAGAATTATGAACCTGTGCCTGTGGTAGTTGGTGCATCGCCTTATACAGCTCCTGAAATCACCGGTGATGGGGAATATGACGATCATGTGTATATATAGTCATCTAAATGAAGTTCAGAATGACTACGAAAATCAAAAGGACACTGGAATGTAATAAATTTGCATTTTAAATAACGTATAAGGAACCTTAATTGTGTAAGACAGGCTAGTTCGGGATAGAAGGGTTTCTTAATAAGCAATTGCACTGACATACATACATAAGGCGAACACAAAGATGCTGAAAATATGTATATGCATGAAGATATAATCGATTATAGTCGATTTTTTTAGTTTAAAATAACTGCACTTTGTACAACTTTAAATGCATTGATACGCAGGGACGTTTGTAATAAAGTGATAAATTGGGTATAGGATTTGATAACAAAAGCAAATGAATCAACTGAATAAAAAGTGAAAAGTATATATGCATTTGCTTTGAATATTTTTAATCATTCATGCAATTTAAAGCAACCATGTTGGATATCGATTTCTAACTTCATGCATGTACGCATATATATGTCATAAAAAATGCAAATTATTCTCAAGACATCTTGAGAATATAATATTTTATTCACGCATGCACGAATCGAGTGAAACTGTAAATTTTCGACTTTCATTCTATTATTACCTTGTAATAGCCGGTGAGAACGAACAAAAAATGAGAACAGTGTTGAGCATGAGAACAGTGTTAGCGTGCATAGCTTTTTGCTTACTCATGCATGTAAATCTATAAGTTTGCTAAGGTTCATCGAATATATAATATATAATATATATAGTTATAGTATTAAAGTATATAATGCTATTATAATCATAATTATACATTCAAGATGTCTTGTCAATTCAGGATTTGTTTTTTACTATGGCCGCATTGTGTTTCTATTATAGTCCTTGAAGTTGTTTGGAATTTTGTTGTGTTTTTTGTTTTTCTCTATGGCACAAAATTTTGTAACAAGAAAGTAAAGGTGCACTATAATTATTCGTAAAAATGCCATAATGCATCGCCTCCACCAATACTCAGTTCTAATGAACAGTTGAAATACTTTAAAAACTGTCACGCAAATCATCGCTGCATATGAGTAGGGCACAACGTAACGTTGAATAAAGGAGAATGTCACGTTGGCTGCTAATAAACAACAATAAAAACTCGGCGCGCGGCGCGTTTGATTGCAAACAGCAGCAATGGCGGGAAAAAATAACGCATAATATGCTTTATTATACATTATAGTAATAAAAGCAATTTGATTGGCTAATAGTTGACAGATAAATCGCGCTATCACGCAAAATTCAGTTATCTGCTAGCAGATAACTGAGTTATCGCCTGCGGTGGTTAACAAGTGGTATTTATTTGGATGTATTTATGCATTAATAATTTATGTATTTTTGGATGTTGCTATCAAATAAGGTTTTTTATTCATTCGTTAATACTATGTTTACTATTCTATATATATATATATATATATATATATATATATATATATATATATATATATATATATATATATATATAAAAAGAATATATATATATATATATATATATATTATATAATATATATTTATATATATATACAGTCGTAATCATTAAGGTTGTCACCTGGAAATATATATAAATACCTATAAATATCGACCACGTGATTGTACTGCATACGTTAATTCTATGGAAAATCGTTGGAAATCTATCTTGATAATTTCTTAAATCTCATATAGTCTAGGACCTGTAAAGGAGTTTGTATGCATTTCATTTAGGACAGATTATCTCAACTGTTTTAGGGTAAAATGACCATGGCGGCCAACATGGCATATGTGCCAAAATGTGAATCCGGGACGAAAGTCCTGAAAATGACCACACGCAGAAACGGCATAGTCGACTTAGCTCTAAATCCTGAATTATCAAAGCAACAGTCTTTCTAAATTGTTTATATGGTTCAGAATGGTTGCTTTTAGGGGTGGTCACTGGAGAGTGAAATTAGCCTAAGTTTCATATTTTACAAGAAAATGAATGTTTACTATTCCAGGTCAACTGCTAATTATGCATAAAATTACAGTTTCACCTGGCAATATATATATATATATATAATATATATTATATATATATATATATGTATATATATTCATATATATATATATATATATATATAATATATATATTATATATATATATATATATATATATATATATATATATATATATATATCTAAATATATAAAAAAATTATAAATTTAAACTATACATCTTCTCAGTTAAGCAAGTCAACAACAACAAAGTCTCGCACACTCCGTGGTTATTTAATAACTTAATAATAAACTAATCCTTTTCTCGAAAGTCATAATACATGCATCGCCTCCACCAATACTCCACGACATCTCCTGCAGAACGGCGATGATTACTTTTTATTCTTCATATTATTATTATTATTATTTAAAAAGTTCGCATTTATAGTTTTAAGAAATACTAAATTACAATGCGAACTAACAATTAAAAATGGTGTACATAGACTACAATTACGTTTATACTATGCACTACTTTAGAGATAGCTAAAATTACTGTATTTTTTAATTCCATATTCAATTCCACTATTTCTAAATCTTTGAGCTCTACAGTTAAAATGATAAAATTTATCGCTACCCTGTCTGGTTATTTTTGAGTTCACATCACGAACTTTAGGTGGAAACAAGCCATGCAGTTTATGTTCATGATTATTCAACGATGTGATAAGATTTACACATAAGTCATCCCTTCGACTTTCCAGGGTATTAAGATTGCACTCCTCCAAAGCCCCCTCACATTCATGACAGTCCTGGAAGGATTATTCGAAGAGCCAAATTATTAAATGCACTGTATTCAAGTGTTGATTTTTACATATGCATCAGTCTTTAAATTAACATTTCAAGACGGTGCATGTAATTCACTTTCCCTTTTTCCTCAAGGCCATCAGAGAAAAACATTTATGCTTAAATTAAAAGCATTAACTTACCGACGGCATGGCCGCATGGGAGACCGTTATATAACTTCCCAACTACACCACGAGATCTTTTGCTGAAGGGCGATGATTATTTCATCTGCTTTATCCTTTTCTTATAGAACTAACTGACCCTACACTTGGAAAATTGTCAAAGTAGAAATTTATGATATATATATAGGATTGAAGAAATACTATTGGCTAGCTTAAGACACGTGCTAAAACGTGCTAAAGAAACGCTATTGGCTAGCTTAAGACATGCACGCGCTAAAAATATCGTAAAATTAATTGTAGTTTTTATTATTAATCAGAGGTGGATTGTTTATGATCTATGATAAGGGATTACTTTGTGTACTTGGAATCAGTTTAAGCTTTGCAAAGGATTAACAAAGAATTATTCTTTGACGTGCAAGAGATACCAATTTCGAATGTGATAATGCATGATCATAAAACATCCCAGGGAAAATTATTCTGAGTGCATGTTTCTGGATATTCTCGATGAGATCGGACAGCCTCACCGTCAGAGCTTTGGGTTCGCTTTATGCTCGCTCTTTCTTAAACTAAAATGACTACAGTATGCTCGCTTTTTCTTGAATAAAAATGACTAAATGACCAAATCTTCGTGGTTTAGCTGGTGAGACGGGAAGCATCTTCATCATATTATTCATTCGCTTTTTTAAACACTCTCCGTACGTGGAGATTTAGCATAGTTACATGAACCTTAATACATGCTATTAGACTTGAAATTATGAAATAGGCAAAAGTAAAACAGCCAAGCAATTTTAGTTCACCATATTGAAGAGATACAAAACACGCGCCGTTAATGGCCCGTTATAGACTAGATCCGATTATAAACCACATCGAATTCGAAAACCCGTTCACACGTAAACACGAAACCGGCGTTTTCGAAAAACTCCACTCTGGAGAGCGTTTTTGGTTGCCGTTTTCCGTTCTCGGTTGCCGAAAACGCCGGTTACGTGTGGAAGCAAGGCCAAAACGGGTGACGTTTTTAAAAATATCCGGAACGTGTGGACGGGGCCTTATACGCGTATTTAACCTAAGCGTATTTTTTGCTGATTTTACAATTTCATTTGCCTATTCATAGTAATTGGGTCGAACACATAAAGTCCAGAATCTACTCATAGAGACCACAATTACCAACAAATAATTATTCTGCATGGCTTCATTAGCGATCGACTTCCTGTTATGCCTGCCATACGCTGCTGTGTTTATATATACTTCCGCAGCCTCGTCCCCGGCGCGTGTTTTATTTAATCGGTGTTATAATCTGATACTTCCGCGCATACATACATAACTTCACACGACAAATAACGTGGCCAAACTGAAGCGCAATTCCTTATCATGAAGTTTTCATCATCTTGCATTCATTTTGTTGAACTGATAATAACGTTTTATTTGCAAGGTACGTATTTTGGACAACCAATATATGCATGTATAATATATTATACAGTTCGACCATACAAATAGATCAATTGCGTGTGGTAGATAATTCGTATATATTCAAGATCTAACTACTACCTATGGTAGAACTTGCACATTAACTAACGTTCTAACTAAGATTGCAGGTAAAATGGAGAACGGTGGGAAATTATCAGTAAAATATCACTGAAATGAACACAAAATCATCAACATGAAGTTTATAAGCTTCGCGTTCATATGTTCATGGAATTTAAGCTTCGCGTTGTTAAGGCGGTTCTCCATTACGTCCGCTGTGAAGCGAAATTTATGACCATTGCGAAATACATGACCACGCGTGACGAGTCACGAATTTTGCGGCTTACTCGAGCGAAAAACATGACGATTGCGAAATCTATGATTTCTGCCCAGATTAGCTATATACATGCAGATATGAAACTGAAGCCGAATCGAGTCACACGGTTTTTTGACCAATGTGTGCATGCGTAACCATAGGCAGCCCAATGGCAAATGGTTTTATTTGATTTAAAAATGTACACTTTGATGAAATTCACACATATGTCATTTATTTACATGCTAATATACTTAAATCCTGTTACTTACGACGGGCGACTTGCGTGTCTGACAAGGCAATGTAGGTAGCTATTATATAAGTATAATATATCCTAAGGTAGGCGACTTCAATCACAATATTCACATGGACACATGCAAACAATCCGAAAATACTTAAATTTATCCCTAAAACTAAGCTAAAATAACAAAAGAAATGAAATCTACGATAGTTTTACTATACACTGACTATATTTTAATAATTAAAATAAGTTATGGAAGCGAGAAAAATGCGAAACGTTTTTGATATTTTACTCATTTTGTTCACTCAGACTTGTTACTCATGCAAGTAACAGTCTCAAACATTTTCAAGTGTATTTGAGAGAAAACTGAATAATTTTACCTTAAAAAACATCATATTCGCCCTGGAAACGTGTACATTTGCGAATGCGCGCGTTCAGATCGCGCCTGTGCAAGGTCAATCGAGTTTATTAGTTTTTTCAAAATCTAATATTATTTGTGATTGTCGGACGTCCATGATGACAGCAGCAACGAAGTAAGAAGGGTCTGAGCTTTGCTGTCATTGGTTGGAAGTGGGTCAAATTGAATCGATCATAAAACAAAAAGCTATATTTGATTGAAAAATACGAATATATGATTTCTAACTCCATTTTATAAAAAGAAGCCAAAATAAGCCAGATAATAAATTTAAGCCAAACGAAGTTTCAACCTCGCAAGCCAGGCTCTTTTACCTACGCTCCACGGCCCACGCTGCGGCAAAGACCCTGGTCAAGGCTGGTCATGTGACCTCCCAAAATATGGGAGGTTTTTAATTAGCGCTTAGTTCATATTCATGGGAGGAGTGGCAAAGTCGATATACCATTTCTGCTATTTTTAGCACTTGTCACAATCCAGATGACTTTGTACTAACGCAACTAAAAATAGCGGTTCACGCAATAAACGAAATAAATACAGCTAGTGTGGCGCAGCAAAAAACTAAAAAGAGCAATAAACCGAATTTAGATTCAAGTGCTATGTGTAGACTGTATCATCGTCGATAGAATCGGTTTTAGTATCGTCACAAGTTCAGTTGATATTCAATACAGACACTCGAAGGCCTGTCCTATCTTCTAAATTTGGGCGTTGATGAGCGAATTCAGAGGTCAAATAACAATAACGACACAGGTTATTTCGCTTTGCGGAAGAACAGCGCTCAATATTCAGTCCTTAGAAACACGCTGTTTTAACTGATATGATCTATGCGCTACTTGTGTCCCACCCATCCCCACACGGGAGAAGCGTAACAAAAGAATCACGTGACCAGCCTTGACCAGGGTCTTTGCCGCAGCGTGGGCCGTGGAGCGTAGGTAAAAGAGCCTGGCTTGCGAGGTTGACGAAGTTTGCCTAGGCCAAGCGCAAGAAAAATAAGCCAAAATCGAGAAATTTGGCTTCAAAAGAGCCAAGTTGGCAACCCTGCCCGAGCTCTGTCGATATTTCACCAGGCGAAGCCGAGTGAAATATCGATGGTCGAGGGTCCACAAAACATAATGCTTTCTGAGTTCTCAGTAAATAAGTTTTTTTTTATATACCACTTGTCAAAAACCAAACTACAAGGTAAACAACGAAATATCTATTCATAAAAGACATAATTTCAAATGAATAAACAGTCTAAAGGTCGCACGTCCAGGTGCGCCGCACGTGACTAAAGTTGTTATTTCCCATGGCCATGAGACAACACGTTATTTCACTCTGCAGCGGTTCGCGCTGGTAACTTCAAAATTTCGTCATTCTCTCGTTATTCGCTCTCGACCAATGAAATGCTACGAACACCAAACTTTGACAAGTGGTATATAATAATAATTATTATTATCTTTACGGACTGTCAGATAAGTGATATAAACTAGGGTAATACAGGATGCGATCACAAAAGATCGAACATTCATGTTTATTATATGAGCATGGTAGCTACTATGCATTTTCACACACATTGGATGAAAACTGAGTTCGTTCCTGAACCTGTAGCTGCTGCATGCTTCGCGACGACGAGAAGGATTTCAAATGTTGTACAGTTCGTGTCTTCCGCATGTAATTTTTATAACATTTATTCGTATTATTTTGTTTCAGGTTCTGCAGGTTTCTTTGTGAAACATGTAAACTCAGGAATGTGCATAAATGATACAGGACTAATACAGAGCCAAGCCGCCAGATGGGGAAGCGTGTCACTCTTAACATTTTCAAACCATTGTTTGGATCCAGCTTCGCAGTTTCGGTTTCGGGAAAATGGCGCAATGTTAAATTTGAAAAGACAAGGATGCCTCGCTGCTTATTTTAAATATGGTGAGCCCGGCTATCTTCTAGATATGCTTTACCTTTACGTTAGCAAAAATTTGAATCTTTCTGCTTGTGCTTATGATCCAAGTCGAAACATTTACCGTCCAATCAATCAGACCTCTTGGGGAGGTTTATCTGTGTACTATAAAGGATATCAAAAGAGCTCATTTCAGACATGGTGTGTCGTCCCTAAATCTCACGCAGAACTCGCCAAGAATTATGGGATAGAACCATATATCGGCCTGACAACTTCATGTGTTGAAACGACAGATAAACGATTTAATTTTGGTGAGTTTTGCAAAAGCGCCCTAGCTGAGTCTTATATTGCTTTTGCATATATTACATAATACTCGCGAAGTATTGCCAGTGGGAATCATTAATATTTTGCACCATTTTGAGGGTATAACAGTACAAATTCTCGAATATCCATTCTTAGTAGGTGCTTAAGCACGCATCGTAGCGAATATAGTTTTTCAACATACAAGCGTTGAACAGCCTTCAACTAGCGTTGAACAGCTAGCCTTCAACATGAATTAACTTGCTATTCTTTTTTGTTATGAGCAAGAGAAGCGTCAATGAAATCCATCAAAGGATTTCTTAGTAATTTGCCTATCCTATGAATATTACTTTGCTTTGCTTTGCATGACTTCTCCAGATACCAATCGAATATTATAGCTTATGTTTGAACATTTTTGAAACGAAAAATGAATCAACGTCACCTCATTCCAAGGCACGGTGACATGTTATGGAAAGATGGTAGAGAATGCCAATTGTCCTAAAGATCAGCAGTACATGGTGGTCAAGACTGCATCTTATCGTGGATTAGCTGCAGGAAAGATATGTGGCCAAAATTATGATTACAGTTGTGAGGTCGATGTGACATGTGTTGTCAAGAGAGAATGTGACCGTCAACACGAGTGCCAAATGACTGTGGATGAAAGGGTGTTCCTCGACTATGCCGATGCTTGCCCGGGATTAACAAAATATCTCTACTTCGAGTATCAGTGTGTTGATACACCAGGAGTCCATTTGTGTGGTACGTTAAGGTGGCTCGATACAGATTTCAAAAATTCCATCGTTCATCACTTTGACACGTTCAAAAAACGCATTTTTACGATTTATTCTAGTGATATTAGGGGTTTTATATATTTTGATGTTTCTACTTTTGAATCGTATTAGTTTTAGTAACAAATCGTCCGTTGTTATGGCGACATACGTGTACAAAATTCACTCCAAAATGACCAATTGCCTCGGATAGTTGGAAAAGAAGCGCGGTGACCCCCAATTTGTTTCCGTGCATTACTTTACTTGGAAGAAAAACTAACAATTAACAAAATATAAAAAAATTCTATAATGGGAAAAAAATTATCGAAAAAAATATCATTTTGCATTTTTCAAAAATGTGGCATTATAGAATTTTTTTATATTTTGCTAATTGTTAGTTTTTCTTCAAAGTAAAGTAATGCATGAAAAAAAATTGGGGGCCACCGTGCTTCTTTTCCAACTATCCGAGGCAATTGGTCATTTTGGAGTGAATTTTGTACACGTATGTCGCCATAGCAACGGACAATTTGTTACTAAAACTAATACGATTCAAAAGTAGAAACATCAAAATATATAAAAACTCCAATATCGCTGGAATAAATCATAAAAATGCGTTGTTTGAACGTGTCAAAGTGATGAACAGTGGAATTTTTGAAAACTGTATCGAGCCACCTTAAGTTTGTATGAAACGGATCTCATCATACCGTGAGGTTTTGGACACATTGCTTTGCAATGCACTTTTGAATTTTCTGTAATTATAAAGATCAATGACCATTTCGATTTCTAGAATGGCAATTTTAAAGAAGCTACACTATTCTTTAAATATTTGCGAACAAAAACACATAGCTGCCAGCCCTGCCACACTCTTTCATGAAAAGATCGAATGTTTCCAGCAAAATATTTTGGATTCAGTGTCATAAAAAGTCGCAATTAAGAATTATCAGCGTCAACCATTATTAACGATATCAGTGACGTATAGCTCGTGAGCTTCGTTCTCATAATGTCACTGAAAGTCGCGATGTATTGCTTGTGGCTTGGGAGGAAGATTTATTCAAAATAACAAAGCACTTCGTCTACAGTCTATCGCTGTCATATGAGAACTAAGATTTTGTATATATTTTCTTCGTCACCTGCACAAACAAAAACATCGCCGACTGTTGGTGATGCATGGACGTGGCTTTACGTGGCATGATAAAAGTAAAATATTTGAAGGATTAGAATTTATAAGGAGCTATACTATCAGTATCCATATCTCATCACACGATCATCATAAAATAACGCGTGATTAATGCATACTCTGATTTCATAATGGCATATTTACGTTAGCAAATAATTTTTATCTGAAAAAGTAAAAGGATATTCCGAATTTTTTTTTGCTTCTGATAATGAAAAAGCAACTCTCATTGCGACTTCATTTTCAATACAACATTCTAGCCCCAAGCGGTCCTCCATTGAACATAAGAACTACATCAAGAAGCACATCGTCGTTAACTTTCGTCTGGGACCCCCCTAAACAACGTAAGGAAAATGGTGTCATTCTCAGTTACACCGCGTGTGCTTCAGAGTCGGAGGATGGTCCTTGCTTTCAGACATTTGTAAGAGCAACAAGAAAGTGGGACGTTAGAAATTTGAATGCATCAACAAAATATTACATCCGTGTTCTTGCAAGCAATGAAGGCGGCGATGGAAACTACAGTGAAAGTAAAGGGTTTTTAACGAATGGAAGTAAGTTCAACAGGATGGTGCAATCCTTGTCATTTTGTTTGTTATGTGTTTAGGGACGTTATCACTGGGTCCAGAAACTCGTTTAATCTTTAAATTTTAAAATGCCAAAAATCTATGAGATTGTAAGTAAAACATTTCGTAACGATTCCGGTATGACTTTAGGAAATTCATCCAGTTTGGCCATGGCTATTACGGTTTCCAAAATTTGAGAATCAGGTAGATTGTTTACAAAGCATTTCACTGTTTTCCGGATCTATATTTCTTCACAGAAGCAACAATGGGGGCGACAGCGAATACAGCAAGTACACTTGCATTTTCATTAGAAATTCCTTCAAAAACCTTTCTGTAAGTTTATCAAGTTACGTGATCGTGGTCATTAGTCTTAAAACTCGCAACAATCATAAACAAAATCAGGCTATGCATGGTTGTTTAAGTGAACCGTATATATTGGTTCTGCAGGTATTTGTATGTTGTCGCTTTGAAATTGAAAGAAGGGGAAGAAATAGAATCATCAAGTACATACGAGGACAATGAACTGGTGACATATGCTGAGGCAATAAAATCTCGTCATCCAATTCCTTATATCGCTGCTGTGATACTCTTCAGCGGAGTTAATGATAACAACTTTATACTTGGTGATGGCAGTAACACAAGTGATGCTACAACGGAAAGAGGATTTGCCAAGACTGGATATTATAATGGCCCTTTAGAACCTGGATCTAGTTACAGTATTTTTCTGCGGATTTTTTTGGGTGACAAGGTATTACACTTTTTATGGGCTATCAGCTTCTACAAAAAGAACTTTTCTGATACTTTATGAACAAATAAAAATCATAGCGGTTGTTGAACATCTTTTTTAACACACATTCGCAAACAAAAATGTGATAATTACGTATTCCTAAATCCTAAGGTATTAGACTCGCATAGTTCCACATACTCACTCGCATATACTACTAGGAAGATTACTACTCGACCGATTGGAGTGCTTCTTCAAAGACCAGTGAATATGCAGGTATTAACTTTTAAACTGGCTATATTTTAATTTTTTGATGAGGATAAAAAAGATATAAAGATCTATGACTGTATATGAAAAATCTATCTTATCTTATGTTATTATATGCCTAAATGCCCAATTTGTTCCTTCTCAGGTGGACCTCGTGTGTTATTAAACATGTCAAACGGCAAAGTAACTGCGAAACAAGGTGATCTTGTCAATCTGCTGTGCTCTGTTCAAGGCGAACCTCCGATTACTTTCCAATGGGAGAAAGACAAGAAGGCGCTAGACAGTTTTTTCGAAAGTCACGAGTCCATAAGCAGTTCTTTTCTTGTTGTACCAGTAAAAGATCAGACAGGTTTTGGAAAATACATTTGTCATATTCGCGATCGATTTCATACTGCTAATCACACAATCTGGATCAACAAACTTGAAAGTACAAGTACTGTCTGTACTGACGTAGTCTCAGGTATCTCAAAATCATTATAACAGCCGAATGGACCTTTGCGCATTAATGAGACAAATTTGTGGGATAGTGTTCGAGTCTTACTTTTAAACATGCATGCGCTTTGAGAAAAATTATTAGACATCTTTTAATCTAAGTAAACGTTTCGATAATTTAGACAGTTTATTAATGGTAGTGTCCGAAGGAAAAACTAAATTTACACTGCATGTTTATACATCGTTGCATTCAACAATAACATAATGTTTTTACTATTGGAGAAGGTTTGTCAGTCTTAAATAAAGTAGTTATTTGATATCTCCTTTTATTCGAATAATTATCAATTGTCCTATGTCAGACGCGACCGAAATTGAAAAGGAGTCAATAAAAGTGATTTTCAGACATGCTTTCCCAATACCCCATAAGTTAGGATCATCTATTTAAACCAGCAACCGAAATGTAATCAGTCTCAACTCTATCCGTACGAAACCTAAAATTAATCATGCATGAATAAAAAATGGTACGATTATAAAAATGAACCGATAAAAATTAATTAGTACAGATGAAACTTGACTAGCTATTGGGGAACCAAAGTTTTAGCCGTAGCAATTTTTCTAGTACCGCAGGGGCGGACTGGCGTATACATGCATGATTTACCAGGAAAACTAAAAAGGGGGCGCCATTTTTAGTTCTATAACTTGAGCAACAGTTGTTGAAAATGCGTGTGCTGCCATGTTGCGTTTAAATTTGACCGCTACAATGTTGAGTTTCAAACTGTTACATGAATTAGATCAGATTATCTTTCCTGTGTTTTACTTCAATCATTTCTTCCATAATTTTCTCCAAAATGGGGTGCCAAACAGCGTGTAAATCAGGGGCGCGCATCGAGAAATTTACCGGTATCCCTGTGGGCCAGTCCGCCCCTGCTGTACTGTATACCAAAAATTGAGCAAAGTGAAAATGGGGCTTGAATCCTGCATGAATGCACGGCACACAAAAAACTTTACCGAAATATATTTCATATAGTTACATTAAACCACGTACACAAGCAGGATATCTAAAATTACCGCGAAAACGGAAAAAAACCCGTTATTCATGGAGTTAAGACATGAGATTTATTTATTTACTTATTTACCAACACTTCTGATCAGATAAAGTAATTCTATTTGTGAAACTCGAATGACCGTGCTGAATAATTATCTTTTATACAGGTGAAGAAAATACTAAAGTGAACCTCGTTGGAATTACAGTGCTTGCAGTTCTCCTCACAATATCCCTTATCGTACATGCCTGCTTTGCGCATCAATATCGTCGTCTTAAATTGGCAAGCGCGAATGCGAGTTTGGAGAACGAAAACAAAGATAGAAATTCGCAAGATTGCAAAAATCGTGAAAAAAATGACGAGAATTATGAACCTGTGGTGGTTGGAGCATCGCCTTATACAGTTCCTGAAATCACCGGTGATGGAGAATATGACGATCATGTGTATAGTCATCTAAATGAAGTTCAGAATGACTACGAAAATCAAAAGGAAACTGGAATGTAATAAATTTGCATTTTAAATAACGTATACGTATAAGACAACTTATTTTTGTAAGACAGGTTAGTTCGGGATAGAAAGGTTTCTTAATAATTAAGCATGCAATTACACTGACTGACTGAATACATAACGCGAACACAAAGATGCTAAAAATATGTATATGCATGAAGATATATAATTATAGAAACACAATGACCTTGATTTTTTTAGTTTAAAATAACTGCACTTTGTGAAACTTTAAATGCCTTGATACGAAGGGACGTTTGTAATAAAGTGATAAATTGGGTATATAATTTGATGACAAAACTAAAGAATTATTTCTCCCACACTTAACGTAGAGTTGAGTATGGAGTTAGATAGGGGACAAAATGTTAAATATCGAAGACCACTAATAATATCGAGTGACGCTAATTTTGATATTGAGCACCGTTTCATGATGTCGAGGCACGCTTCATATTGTCGAGTTGAGCATTACGGTACCATCTGAACTGCGGCATTATATCAGAATACAACTTTTACTTCATGTTGGGAATGTTCATATATAAATTTCACAGGACAACAAACATTCCCAATTTCCATTTATATCATTATGTGATGCACTCTCGACCACGGATTGCTATCATCAGCTGAGGCAATCCACGCGCTATCTTTTTCGCCGTCTATCGGCTCCAATCTCAACCGGGCATTTCTAGCCCGTGACGTTTCACTTTTCTCTGATGACGACGATAACTGAGGGTTGACCATCAAGGTTTCCAGACCAAGTGGAATTAGGCGGACACAGTATGGCACGAAATCGTCGTTATTATTGCCGTACGACAGCGTGAACTTGTCCACAAAGTATGCACTACCTGGACTACACTTTGTGTTCCAATGCCAATAATTTTAGCATTGGCTAAGAAACAACTTTAATTGAGCCATAATTCACGGTTGGATGATAATGCGATCCAAACTTTGACAAATGAAACCAAAATTTCATATTATGTGAAACTAGCACTTCATATGTAAAGTTTCACTTTTCACATGTAAAAACTAATAAACGTCATACACGGTACAAATTATTTGATTGGAGACAAAAATTTAATGTACGAATCGTTTTACATATATAGGAAAACTTCATTAAAAAATTAAAATTCATATGTGAAAGTAGCAATTCATATTATGAAATTTATTTTTCACATGTGAACGTAAAATTTCATATCATATCTAAATAATTTCATATGTGAAACTAAAATTTCATATGTGAAACCAAAATTTCATATGTGAAACTAGCCTTTCATATACTGAAATTTACTTTTCACATGTGAAAATAAACGTCATACACAATTTAAATTATTTCATTGGAGAAGCCAAAAATTTCATGTATGAATTGTTTTTTTACATATAGGAAAACTAATATTAAAAAAAAAATTCATATATGAAAGTCACCTTTCTCATGTAAAAATCAAATTTCATATATGAAGTTTTTCATTTCATATATATGAAAATGTTCATTTCATATATGAAACTCCTATTTCATATATAGAAATGTTATGTGAAATTTTTGTAAGGGTTGGTAGCAAGGGGAAATTCAGTAAGTAACAAAATTAATTTAATAATGCCAATAGATTATTTGTGAGGTTTTCAACAAAGGTAGCAAGGAAATTTAATTACCTCCCTGACTCCCTCGATCCTATTATACTGATCGATCATCCATGAAGAAAAAACTCGTAGAAATAAAAGTGGACACGGTTTTATAAACGTCGTAGATTGTGTGCAGGAGTGTGGGTGATTAAATAGAGCCAAATATACGCTGGCAAACAGACGGATCGCCAGTCGTACTCCTTGGGAACAATTCACGCTGCGTGATGGTATCAGTGTGATATTAATAAAGGCAAAATTCGCTGTGAAAAGAGTATTTTTCGAAGCTGAATTTAACTGATGCAAACCTGTTTTATAGTTAACGCGTGGCCGTGGCTCAACACGAGAAACCCTCGACATACGACTCTCGAATTAAGAGTCTCAAATATAGGTGTCAGAGTGTCACTGTTTCAGTCCATATATAACACTAACAGGATACAGACTCTGATTCTTTAAAAGAAATATGCTCTTTTGAATCTAGACTGTGATGGGAGCAGTGTTTTGATTTCGTTATTATTTATTGGTCAGGGGCCGGTTGTATCAAGCCCTAAGCGGTGGTTAAGTTCAAAATAGAAAGCAAGTCTATCGTTTTACTCAACAAGCAAACAAAATGTTTTTAACCTTAATACAAAGATACTGTTTACAACTACATATTTAGTGCATAATATTCAAGTTCACTCATTCAATATAGAGATGTAAGAGCGTTATTTAATTTTGACTTATCCACCGTTTAAGCTAAACGGGCTTGATACAACCAGTCCCTGTTGTTCACGTTATCATACTAGAAGAACCGAGAAACAAAAGCGAATTTTCAATAACGATTTCTTCGAAAAATCCTTGGCAGACTGGCCCAGACTATTCGTTTCTTTCGCTTTTCAATGTGAAGAAAGTTTCTAAAGCAAAGTAAGATTATTCTGATTTTTACGTTTGTGCGAAAATCAATATTACACAATTAAAAAAAATTGGAAGGGAAAGTCTGGCCCTTTTTACGAATACTGCACATCAACCTGCACGAAACTTTAATCCTTTTTCGCGTATTTTCTTTGCAAAATGCAAGCAACGATCTTGTGTCTAAATTATAGGCAATATTCTTCCACAATTCCTTAACTTCTTTGCCAGATGTATTTTTCAAAAATTCTACATGATTTATGTTTATGCAGAAATTCGTCCAAATTAATTCTACTCTACCCTTTATAAGTGATGAAATCATTGAAATGATTATAAAAAGACGAAGGTTGGAATAATGGAAGTTCTTTCTTTAACGAATGCCAATTGCAGTACCAAAGGCATCTTTCCAGCGATCACTTGAGGTGTACGTGCCACATCCTCCAAAATGAATCTCGGTAAGGAAAAAGAAGTTGTTGGGCATCTGACGGTGACCGTAAGAGGGAATTCCAGTGTTACGCCAGTCTACTGCGACACCACGTTGTTCATAAACAAGGTTTCCACTATGATAACTGTTAATGCGACTTTCGCGATGGTTGGGGAAGAACGCAAAATATGAGTTTGGATTAGCGTCACAGTTTCTGAAAGCCACATTTCTGCCATTGGATCTAAAGCAAGATTTTTGATAAATGGAGATTAGAAGAGTTTAGTTATCCTCAGTGCATGGTAGGGCCTATATATATATATATATATATATATATATATATATATATATATATATATATATATATATATATATATATATATACATGCATTTCGCTTTCGTGTTGCTAGTTCGTAATTAAAGATATGACATATATACCTAAATCCTAGCTCTAGTGTGTCTTAAATTAAATATAATTAAATCTCAAGTGATGATTGTTTTAAGATGTAGCTGTGAAATGAGTAACATGTCCATGATACCTGAATCCTTGAAAACTCTTGGCTTTCGCAATGGATGCAGGTAATATACCAAGATAGATATAATCACCCAGACCAGAGTTCAGCGGACGTTTATAGCCTGCAAAGTTATGCATCCGTACCCCGATTTGTTGTCTGGAGTAGCCTGGAAGTTGGGTTATGAGGGTGAATGGTTGTAGGCCATCTTTTCTTTGAAAACGAAGAAGGACTTTTGACTTGTCCTTGAAAATTTGTTTTATCAGGCTTGGGAGCTTGAATCGCCTAACAGCCTCACGCGGTATGAAGGTATATCCCCCACCATATTTTGCCATCTCGCAGTAGACTGTGATCACCGTGTTATCCACCAAAATGTCATAAAGACCGCTCAGTGCATGGGGTGCGCTTCTTTTTATTTCAAGACATGATCGTTTGTAGGTTGTTGAAGTCACTCCAGGGCTTAGTGTTGCCTTCAAAATGAAATAGATTTCAAAAATCCTGACAGTTTGTACTTTTGCTTCTTTTATAATGATTTGAAATAGATCATACTTGCATTGGTTACCGGAGGCTACTTACCATGAACGCACCAGATACATTGAGTAACAAGAGAAACAAGGCAAGACGATTCATGCTGAAAAAGAGAAACGAACGTCTATATATACGTGTGGAGCGCTTATACCGCATCATGTAGGCCTACCCGCGATATTTACGTGCAGTGTAGTGATTTGAATATGGTCAGCAGAAAAACAGGAACTATTACCAGTATCGCCAGTTTGATTGAATTTATTCCCCTAAACCAATATTAAGGCCTATTTAGACTACACGATAAGTTGCATGCAATTTAATTCTGAGGAATGCAAAAGAGTGCCTATATTCCACAATCTATATATATTCAATTTTGTTCAGGTTAAGGTGTTTGTTAAAGTGACACATGCATGCATTTGTACGTGTGTTCGTACGTATATATATATATATATATATATATATATATATATATATATATACATATATATATATATATATATATATATTATAATATATATATATATATGTCGCAATGCATGCAAAACCTTTCGAAGTTTATCTCATTTAGTGGCAGGCACCTGCATGTGTTGATTTCTTCAAATCTTCAGGTTCAATTAATATATAATTGTTCGTATAAGTTAGCTTATCATACCTGCTGGATGGAGTTTTCTGAGTTTTTCTTCTCATCAGATGAATGTGGTCTGCATTTAGATCAACCTGGACTCAATATGCGAGCAGAACAGAGAACACGGGCACTTTAATGCTTTCTCGAAGAAAGTCTATAATTACTTCCAACTTCCAAGCAAGTTAACAAAGGATATTTGTCTAGACGACATTGAAATAAATTATTTCTTTATATAATTAACTTCCTTGTCACTCATTCTAAAAGTTAATGAAAGAAGTTGAAGAAGAAAGGAAGATGAAGTAGATACCAATTTAGGATGATATATTAAAGAAAATTTATTTTGCCTGCTAGGCCACGAACATTCAACGTATTTTCAACGTTCTGATGTGCAAATTAATTTAAAATTGAGATGTTTCTACGTTAATTATGGGTCAGGTGTTCTACTCACTAGCCTTCATACAGGATGTTTCAAAGAAAGAAAGGCCTTCGTAGAGGATGTCCCATGGCCACTTAAGAACCGGCAAATATTTATTACATATTGAGCTTAACAAAAACCCTTTTATGCAAAGCTTTTTATCAAAGACCTTTTCATGCAAAGCGCGCCAACAAAAAATTTTTTATGTCTTGATGACACAAAATAACAAAATAGCTGCGGTGGAAGAAGCCATGCATGAGTTTATGAAGAAATATTAATTATATAGTTGCGCTAATACTTGCGATATTTTGCCTCCTATATAGGCCTCAAAAATTCAATGTATTTTCAACTTTCTAATGTGCAATGCAATGTTTCTACAGTAAGTTAAGGGTCAGGTTTTCTACTCACTAGCCTTCCTACAGGATGTTTCAAAGAAAGAAAGGCCTTCGTACAGGATGTCCCATGGCACCCACTTAAGAAGCCGCAAATATTTATTACGTATTGAGCTTAACAAAAACTCTTTTATGCATGCAAAGCTTTTTATCAAAGACCTTTTCATGCAAAGCGCGCCAACAAAAACTTTTTTTATGTCGTGATGACACAAAATAACAAAATAGCTGCGGTGGGAGGAGCCTCTGAGTTTATGAAGAAATATTAGTTAGTTGCGTAAATAGTTGCGATATTTTGCCTCCTTTTGCCAACTTTCTAATGTGCAATGAAATGTTTTTACAGTAAGTTAAGGGTCAGGTGTTCTACTCACTGGCCTTCATATACAGGATGTTCCAAAGAAAGAAAGGCCTTCAGAGAGGATGTCCAATAGCCACTGAATTAACGTAAAGAAAAAAAAAATTATGTATTGAGCGTAACAAAAACTCTTTTATGCTAAGCTTTTTAATCAAAGACCTTTTCATGCAAAGCTTTCTAACAAAAACTTTTTTTATGTTTTCAGATGACACAAAATAACAAATTGAAATAAAGGTGTGTTAAAAGTTGTTGGTCAAATACCACAATCTTCCACCGCTAGCTGGGTGTTATTGTTTTTGAACATTCATATTGGCGAACATACTTAAAAGCAATAAATTCAGTTTTCTTTAGTTTTGAATTCAATTGATTTCGAAAATTTTTTTTTTATATTTTGTGATAATTTCTTGCTGCCATGAAACAAGAGAGGTTTCACTAAAAAGTCAAATACCTACCCTTTTGTACCAGGTAAAGATTGAAGTTGCCATGAAGACTAACTGATAACTACTATATTGTCTTAAATTATAGATGTCTCAAATGGACGACTTGCGATTTTGACTAATTTCTTACCTCAGCGATAAAAAGTACATTTTCTGAAAGAGCTTACTAAAATTAGTAAAACTGCCAAGTTTGGCTGCGAATTGTTGTAAATTACGGAAAATATACCCATGCGAAGTTCACGAATTTTGTATACTTTTGTATATTACGGCCAGAAGTGTGAAACTAATTTGGTTGCACATTTCCGCACGTAATACAAAAGTATACAAAATTAATACTCCAACTTCGCATGGCTATATTTTCCGTATTTTAGAAAATTTCGCAGCCAAACTTTGCATTTGCACTAATTTAAGTATGATCTTTCCAGCTGTGATGATTTATTTTCTTCTAGTTACTTCGATAAAAAATTAGTCAAAAGTGCAAGTCGTCTATTCAGGAAGTTAAAAATCTGATATACTCTATATTTGGCCCAAAATCAGAACAGAAGGTATGGCGACATTTAGCTAAATGCTATACCATGCAAATTGTTTTTGATATAAATATTCCATGTTCGGGTAAGCGGGCACATGACGTTTACAACTTCCTATATACTAGAAATACGTGCATGCAGCAACCCCTCGCTAATTCAAACCAAGGCAAGGGCGCTTTTCTTAATACGGTAAAAACGGCCAGAACGGTCCTGTTGTATTTCAGTACAGACAGTCTGTCATGCAAATTACTGGTATTTTACAATTTAGAGTGTTTTTAATAACAAATCTGCATGTTTATCGTTATTTACATATGCCTAGTACAGGAAATATATATATTTTTAACGAAATACTCTACTTCAGCACAACTTCGATTCAAAATGACCTGCATGTCATGACCTGACCATTTTGGCCGCCTAATATAGAAAGCGCCCGAAGTACACAATTTCCTGAGCTAAACTGACCTAAACCGCTTATAATTTTTATTATGAAATGACTCAAAACTCAAATCAGTCCATACTATATTTTATCGAGTATGTTATGGCTAATGCTTCCATCATTCGGTACAAAAATGATCATAAAGCTATAGTGAAACATTGCATGGTCGTTCAATTTTTCCATGGCGGCAAAGCCAGCAATTAAGTAATGGTTTAAAATTGAAGTTCGGTGACAAGGCTTGGTGACATGTTAAGGAAAGATGGTAGAGAATGCCAATTGTCCTTAAGGTCAGCACTTCATGGAAGTCAAGACTGCATCTTACCGTGATTAGCTGCCGGAAAGATATGCGGCCAAAATGACGATTACATGCAGTCGTGAGCTTGATGATTGTGGATGTATGAGGGTCATCGACTATGCCGATGCTAGTCGATGACCGGGATTAACAAAAGTCTCTACTTCGGTCTTCGAATATCCATGCTTTGATGCACTTTACATTTTTTGTCATTATAAAAATTAATGACCATTTAAATTTCTAGAATGGTAATTTTAAAGAAGCTATACACCTACATACAACTTAAATATTTGCAAACAAAAACACACAGCTGCCAAACTGTTTCATGAAAAAATCAAATTATGTGTGTCATCATAAATGGCGAACATCATTATGAGTTCAATATCAGTTACTTCCTTGTCGTGATTTTAAATTGTCAAATGTTTCCAGCAAAATATTTTGGATTCATTGTGATAAAAAGTCGCAATTAAAGTGCCTATATCACTTGTGGGATCTTAACGGATTTGAATAGAGCTTGAAAAATTAGTTTATAAGTTCTACAACCCTTTTTGATATAATTAAATAGTTTCGGAAACATTTACATCTAAACATGAGGATTTACCTAAATTTCCGTCGTGCTCGGGGGCCTGGGACTCAGGAACCGAGTTCTTGTCAAACATATTATAATCAATTGTAATTTTACTTCGATCTTCCAAAAACGTAAAATATTTTGAGAAAAACTCGCCCAGTTGCTACAGCCATACACAACGCACCGTTCCCGCATTTTTTTCTTGAAAAGCGCAAACTATATTGCCAGTGAAACTCTTCATGCTTACATTATAAAAGACGGCGTGTTCGCAAATCTTTCCTGAGTCCCAGTCCCCCCAACCGACGTATTTTCGAAACTATTTAATTATATCAAAAAAGGTTGTAGAACTTATAAACTAATTTTTCAAGCTCTATTCAAATCCGTAAAGATCCCACAAGTGATATAGGCACTTTAAGCACAATTAGCGTTTACCTATCATAACGATATCAGTGAAGTCTAGCTCGGTAAGCTTGGTTCTTATATGTCACCGACATGTTTGTGGACGGGGCCGAAGAAAATCTATTTAAAATAACAAAGCACTTCGTTAATCAGAGACTACAGATAAGGTTACACATGAGAACTAGGATTTTGTATTTTTTCTTCGCCACCTGCAAAAACAAATACATCGCCGACTATTGGCGATGAACGTGGCATTCTACGATTTTCCGGCGAGAAAACGATGATAAAAGTAAAATATTGGAAGATTAGACTTTAGAAGTAGCTACAATTGACCATAACGAAAAAGATGGCCGCATGTACATTTTACCAGAATGCATTGTAGGTATTAAGAATGATTGACTGAAAAAAGATGGCAAGAAAAACACATTATAATGACGTGAAATTTTAACACAGCGAAGAAAATAACTTCTTGTTTTATGCCTGTCCTTTACAAGACGTCAGTTCGCTTTTTTAAACGATTTCCGACCGCAATGGATTCTGTTGAAATGTACATCCGCCATCTTTTTTGTTATGGTCAATTGTCCCAGAATTCACTGGCTTCATCAGTAAGTAAATTGACCAGCACACGCTGCTTTTACTTTTTATCTTTATTTTAATCGCGACCAGTGTGTGTGGGGCTTTAGAAAGGAAAGTACTTCATGAGTAATATTGGAGAAATGGTCCACTGCGGAATATTATAATCAGCGATGTTTTGCGAGATGATCGGTTTTGACAATATAGCTGTACATGCACCTGTACTGTGCAAGAGTTGTATGCTTGGCAACGAGCCGTCAAACGTTGGCGAATTCGCGAGTTCGTTGCACGAGGACAAAACAAGTAATAACGTTGCCATTTCTTAGGCAAAAAAATATGTGTTTGAGGTTTTATCTTCGGTTGCGTCATTAAGACGAACAGAGGCGCCTCACCATGCAATAGCTGAAAACCTAAATATATATATATGTACTCTGTCATCATTATAAACAACTGCAAAGATAATTATGTAATATGCTGGCCTACACAGCTAGGCTAGTAATATGCCAAATGTATGCCAGTACGTAGGGGTTTAAGGTTTAATTAAGACGCATTAGCCGCGTTTTCACTTTTGTCGTACGATTTTAGGCCGGATAATTCGTGTCGAATGATTAATATTTTTCTGTCTGTTTGCTCGTGTTAACATACAGACGAACTAAATGAATAAGATGACGAACTATATCATTCTTTCGTTTGCCCAAGTTCGTCTAGACGGATGATCTGCCTCTAGTATAACTATAAATCAGGCAGTCAAAATTAAAACTCGCGGTAAATTTGAATATGAAAGGCACCAGTAATAAGTAATAACTCACCCTGCTCATGCAATTCAGATGTAATTTCTTTCGCTTGTACGACACAACACTGTTTATATGGACCGCGTTGACTGAATAAGACTATGGCCCATATTTCAACTACATATATATAGCAGCTCTAGTTGCATGCTGATGCATGCATGCAAATCCACGTTGTTTAGAAACGCAATGCGGGATGAAACTAATGAGCATTATTTATTTACCGACAGTCATATGTTAATTACCAACTCAAGCATTAAAACCTTACAATCAATTCAATTCTGTCAACTCCCACTATTTTGCACGATTGGTGAACAATGGTCAAAACAGGCTTAATGCTTAAGCTAGAGCCGCTACAGCCCGTTTGATGATCCGAATTTCAGCAATTAAATACATGGTGGAAATCTTTCACGCGGTCATTATGGCGGCATCACACCACAAGAATCTGTGGGGAATATACAAAGAAACAGCGATATTTTAGTCGTGTTGGTTCGTTTACACCTCTCAACCAACAATAACCAACAACAACTAAGGCACTTTGATTTGCTTGTGTGCCAAAGCAGCTCATATAAGCGGAGAATGAACATTACAGACATTTCGAAGGGAGCAAACGACTCTTTCGAGTTGGAAGAAGAACCGTCACTCGCAGTCAGTTTGTTTTTGAGCGAGACAGAAATCACCTGCTTAATATTTTTTCTCGTGTTCTTCGGGTTAACGGGATTCATACAGAATCTCGTGGTGATTTTGTCAATTAGCCTGACGGATGGTTTCTTGGACGCCCCCGCGAACATCTTCGTCCTGAGCCTGGCTTGTGCGGACATTTTGGTCTGCGGCGTTTCCGCCCCGCTGTTGATCTACAATTGCTACAACTGGATTTTTACCACTTTCGTAACCCTTAGCAAGTTCATTGTTGTGGCGACAACAGGAAGCGTGTTTCTCATGACGGTAAACTGCTTCATCTCGACTATCAGGCCTTTGAAGTATTCAAGAATTATGACACATAGACGTGCCGTGGCTATGGTCGTGATGATCTGGTGCATTGCTATCCTGGTGTCGGTATTAGCGATTATCGGCTTAAGCTATAATATAAAATCCATCGTCCACATTACGCGCTATTTTCTGATTTTCTACGTTACCTCGTCGTCCGTAATGTACCTCTACATGTACTCTCTGGCGAGAAAACATCGAAAAGAGTTAAGGAAGCTGAAGTACGCCGTTGCGGGTCACATCCAGAAGTTTTCCAACGAATTCAGAGCATTGCGTTCGTTGTTTATGGTGGCGGGAAGTTTCGCAGTGTGTTGGCTGCCGATGACGATTGGATTTTTCTTCACGAACAATAAAACCCAGCCGGAAAAGTTCTATCGCACCTTCTGTTTTACAGCTCCGTTGGCTGTGATAAACTCGATCCTCGACCCGACCATTTACTATTACAGAAGCAAGGGATTCAGACTTTCGTTGAAAACACTCTGGAAGCGCTTTCAACACCAAGTATGGTCACTGAGAGGATGGTGCTGAACTCGGAACGTTTACAGTTTTTTTCATTGATATAATATTGATGACATAAAGACCATTACCCATTGACGTTGCAATGTGCTTTTCACAGAATTCCCACCAGTGCATGCATATTATGTGATTTGTTTTGACACAGGATCCCTTTAATTAACAAAACGAAAGCGAGCAAAACGAAACAAGACCATTATTCGACGCCTTATCGAAAAATTAGGTTTATTGTATGCATGAAAAGTTTATCAGAGACAGGATACTTAATTAACTTGCATAAGCTACACTATTGTATACGCTGCTTTTTCAAAACAGGCATGAATTTTCAGTACCTTAATTTTTACATGCCCTGATAAGAATTTTTTCAGCAATTAGCTTATTTTTTCATTGTAGGATTTAAAATCTTCGGGTAAATAATATTCTGTAATAATAGATTGGAATTTGTTTCAAAACTTGTCCTTTTTTGGCTTTGTGTATAGACTATAATATAATTTACTGAAATATTTTATCTTTTCCTTTAAATTTTTATTGTGAATTGAAAATTTTATTATTTTTTTCTATAAGGTTTTTAAAATTTCATTTTTAAATTTAAGTTTACAATATTCAATTGAAAAAATTAAAGATCCATAAAATCGATAAAATTAATAATTCTTCATAATAGAAAGATGGCGGCGAGGCGTTCAAAAATATAATTCTTATCACCGTATCCTAATATGTGTCACAATCATTAGTATCGGTGCCTTTCACGAACTTTTGTGTCTGCATGATGTTTTCTGTGAAATATATAAAATTTACAAGAAAAAGAGCATGTTGTCACAATCTGTCCGTTCGCAGCAACAGTAACGTTTGCCATGTTGTGTATATATAGCTATATAATTGGAACTTTAAGTTTAACAATTTTAAATATTATTGTTTTTTTGCTTTCTACCCCTGTCTAGAGAAAAATCCAAAGCAATTCCAGATATTCAGTTTTGGAAAGGTGTGCTGCTGTTTTCACTATTGATATACGTGTGTTTTCTAGCACAGCTTTATCGCTGTGTAATGGAACATATGCACCATGCATGGTGTGTATGAAAGCACGACTTCCTTGAGAACACGCCTTAGAACGTGTTAACTGCGTGTTTACACACCTTTGGACCTGCTATATGCACACCTTACGGTGCGTTAAACACACCTTTAGGTGTATCAGCAAACCCACCTTTTGATATGTTGAAATTCGAACATACCTTTTTCTGCGTGAATTTTTGCGGTACGGCAATAGACCTTTTTCATAATGACGTCAAACGCGGAAAGTCTGATGTTACACGAAGTTTGATTGGCTCGATAGTTTTGCAAAGCCAATCAAATTTCGTAGTAAATCAGACTTTCCGCGTCTGACGTCATTATAAGAAAGGTCTATTGTTAATTCGAACAGATTCTTAATTTCATAATTAAAAATAATTTATTTCGTTCTAATCTATAGTTGAAAGTTCGCGGTAATTGTAAAGCACTTTAAACTTTAAGCAAATTTTTACAAACTTCAAGAAATTAAATGCGCAATGTACGCGTCCCTTCCTAATGGGGACCTTATAAGATGCGCCAAATCTACGACGCGGACGTAACATGAAATCAGCCGGAGTTGTATAGAAAACCAGTTTTAATTAATTTAACATACAGCTCTGACCTTGTTTACCAAAAGGAGTCCATAATTTTTATTCCTATTGTGAAACTGTGGAAATGAAGACAGTATTACTTCACGTCCGCATCGTCGACTGCCAATTTTTCGGTTTACAGTGCAGAAGTGCCTCGAACCCCAGTTCATTTGCTAGGATCTCTTCTACGTTTATTATATAATTTTCGCTAAAATATCATGATAGGATTCTACCCACAACTTAGGGTTTACATTTCAACGTATATATATATGTATATATGCCCTATATTCGTACAAATATGGCCGCTACAACATTGCTTTCTGCCGAAAGTGCCTGCATGCCAAATACAACAGTGCATGTAACCATGTAGTCTGCATGGTCCCAGAAATTTGAACACTGAATCCGCTATATCCGTACGTTTCATGTAAGTCAAACAGAAAACTTGAATAAATGAATGTCCTTAAGGCTATGCGCTATAAATCGATTTTTCATCTAGGGAATAAAAGGAAAATTTTCGGAAAGAGCGTGCTATAACATTAGTAAAATTGCTAAGTTTAGCCGCGATATGTTGTAAAGTACGAAAATTACAGTCAATTTGTTTCACATTTCCGAACGTAATACAAAAATATACAAAATTTGCCAACTTCCATAGCCATAATTTTCGCATTGCGCAAAATTTTGCAATTATACTAATTCAGGTATGCTCTTTCTAGCTCTGCTAATATATTTCCCACTTGTTGCCCAGGTTTAAAATTAGCCTATAGCGAAAAGGCCCATTAGCAATATATTATACATAATTGATATATTATAATTGTCGAGAAAAACAATTTTGTGGCCGCCATTTTTCTTCATATAGGGTCTAATGCATAATCGTATGTAAAAGTCTATGAATTATCGTTATTTTCTCAGATAAGACATTTTAATGAGAACACCAAATTTGTGCTGAATGCCAAACGGTAGGTGTGGCTACCTACTTGCATATCGCGTTGCCGCATTGTTAATTCAACTAACCGTTCTCAATTTCCATTCATCAGGCGCATGGGCAGGCATGCACAATGCAATGTTGGATCAAATCTACTTTTGCGAAGGATTGATTAATGTTGACACGTCCCAAATCTGCAAGAAAAAGCATATTAAAATAATTGTTTCATAAAGAATTACTTGGCACAATGTTTAAAGTAAGAGATATGGAAATAAAACGCGTGTTGAACGAATATCCTAGCACCTGACAAGAAGCTTAGAAGAACTTGAAAAAAGATTCACACCAAGAAACTCATTCTAAAAAGACATTGAATTTATGTCCACTTGAAGCATTTTCGTGCTCTACGATGCTGAATCGATCCTATCTGATGGATATTTTATGCATGTGTATAGCTGCGTATTTCACTGGTAATATATATACTGCATGCGAGCTAAACACTGGGCTATATTTCATACCTTAACTATTCTGTCGCTTCCACACGTTAAAAGTTTTCCTTTTGTAATATCGATGCTCACATCCAGCACAGGATGTTTGGTGTTGTGGAATAAAGCCATCGGTCGGCGACTATAAACAATTGAAAGAGCAACAACAGAAGTGAGATTGGATTTCAGGTTTTTTAGAATTATAGAGTTTGATACCAGTATATATAATTTTTTTGTTCTTAAATGAACATGCTTAAAATACTATTAGCACGAATCTATTTGCAGGTATAATCTCAATGAATCAAAATTAAGAATTATATGAAGTGAATGATAATGTCAATTATTCTTTTTATACGGGATTTTCAATGTTGAAAATGTAAAACTGACTCCTTCGACAGTTATAATAATTATCCATTACTAACGCAGTATTTGCAATCACGTTATACATATTCCAGATTATTAGGTACATCAATATGAAATTCTTTTTCTGAACACAGCGCACTTCCCATGCATCCCCGGAGCCGGGAGGGTGAGCAGAAAGAGTGCAAATTTATGTATCAATCCAAATTTAGGGGGATTATATACGAAAAGTATATGTATCGAGTTAGTGTTTGGAATTTAGAGTCTTCTAAGACTCTTCAAACAAACATTATATCCTTACCAGGGCTTCGTCAACTTATTTGCATATAATTATACTGTCCTCATATAGGGGGTCCACATATCAATGACAAAAGAGAAAGGCAAATAATTTTTGAAAAGAATGCATAATATATCCTATTTACACAGATCCCTTCCTCCCTCGTGGTTGTCATTTCGAAAGACGTTTCCTTCAAATGTGGAAGCTCTGAATTTAATCTTAGCTATATCCCTGTTGTCGTGACCCAAAAAACCCCTGGTGACTGGTCTCCAACTTCCCCCCTAGTTCAGAGAATAAAGAAAATATAGCAACTTGTATTCTGCTTGGCAAGATATACTCACTCTTCATTTGTAATCGTTTCAAAACAGGTCAGACATACACGAACATCGTACTCATAGCCAAGTTTTGGTAACGTGGAACGTTTTTGACTGCATTTATCACACGCAGCCTTTCCACACTTTCTACAATGGTGCTGTGTAAGTAAAAAACATTATAGAATATTCAGAATATTATAGAATATCACAGAATGTTCAAGTAATCAATAGAGTAGGAAACAATCCAAGTTACTTGTGGAATTATACAAATATACAGCAACCAAGGGTGCTCGATTACTGAATACTGAATAAGTATAACGCCAGTATTCCGAAGGTTTGTTTTCTGTTTGAAACCGAGAATGCAAAGGGCCGTCTATAAAACGGTCTAATACATTCACTTATAGTAATTGATGGCAACAGGTATATTTTGTGTGCGTGCATAAGGGAAACGGGGTTTATGGAAGCTGTTTTAAATCACTTAAATTCTCAGATCTTGCTCATCGCGACAAAATGTAATAGCATGCAACTAATTTGTACTATCATGAAAAGAGTTGTAGGTATAGTTCTACATGTGAAACTTTAGTTTCTATTCTATAATATAGTCCAATGTGTTACACACATAGCTACATATATATAGAGTCCAACAAACCTGTCGTAAACCAAGCTGTTTTTGATCCCACATTTGTTTAAACGCCCAGAAAAACGGACTATTGCAAAACTGGCACATGTCACTTTCTTTCCATTCCGGTGTCTGAAAAAGCAAATCGATCGGTTCACGGTTTTAAATTTAATTTTAAATTGTTATACTTCTGTGTAATTGTTATAAAATACTGTATTATTTACCAGAATATTTAAACTATTGTGGTATGAGCTTGAGCTAGGGTAAACCATACAGTAGGTAACCTAACTGTACCATACAGTACTAGCTAGGACATTTCGAAGGTGCATGGACTTAAATTTTTGCATTTTTAATTCAAAATCAATTTACTTGATTCAAAGTTTAAACACATGTCGTAAAAGTGGTATACCTCAGTTCTTTTGGCGGTCATATCCCATATACCCAATATACCATCACTACTGATGCTGAAAAGGCGCTTTGAGTGCGATACACAGCCCAATCCGACAACTTTTGAGTGATGCCCTTGCAGTTCAAGCGCAGTGCCCTTGCCACCACCAATGTCCCAGACGATCACAGAATTATCAAAACTTCCGGAGAACAACTGCTGTTTATCTGGATCCCATTCTAACGATCCAATGCTTCCTGTGGAAAAGCATGACATATTGTTTTTGCTTGCTGTTTTAGATGTATTGATGTTCCGATATATTTGAAGCGGGTTCATCCGACTCATCTATCCGAAAACTCGAGATATGAGGTAATTCTCCGGATAATTTCCTGAAATTTTACGCAATGGACTAACGAGGAGTTGAGCAAACGGCTAAAATTTAGCAACTAGCCGAAGAAAGAGTCAATCATGCAGACATGAGGGGTTATAGAAGTCGAAATCTTACTGCAAGTGGAAGTAGGCTAAAGCGACCTAGTTTTCACTAGTTCTCGTGATTAGCTCGTACCAGAGTCTTGCGTGCGCAAGATAGAAGAGATTAGGAACGAAGCTGAAGAAGCAAAACCCCCCAAGGTAAGGGCATTGTCATGCATCTGAACGCCGAAAAACCGAGACATTTTGAAACGCCTGCCATGTTCTAACCTGAATGGCCTTTTAACGTAGTTTTAAGTGAGACCAGATTGTTTTCCAACCGTAAAACGCTTATAAGGCCACTGTAGTCACCTACAAAAACATGTTTCGTCTGTGCATCGAATCTGTGGTTCAGGATTAAGGAAAATAAGCTGTAACACGCGAAAGGGATGTTTGTGTGCAGCACAATTTGAATTTGATGCACTAACGTTGGAGTGTACGTTTATAACGAGCTAACATTTCTAATGTTTTTGCTCAGTACCTAAATTTTTACAGTCAAGCAAATACCTTGGAGTATTACATAGCTACTATTTTTACAATGCCCCTCTACATTACAGGGTGATGTAAGGGTAGTCACACCAAAATTGCTGCCATTAGTTTCAATTATGGTAAATTTCGTACTCGAAAGCCAGACGAATACGATTTTCATCAGATGGCGCAGCACCCAGCTTGGCGCGAAAATGACGATCTTGTCACCGTACTCGTTGTCACTGCGAAAACTCCCTATTCTCGAGTCGCGAGGTAAAAGACCAAAATAAAATTAGAAGAAGACATCAAGTATGCGTTAACTAGCTCGGGCTACGTGACGGGGAAGGAAAATCATATACTTTGCATTGAGCTATATTGACATACTTAACACACCATCGCGCACCTGCTGTAATTATTTGCGACGGTCGACAATAAGTTATTTAATCGCAATAGTACAATTCAGCCTAGAATTAATCAAGGCACATATTACAGTAGCTGCATCCGACGAGCACGCTAGCAAGTTCTGCAACTCGACACGATGTGTGTGGCGTACGTTTGCACAAAAGGATACTGTACGGATGTACACCATGCCTGCGTTTGATAACCACCCACCCTCTTTCCTTTTTTGGTCTCGTGCCACTGGAAGTATTTATCTCGACCAACACTCAGTACCCACTCGTCCTCCAGGCTGAAGCAGATTCTCGTCACCCTTCCCATGTGCGCTGAAATTGAATTGAAATGTTATAATAAAGATATTAAAGTAAATTAATTACCACCAAAGAGAGTAAAATTGCAGCACTTGTCTGTTAACAAAATATCGTAGTATACAGAAGATGAAGCCTTGTGATGGTTGCAAATACAACCATGTTGCGCGTGGTAATCGGCATGAAGCATGGTAGCTAACAGTTTCTAAGCGCACTGGTCAAAAGATATATGAGAGTCATTTTTACACTTTGGCTTATCCACCGTTTCGAAACGCCTTTCGAACAACCAGCCCCTGGCCTGGAATAGAATCCAATGCAAGACATTAGCTACAAGTCTATAATCTCATACCATTGCCCATATTGTCTAACAAAGTTTGCAATTTTACTAATTTAATATGCTTTTTGCTTTGGCATTTACCAACGTTTGCATTAAAAGAAAAACGCGACTTGCTGTAATTTCCTAAGAAATCAATTTTCTTTTCAAAGTGCGAAAGATTTAGTTCCCTAGAAATTTTAAAATTGTTGATTGAAATTGCTGATTGTCAATATGTTTCCATCCTTGAGTATACAGTAACTCGGCATGCAGTAATCCTTCTAGAATACAAATTATGGCTATTTAAAAATTAAAATTCCTAGACAACTAAAGTTATTTGCGTTTCAAGTGCAAAATGGTTTTCGTGCGAAATTCCAACTAGCGTTTTTTTAGCTGCATATAATTTACTTTAATATTTCGGCAAAACTTCGTACCGATTAACGCTGGAAATCACATTTGAGAATCAAAAACTGACAAAATTCATACGTTCCACGTTATTCCCTCCCCTAAGTCAACTGCCAGTATATGGCCTAGGTTATGGCTAGTTTTTGGCTGATGGTTTGATTTATTTGAGTGGGCTCTATGCATTAATTATAAAAAAGCTCTACAAACCCAACTACCCTAAACAAAACGTAATTTTTGCAACATCTGCACAAAGTTGGTGATTCTGAAGACCAGAGGGAGTGAAAACAATGCTCATGTCTATCAGTAAAGTTTGTGAGGTTACCCACCTAAATAATTCCGGGAGTGATTTAGTCTGTTCATATCTTTTGAAAGAGTGAACTCCTAATGGAACAAAAAATATGTACATACACTGCTGGTATATTCAATGTGTCTGAGCAGGGCCGTAGCTAGAAGCTTAATTGGGGGGGGGTGTATATTCATACATTTGTCTTATGCCTGACTGATTTCTTTTGTACGCTATTGTTCCTATGGTATATAAACATGAATATATGAATATACCCCTGCCCCCCCCCCCCAATTAAGCGGTCTAGCTACGGCCCTGTGTCTGAGATTGATCATTATTAATTGTGGCATATTGCAGGGTGATTCTCCGGTCACACACCTGATAATGCTATTCTATTTTGTTACATGGAAAATAAGAAGCCTAAAGAAACAGTAATGTCACATGTGTGAGCAGAGAATCACCTTGCAGAGAGCAATGAAAATCTCAAGGAGGATTTTAACTTGCATATGTCAGTATCTAGATCACTGCTCATACTTACAGAGATGGTTCCATTATCAAGACCAACAAACACCCTTCTCGATTCGCCATGATAATCCAAAGAGCTGCAAGGCTCTGTTGGTGGTGAATAATATCATATATGATATAGATTTTGGTGATGATGTTCAATAACTAAATATATACTGATAAACTCAGCCATTAATCTATCTCTGCAAGAATTAATTGCATGATTATACTGATGTCCAAGCGAATGGTTTATCAAGAAATTCACAGTAGACTGGCTGTTGAAATAGCATTGTCACACACTCTAAAGTTAAGTGACCAAAACATAAATTAAGATATTATTTACACAGTGAAGATTAGCAATATGACAGTGCTATACTCTACACTCCATACATACTTATCACTACATAGTACAATAGAAGCGAAGAAAATCAAACATTCTGATGAAAAAATCATATGTACCGGGTAAGAGTGAAAGAATAAAAAGTCTTGATTTCTTTATAGTGTTTGCAAAATATTATGTTGTAGTAAATAACAAACTTGAATCAACATTATTGCCTTTATCACCCGAACAGACTGAACTTAATTATTATAAAAAAAGAATGTAAATTGATCAATTTTGCAATTAATATCTGAAGGTTTTAATGCCAAAGGGTAATGACTGTTGAAATTCACCCTTCGTTAATATGGACAGATTTTTATTGCCTATTTTGCTATATTTTTTGCACAGCTTTTACACAGAATGCAGCCAACCAGGATAGATAGGGGACAAATACAGGTATGCCCTATTGTCTCTCAGCAAGTATTTTCAAATCAAGATTAATTGTACAAATGAATAATATAAAATAAAAATATAATTCATTTCTGTAGTTTGATGCATTGAAAATATATAAGAGTTTAACATACTATTGTATATATCTCAATATACCAAATATCAAATTTTTATTTAACTATTGCAATTAAGATCAATCTCTGGATTATTCTTACCAGACATCATGTGACATATACTAGGCCAGTACTGGCCACTTTCACGCTTTATCCACACACGAACACTCCTTGTAAATGAGAGATGTTTGATTACGAGTGGCGAGCGAAAGAGGAACATGTATAAAATTATATTGTAAATGTATGTCGACATGCTCATTAAGTACTTCATTGCCTGTAAGAAATATAATCCTACCGATCATCAGAAACTGTAATCACGGCGTCTTCGTGAGGGATAGATCTTGCCTGATTTACAACACCACTACATCCTTCGAGTTTGTTTTTTAGAATCGGACGGGGATTCTTCTTCTTTGACGCCTCGTCAACTGAGTCTTCTATTTTGGCAGCCATTTCCGACTTCTGTAAATCCGAAAAATTAATTTTGCCAATTTTGTCAACATTACGTAGTTTCGAAAGCAGTATCCATCAAAATTCCTCAGATCTTTATCTCATCTTCCTTGCTCGAACCCCATTGCCAGTTCTGGGAAGTTAAGGAAAGTTAATGGTAATCCTTAATATTTTCCTAGTTTCGTACCTCAAATTTCCAGAGAGGAAATTTCGACCAGGTGGTTAAATCTGAGCCGGTTGGTCAGCTGCCTTACGACACATAACAAATTGTAACAAATTTCATGTGTATTCCAAATTCCAATTTCCAAATTTAAATCTGATATATTTTAAAGAATTTTAGCGCAATGGGCGAAAGTTTTGTTGAAGCGATCGGGAAACAGTTTGTGGACGAGTCCAGGTTTGTTTTAGAGTTACGTTAGGACTTGATGTTTATACACAGTAGCCATGTCAGATCTTCCATGACCATGTGTCTCAGTGGTCATGTTATTGTCTGATGCTACAGATTTGTACAGTATGCTGTTCATTTTCGTGTATAGTCGAGTTATTCTATTTTGTTTGCATCAGGCATGCCTTGGAATTTTTAAGTTCTATGGTTCTATTCTAAAAATGATTGATTTCTCACCCAGATTAGATTAAAGTTCAAACACCACACATTGGTGTGAATACTAGTTATATATCTTCAAAGTCAATAATTGTTGTTTTTAAGGCCCTGCTTATACTATATTGGATTCTTATGGCCACAAGATCATCTGAAAGCAATTTAGCCCTTTGGGGTAAATCATACTTTTGGTTGTAAAACTCACTTTGGCAGGTTAATTTTAATGTTGTGACCATGGGAATCCCATATAGTGTAAAAAGGGTGTAAATGCATGACATGTTGACAGCTGCCCATAATGAACCCCTGAGGCCATGCTACACGGTGCAAAAAGAAGAATTGCATTGCAAGTTGCAAGAAAAATTGCACTGTGTATAAAGGGCAAATACATTTTCTAATCCTTCTGACAACTACATATATACAAACCTTATACCAAGAACAAATGCAGATCTCCAATTAACTTCCATCTGCTGATCTGAAGTGCTTTGAAATGAAATATTCCTAAACACTTAAAAGGAAACTGTGATATTGATGTTTCACAAATGATGAAATTAAACTGTCTGCGTGGAATATCATTTATGTTGTCCCAATTGTCTAAAATGTGAAAATGGAGGTTAAAATTCTTTGCTGTGTTTCTATGTTATGCCATTTTACTATATATGCTAATTTCCACATTAATTGTCCAAGCTTATGTCATGCATGTGTCGAAAACAAATATAGTTGTCTGTATCAATCAAATTTATTCAAATGTGTTGCCTTCATTTTGTCTTATAGCTCTTTAGCAGATAAGTTTAGAGCTCTTTTTACACTGAAGAATACTGGAGGACATAAAGCTATTGACTGGATTTGTAAAGGTTGGAATTCTATCAGAAATCTATAAGTTCCTTCATATTACTGCATGTTAAAACCTACCCGGCTTTGATTTGAATACTGATGGTCTATAAGTACCCATATATTGTACCCAAATGTAATATGTAATATATATATATATATATATCCAAATGTAATTGTTTGTAATGGATAAAAGAGTGCTCAATACTAATTACAAGTAGAGCGAGTCATTTATTGAATTTATCTTGAAATATTGTCGTCGCTACACGTGAAACACCGTGTAGCGACGACAATATTTTAAGATAAATTCAATAAATATATATATATATATAACAGGAGGTCCGATTTTAGTAAATCTATTTTGAGACATGTGCCCATCAATAAGGCCGGCTTCTTACTTATTACTTACGCGTTTTTCATACGCACGTAAATTCTAAACGACTAAATCAGTTTATATATTTTATCTTTGGAAAACTATATATATTTATATATAATGAATAAATGGAATTCACTTCATTATCCGGGGGTTTTTAGTATGCGAGTTTTTGATTTAGTGGTTAAATTTCTTGTTAAATTTTTGCAATTGTTGGATGTGGGAAGAGTCTGTTTCTAATACGGAACGTAGTCTAATTAGAAGGAAAGTTTGTCAATTCATAAACTTGAATATGCCAGGAAATCATTTAGATTTTCCGCATTTTGTAAAGATTTATAACGATCTCCCTAAACACTTACGTTTGGTTGATAAAGAGCTTAAAAAGCTATTTAGTGAACATTTGGGATGATATGTGGCTTATCAAAATTTTTATTTATTAGATATAATTCATCTTTAAATTATATCGAACATTAAAAGCATATAATTTGAGTTTGGGTTGGCTAGGTTTCTGGGTGTAGGCAAAAATCAATGTTCGGAAACGTCACAGCGGGATATAAGACTTGTTCCTATACTACGTTCTGATGTTGCCGTGTATATCTATTGTGGCACAGACAACGGCAATTGTAATCCTATATTTCTTATATCAATAGAAAAACAAAGAAAAAATATTCTAAAAAGTATTTTTGTGCAAGCGTTCATTCATGTAGTAATAGGTTGTAGCTCTCGACCAGTCAAAACGCATAAAGTACTTTCAGTTTCATGATTATATATAAATTCATGCATTAATGAAATAAACTTTTTACTTCTTTTTTTAAATTCCCCCAACTGTGAAATATTTTGCATTGTGTTTGATGTAGGTTTCGAACATGATTCGGCCTTACTGAAACACGAGTGTGCCTATTGTCTTGGTCAAATGCAGGTGATTATCATTAGCTGTGACTTTAGCTTTGTATATTTATCTTTCAATATATTTTATTACTTGTCAGTATTTATATATTCAATGTGCTTTGTAGTTTTTCTTAATTATACCTTACTTTCCTTGCTTCGCAGGATCGAGGTATTAATGCTTTTAGGTAGCCACTTGACTTGCCCTAGTGTGTTGTCCTGCTTTGTCCAGTTTCGTTTGGTCTTGCCATAGGTAGCCCAACAATCAGGTTTTTGATGAAACAGGACACTCTTGCCAGTCTCAATATATTTTGACCACGCGCTGCATTACGTACGTCACTCGGGTCACGTATATAGTATATAATTACATACTAATAATTTTTATATATTATATACACAAGCGCCAGATATGAGGTATGCTGCAATTTCATTGGTTGGCTACTAGACAGATATTAGCTCATATCTGTTTAGTAGAGAAAGTAAACAAAATGGCGGAAAGATTTGGGGAGTTGAGTGAAATAGAAATCCAAGCCTAGTTGATAATAGCACACCAAAATGCACCGAAAGGGCGACAAAGTTTGTGTATATACGCGCCTCGGCGGCTATCAGCTCATATACGACTCGAGTTCGCAGAATAACTGTTAAGTGTATACTATATACGTGACCCGAGTTACGTACGTAATGCAGCGCGCGGTCAAAATATATTGAGACTGGAAAGAGTGTCTTGTTTCATCAAAAACCTGATTGTTGGGCTACTTATGGTCTTGCATGTCTTGTAAGCTTACACGACGTAGTACCAGACTTTATGTTAAGACGTCTGTTGTCAGTGATCGTTTATTAATGCTCTTGTCTTACCGTCTTCTTGAATGATTTACATACTACAAATAGAATGACACCTGCATGCAAGCTCGAGATATGAAGAATATTTGACAACGACGGTGACTTTGACGTCGAGAAAACAACGTAAAATTCATGTCTTGCTGTCAATACCTCACTTCAATTTTTTGTAGCTATATTTATTCTTAATTTTGATATTATATTTTTTCCCATCTTTTTTAGGACGAGTATGCCATACCGTTCTTAATCAGGTAGGAGATTGTTATCAAATTTTTTCTGAAATCCCAGCGCTTCGAAAGTTTGTAAAAAGGTCTTTCTCTTTCAAACGAATATGAAGCCATTGACTTATGGGATTGTTAGCTATGTTACTCGCGCTTTTGTTTTTTGAACATTATGATAATGTTTTCTACCTTGCATGCATAATATCGTCTTAAAATTAATGTATCATTTATGTTTTATTAAGTCTGAACTTTCTTTACATGCATGAGGTCATTTCTGTTGACGGATAACATCAGTATAATGATGTTTTAGTAAACTTAAACAATGATGTGTTTTTACGAAGAAATATGGAGCAATATACTGATAAAAGGTCAATTCTATTTTCATGCCAAATGAAATTCCCCTTCATCCCTCTGTTTTCAATGCAGGTTCTTGCATAGCTCTAATAGCTTTGTAGTCAAGCTTTTTTCAATGCATGGTTTTATGTTTACTATAGAAATTTCTTCAGCAAAAAGACCTATAATGTATATATTCCTGTATAGCCCTTTTGCAAACAAAATTCAATTCAGTTAAATCAACTCCGACTATACGATGATAATTTGTTCCATTTCACCAGAGTATTAGAGGACAGAAATCAGGAACCTATGGTTAGACACGAGGTATGCAAACATTGCGCTTATTCATTTTTCTGCTTTATGGGATGCGCCGAGTTCCATAAGTTTCTGTTTCTTATACACGTAATTTATAGTTTGTTCAGATCGACTTTTGACAAAGAGTAAGAAAATTTAGAGTGAACCATGCCGGCCGAACCAAGTGAAAATATACTTAAATCGTCAATTTGCAGAAAAAACCACGTGTATTTATTCCGACATCCTTTGAGACAAGTGCATGGGTTTTTTATTTATAATCTTAATCTTAAACGATGATTACAAGCCAGTCATGCATGTCTTATGAAATTTTTAAGTTTTATCAAAATACGCTCCACATAGAGTGCTCTAATAACATTCTTGAAATTTTGCATTTGAAATTTTATTTAGTAATTAAATAATTAATTCGTAAACTAACGTGGTGTTTTTTACAAAATTGATGATTTTTAATGGTAATTGCCCTGAGTGGAGTGCAATTTGGTGTGAAATCAAACGTGTGATTACAAAATCGCACGACTGCGAAGCGGGAGTGTGATTTTTAATCACAAGTTTTATTTCACACCGAAATTGCACGACACGAAGTGCAAATGTGCAATTTCCACTTTATTATATTCATTTTGAAATTATACAAAAAATTAAACAAATTCAATACGATTTATTGCCTGAAAGAATTGTAAACGATGTAAAATGTGAGTAATTTTCATCTATTTTTTGTCAAGAAATTTTGCAGGGGCCAGTTGTTCAAAGCTGGGTTAGCTAACTTAGCTTAACCCTGGGTTAAAGAAAATCTTTAAGTCAATATTTTTGATCGCTTTTTCACAAAGTTGAATATCTTTTTCCATAAATATTTTCTGGACCGACAAAAGCCATATTTTGTAAAGGTTTTAACGAACAGCGGTTCAAAAGCACTTAAACTAAAACAGTGGATTAAAATTTAACCCAGGGTTAGCGCTAACCCAGCTTTGAACAACTGGCCCCAGGGCATTTAAAAATTCAAAATAATAAAACTTTGTGCCATATTCCCCTGTAATTTGATTGGATAGTTACACTGAAATACTAAATCTGATTGGTTATTGCTGTGCAGAGCTTCAAAGCCTTCAATTGTATTGGCGTATAAATGATGTGATTAATGCTCAAAAATAGTGCGATTTGGGAATTAATCACACTATTTTTAACCAAACAGATTGCAAGAAACACCATTGATTTCGAAATGAATATAATAAAATTATTAATTCACCATGCAAAATTTCAAGAATATGAAAATATACTGTTATGAAAGTTATGCATATAGAAACCATATAATTTATCTGAAAATCCATTACTTTATCATGTTGCTCGTTGATTGTCCACCTTTAATTTGTCAAAATTTAAAAAAAAAAATTTTGCTGACTTTTCAGACACATTTAACACTTCACATGTGTTTTATGTGCAGGTAGTGCGAACCTTTTTTGTAGGTTCGGGCCATGTATTACAGTAACACCGGGTACAAAATGTGACTTCATAAGTAAGTGACGTTTCATTTTAGGCAGGTGAAGCTCTTGGTGCAATTGGTGCACCTGAAGTGATCGATGTCTTAACAAAATGCCTAAATGATGAACAGATCGAGGTACGTTTCTTTTCTTACCTATAGAGAATAGAAATTAAAAACAGCTAAGGTCTTTCTTGAACAATTTAAAAGTCAGCTACCTGATTAGATCTTAGTGATTTTGAAAATTTGAAAAAAAGGTAAGGCCTAATTGGAAATATGTTTGGGTCTTTCGTATGAATAGAGTTTCGTTCTTATTCCAGTATAAGTTTACGATTATAATCGCAAATTCGCAATGAAGATTTCGAACAGAGCATTGTTTATTTGCTTTGATGTTAATTTCTTGCCATGTAGGTAGCCGAGACGTGCGAATTAGCCTTAGAAAGAATAAAATGGTTGCAGGAAAGACAGACACATGAAAAAGATAAAATAAGGTATAGATTGTAGACGAACTTTATTAAGACAAGCGTAATTGATAATAGCGACAAGCTTCACTTGTACATTAGAGAGGTTGAGATACCCCGGTTGTGGTGTACGGGTATGGAAGCCTTAATTTGTTCAATGAATTTGCATCAGTGTTTCTGATTCCAATGAACAAATTATGGCTACCCTCACCCGTATACCGAAACCGGGGTATCTTAATCTCTCTATTGTTATAAGTGTCGACCGATGTTGTTCAATGCTGCACAGCAAACATCGACACGTGTGTGTTCTTATCTTTTGTCGGGTTGGCAGAGACTTTCTAAATCGGGTTGATTGTATTATTGTACAATCACCTTTTATGGCGGATATAATGAACAAGCAATTATGAAATATATTTAAATACATTCTTTTCACAACAGTTCTAATCCGTACAGCTCGGTGGATCCAGCACCACCTGATCTCAACTCGTTAAATGACACCGTTTCTCTCAGAAAAGCCTTACTAGATGAATCACTTCCCTTATTTAAAAGATACAGGTAAAATTGAAAACAAAAATACACGAATAATTGAAAACAAAGATATATTTGCTAGGAATGTATATTCGCGGTGCAACTATACGAATAGCATTTCAATGGTATTATAACTATTCACTTTATAAAAGGTAACCTGTACATACCATGCATATATAGATGTCTAATTTTTTTTTTCTTCCAGGGCATTGTTTTCCCTAAGAAACATTGGTGGAACCAAAGCTGTTGTGGTAGGTGTGCATACTTTGTTAAGGCGGTTTTCCGCTAGGCGGAATTTTTTGATCGGACGAAATTTTTCGCTCGATTCTCTTCTCAATTGTGACCGGTGAAGGGAATCCGCTACGGTCGAATTCTCACAATTGAAAAGAATATCAAACGAAAAATTTCGTTCGGTCGAAAAATTCCGCCTAGTGGAAAACCGGCTTCATACTGTACACCTTAATGACTGAAAGCAATAAACATGAATTGCTAATTCCTGGAACAAGTGAGAACTTTTACTGCCTTTTACATCAAACTTAGAACAAATATCGAATGATAATTAAAGTATCATATCGTTTCGTACAGGCTTTGGCTGAAGGATTACGGTGTAACAGTGCTCTATTTCGTCATGAAATAGGTATGTTGAAAAAATCTAAATATAAAATGTAAATTAGAAAAAAAGATAATACATTAAAAAGGACTTAAGCGAGAAAAAGGGAATTTGACGGCATGAATGTACGAAAAATTTCGTGTACTTAATTTTGTATTGTTATTGAGTAGTTCACAAGTTGCCAAGGCGCCAGTGACCAGTGGCTTAGCCAGCCTGACGATTTTTCCCGCTTTGTAACTCCCGATTTCGAGTTCTTATAGTTTTTTGTCTTCACAGTCACTGAACACCAACATATTAGCATAGCGTTGCAAATCGTCAGGCTAGCTACGCTACGGACAGTGAGACGACTGTTTAAATTGTTGTATCTAACGTAATTCCTTACTTACTATCTGCTGCTGCTACTGTATATATCTGTCCTCTATATGTTATTCAGTGTCACTGTAGCGTTGGGCGATTAGATACACCTGCCAAAAATAACGAAAACTTCTCTCCTTCGCCCCTTTCTCACAACACAGTGGTAATATTTACCTAATTCATGATGTTTGAATTTGTTTTTTTGTCTCTTCAGCTTATGTTTTGGGTCAAATGCAACATGAAGCCTGTGTGACGCAACTTAAAGAGGTAAGCTGTAGTTGTTGTATCGTTTCTAATTGCCACTCTTAAATTCTGCCGCCATTTTGAATTGGTGTTAAATATCACACCTGCGTTAATATAACACCAAAGACTTGGTGTTATTTCGACAATCTCACTGGGTATAACACCTCATATTTCACTCTAAAAATGTTTCGCTAGTTCTAAAGTAACGCGAAAATGCAACACTTTCATGTAACACCATTGGTGTTAAATTAGCACCAATAAAGGTGTTATTTTAACACCTTTAAATTTACTGTACTGTGAATGATAAATAATAACATTTTCGCTTATATACGTAATTTGGGATAATTGGATTGTTTTCTATAGTGCCTTGAGAAGAACACTGAAAACCCAATGGTACGACACGAGTGCGCAGAGGCGCTAGGCGCTATCGCAAAGGTAAGTTTAGAAATCGCGGAGTTGCAAACTTGATGTTTTATAATGGTCGAGTTATACTTGTCTTTGTAGGGGGAATGTCGTGAAATTCTAGAAAAATTTGCTCAGGACAAGGAACGTGTAGTTAAGGTAAGTTACCTTAAAAAACAAAAAGTAAAGTTTTGTTAACCCAACGCGGGGTTTGTGTGTAAAAATACCACATCAAGGTTTTTGCTGCGTCAACAAAAAACAAGAAACATGGAAACGTCTGGTTTCATGCGCAAACCGCGGAATAATTATTGGGTATATTCACGCACATACCGAATAGTTAATTTTTGTATAATAGTTGATAGATATATTGTATAATATCATTCAATTTATCCGTATCAATTTTAACCGTGCTCGGCCTTTGTATCAGTAGCCTGGCGCTAATGAAATGAACCAATACACTTCTGTTTCCGTGGAATCCCTCTAATCCGGAAAAATAAATGGACTGCAAGCGCTGGCAAAGGTTTCTGATTCCAAAATAAGTTCTAATTCATTATCTGTCCATGCACGAGAATATTTTTTACTTTTTACTTTTTTACTCTTCGTTGTCCACCATTTTGTTTGTATTTTGAATCAATCCGATATCGTGTAATCAAGACTAATCCGATACCTTATATTTGTATCTAATCAACGTAGATAATCCGATACGAAAACTAATCCGGTATCGTGTAACTGAGGCCTTATAGTATAGTAATCTCAATTTTTTTTCCCAGGAAAGCTGCCTGGTGGCGTTAGATATGCACGACTATCAAACAAGTGACGAACTGGAATATACTAAGACCATCGATAATAAGACAAAAGGCACTGTCGGTTCTGAATAAAAGATGAATTTTAAAGTTGGATTATAGTTAATTAATACTCAATTAAAAGATATAAATTTATCAAGGAGGTTTATCTAGAGGTAGGTCAGCTTTTTATATAAATTATAGTGTGAGAAAAAATCATCCACGCGTATACTAATGCGAAAGTTATGTTTGTGTATACATCTTGACCGCACTTTGGTAGTGACTTTTTACCTTTAATCTTTAACCTGAGATAATATATCATATAAAATAGTACAATTCAGGACTAATATTGCGAGTTACGTTTAAAACATGCCCGCCGGGGCGATAAATTTGCCATTTTTTTGGCATCGTGAATAAACATTACTCAGTCAAGTCATTGCTATTGATGATGCAAAACTTGAGGTCAGGTCATAAGCTTGATTCGTTTCACCGCGCGATACAAAATCTGTATACGTCGTCTGGATGTCGGATCTTTGTTTCGAAAAAGATAATAATAATATACATATTTTTAATAACGAAGTTATTAAAGTTATTCTTTAGAATGCTCGGGAAATTAAGTAGGCAAAACTTGCAAGAAATGCTTTTTAGTGCGAAGTTTCCTTCGTGTGAAATTTTGCAGTAGCTATATATAATGATGATGAGCGAGCTGGATTCAAATTATTCAATCAGTCATAGTTTAAGCTTCCTCAGTTGTGATCTATCATATACGTGAGTTATGTACATACTTATACTTTTGTAGACTTTTTAGATTGTCTGTTTTGCATGTCCAACCTTAAAAATTATTTTCGTAAACGTTATTAAGGTTGAATAAAATCTAAATTAATATGTTGTAGATCAGCGCAGCACACCGGAAAACTTGTTCAGGGCTCATCACACTATTCCAAGAATTGATTATATTGACGTATTTCGCACTCCAGTGGTAAAGTTTGAGTGATATTTTTCTCTTCTGCCAGGGGACAAACGACGTTCCCTTCAATGTACCGAAAGCGCTATAAACAATAGATAAAAAGGGCACTTAACCGCTAATCTTTTGTCTTTCATAATCCATTTAGCGCTTGAAAAGAGCTACGTTTGCCACATGGGGGCTCGGGAAAACGAGCCTTAAAAAGCAAATTGAAATCAGAAATCACTATATATTGACCATCTCTTTATTATATAGGCTTAATTATCTTGATAGCAATTTCTCTTTAGATAAATTCATTCTAATATGGCTAATGCAAGAGAATACTTAATGATAGGCTCATTAGAGTGCCACATTATAAGTTTATTGTACTTGTATTCTGTAACGAGATCGAATTTTCGTATTGGGAAATTTGTGATTCGCGCGTCGTTGTTTGAACTTTCCTCGTAGATTACCTACGATACCGAACGTACATTCGCCTTTCAATTTCATTTTGCCCAATTTTATATGAGTACGTTTCATCCTTTATATAATTTCGAGTCCTTTCAGCTTTTTTATAAATCCATTCTTTTATTACATGCAATGCAGTTGTTACTTTTTTGAATGTGCAGTGTTTGAATGCATGCAGCTTCATGCGGCCACATATATTTAACAATTATACCACGAGGTCGAGTCCTATATGAGCTGATAGTATATTGTTTTAGAATATAGCTAGTGTAAATACCATTTTATGAGCGAAATAGATATTGCATAAAAAAATTTAACTATCGGCTGTTGATTTAATTTGAACGAAAAGCTATACTTTTTGTCTGTTTTACTTACCCCAAAATTTAATGTCTGGAAACTGAACTTTCAAAAAGTGTTTAATTTCCTCTTCATCACTCCTATGCAAAATTATCGGCCTTTTTTTTTGCTACTCACCATGTATATGAGCTAATATCTGGTGAGTATCTCCACCAATCAGTAGGGAGAATAGCTCATATACAGTGATTAGCTGTATTATAAATATATATATATGTATAGTGCATGATATTTGCTAGCCGTCCAATATCACAGTCGATAGCTGATATCAAAGTGCCCTTTGTTCGATAGCTAACAACCACTTCGACGTCTTGCGTGCGACGTCTTGCGACGTCTGTGCCATCTGTTATTTTGTGATGGATAACCGTTCGACTACGACGTATGTCCAAAGCTCCACGGAATCGACATTTCTTGTAAGTTTCACTGCAACCCAATGCGCCATAGGTTTGGTGGGAAACGCTGTGGTGATTTATTATCTTCTATGGAGCGAGAAACTTTCATTCACTGCATCTGAAAAGCTCAATTTGAATTTGGCTCTGGCCGATTTCGTCGCTTTGAGCACGTACGTTCCCTGGCGAGCCTACATTTTATACTTACGACGTCCAACCAAGAATTCGCCTTACTACACGTCACTGTTTGTTGCCTGCATCTTCTGCACAGGGAATTCCGTACTTCTCGTGGCTCTGGCCAGGTTTATTTTGGTCTTTTTTCCGTTAAAATACAGGGCAATTTTCTCTGGTAAAATTGCCAACCGCCTGATCGTCGCGTCATGGGTAACCGCTCTTACGTTAGGCGTCGGACATCGGGTCAGCTTAAAAGATATGATGAATTGCCACAGTGAATACGAGTTGTTTTTATCGTGTTTGTCCTTTTTTCAACCCGTGGCAATTTTTACCTTCTACGGAATAATATTACGATCAACAAAACTGACACAACATGATTTCACGCCGCGGTCGATACCATGGACAGTGTACGCGATAGTTTTTCTATCCCATGCAACGTTTCTGCCGTACACTGTTTTCCGTTTTGTTTCGACAGCTGATAAGTATTTGACCACCAATCAAAAACGCGCTACGTGGCGATGGATAATGGCTTTCAGTTTTGTTAATTCGTGTTGCAACCCTTTCTTGTATATTATAACAACGAAGAAGCTGAGAAGAATGCTAACGTTTAGCCATTCGAGTGAAACCAACGTCAACCAGGATGTTCAACTTGCCTGAAACTACGTGCGGTTGCTGCCTTTTTATACCAGTGGCAGTGGCACTCTAGTATACTTACAAAAAAATAATCAGAATTATTATCTGTATATTCGTTTAGGTATATTGTCTTTGTGTTCTATAGTATAATATAATTAGTATAGATATATTTATTTCGGTTTTGCGTTGCCCTTAGTCTAAACTAGTTTTTTGTAATAAAAAATGTACTTGTGCGTAAGTGATTCTAAAAGTTCGCTCGCGTTTTTAAACTCTTCTCGGAAATTACATTCCTACTCCCAATAAATTTGGTAATCGTGTCATGCGAAGGCCCTATTTTGTGTGAAATACTCGAAGTCCGCTCCGAAAATGTGGATCTCATGCAGCAATGACTAGTGACTACTATATGTGAAATTTAACTCCCACTCGTCCAATACGAATGTGCATGCGCCTTTACAGAGCAGAGTCTGACGTGATAAGTGTCAAGCAGATGCGAACCGTATAGACAACAACATAAAAATTATTTCTACAACATTATATAAAGCATTATACTATTCTATCAACTTTATGCCGACATAGCACTCGGCGCGGGCAGTGATCACCGACAGTGCCTGCTTGGCCGACGGTTTGACCTGCTTGCTATCAGAGTCGTGCGGCTAAAAGATCTTATGTCTAGCTGATACCGCCGCTCCATTTAGCTACGTTATTTAATTCTAAGGCTATCAAATTGCACCTGCTCATTTCGTTAAGATATCCTGACAATACTTCTTTTTGGCTTGAAAATAGCAACACCTTTCATGAGATCATAAACTATTCATATATATACATTTCTTTTTGTGTCGATTTTTTTTATTATTCAAGAGTATGTGCACGCTTTTGTAAAAGTCACCGTCGTGAAAATTTTTAACATTAATTTTTTATTCGTATTATACTATTTATTCTAATAAATAATGTCAAAAAGACAATGTATTCGCATGGTTTGAAAAACGCAATTTTCCATGGGCTTCAACCAAAACAGGCAGAGACATAGGATTTCTGGCAGATTTCTAGCCTTTCTGATTTCTCGATTACGAAATCTCAATGGGTTAGATATATTAAAATATTATACCTCAAATTAAAATTGGCGAATCAAAAACATTATATGTACCATGTGACGAGGAGATTTTTCGCAGTATCGAACCGCAGTCCTCTATTTCCGAGCTAGGGGTGTGACCACTGGTTGTAACATTAAATTTATCACACTGTTATATTAGATTTATCTCACGCGACGTCTCGCGAGGACTACACGCACCCAGTGAAAATAATGGCGGGAATAGTTTTGTTGTTTGTTTGAAATAAAGTTAATAAAATAAATTCGTTATACGGTAATTTTTTTACGCGCCTCTTCGAGTACTTTTACTAATTTATAGAATTACTTTTCTCAGCCTTTGTACTGTATTATTTTGGCCATTCTACATGCTCACAATTTTTTTCGGGATATATATCATTTATAGACCCTCCGCTCGGGGGATTCGGCAAAATATTTCCTTCAGTAATGATATTTCTCACGGACAAAGCCCTCGGATATCATCACTTCAGGAAATATTTCGCCGAATCCCCTCACTCCAGGTCTATAAATAATGAATATTTAATGAGCCAATCAGAATGCAGGCTCGAAATTTATACTAAAGGATATTATACGGTTGCGAGAAGATGTGGATTTTATATTTGAGTGGCAAAAACAATATCTCACGAGTGAGCGCAGCGAACGAGAAAAAAATGAAAATGAAAACAACAATGAAAATGGAAGGATATTATTGAAATTCGTTATGTCACCCCTCGTTATGTAGTGGAGCATGAGTTCTACGAGTGTAGCTACATGTTTTAGTTCTCAGTTAAACACCCCTGTCCACATAATTAAATCTAGCATCACGGAGAAAAAATTCTGTGTAGTGTCGGTGCTCCTCGCAAGAATGGTTTTCATTGGCTGAACTTTACAATACATTTCTGTTTCAACCAATAGCATAGCTTTGTTCTTTAGAAAGCATAGAAAAGCATTATCCAATAGGACGAAAGCTTTCGAGCACTGCGACATGTCCCAAAATTTTATTATTTATATTACTATAATAATAGTAAACGAACACATGCAATAGAATTTCCCTCAAATGCTTGTTCTGTCGTAGAAAAATATTCTTCCTGGCAAATTTATGCAGTATCATTAATTGTGAAATTCATGAATAATTAATGAGTCTAACTTGCAATCATTGCGCAGTATTTTGGTCACATGTATACATCTGTAACTTTGATATAACCAATCTTAATTAGTATTCATAACTTTGTTACACACATGCCCTTATATGCATTAAGCTTTATTTATTCATTTCACAAGAACGTTAAAATACTCGCGGCCGATCTGTATGGGATTTACAATGGCTCGTGCTACGCACTCGTATTTTACATAGTACTAGCAAATTTTTAAAGCCATTTTCGTATGCGCCCGCAATTTGTTGGCTAGCGCCGACGAATATTCCACCTGTTGTTCCAGGTTAAGAACATAGGTTATTAAATATTGTCATTGCAGCCATGCATGAATTATCTTTTGTTATATTGCTATTGGAAACTGTATAGAGTAAGTCACGACAGGCTAAATACTTTTTGTAACATCAATTAATTTTATGGTATATTGATAATTCAGCTATAGTATATATTTAAACGTTCAATAATTATAATACGTTTTTACTGAATATCTACTGTGCAACTAACAAGCGATGGTTATAAACGCATATAGGTGTAATAGAAAACATGGTTCAGAAGCAGTAGAAGAAAATTAGTGTTTTGCAGTCCTCGCACTGGTTAATTTTTTTCTTAAAAATTAAGTGATTATTCAATATAGAAACTTCAGGTTTTCATCTCTATAACTGTAAGATATCAATCGAGGCAGGATAAAATCTAAGTTTGACACTCTAAACCATGTTCTTTTTATTAAATATGTTAAAAGTTTAAATCCGACAATCTTATTTACCGTCAATTTCAGATTACGCGCCGAGTTGCGAAGTACGTTAGGAAATTGGGAACTACGTTTCGAATACGGAAGCACTTTGCTAACTTATATATCTACTTCCAATTGTAAATTTGAATTTAAATCGCAACGAAGTACGTTGTTCTTAGCAATTACTTGTTACTTACGGCTTTTCCTTGTGTTACGAAGTGGTTACGTTCCACATTTTTACTTCAAATTGACTCAAATCCTGAATACTTTACGCCTTACGGTCTTTACCCAATTGCTATGAACAACGTACTTCGTTGCGATTTAAATTCAAATTTACAATTGGTAGTAGATACGGAAGTTAGCAACGTGCTTCCGTGATTCAAAACGTAGTTCCCAATTTCCTAACATACTTCGCAACTCGGCGCGGAAAAGTAATTTGAAATTGACCGTAATAGTATTAAAGGATAATCTTATTTAAAATGGTTATATACTAAATAGAGAAGTAGTATCTTTGGTCTTCTCGACTGCGTCTCCTACCGGCGCAACTCTGCCCATGTGACCATGTTCTTACATGAAGATATATATATATATATATATATATATATATATATATATATATATATATATATATATATATATATATATACATATTTCGTAATAACATATATAATATATTTCGTAATTATATACAGTGCAAAAATATGAAAACGTGCAGGGAAGACGGATAAAACCCCTACAGGCGTCCTCCGAACCAGTATTGTGTGGTAGCCAGGTTTGAATTAGCACATGCGTGAGTTGATGGGTCAACGGCTTTATACACACCAAAGATATTTTCATCCGTAACTGAAGAACCAGAGTTGAAATTGCACTTTTGATCTCCGCGATGTGCGTTGATTGAGAATATTTCTGCGTGGGTTTGTGTCGCCCACACGTTGCAGTTGTGACATTCACGTCCCCGGATCTTTATGTAATCAACACGATGGCAAAGTGGGGCTAAAAACAACGTTGAGTTAACCCTCATCATTAACTACAACAAGAACTATAATATATCTAACATATTCACCGTTATAGCTATTCGCGAGAACACAACTAGCTATATATATAGCACACTTGTAAAATTAGCTATTTCCTATATTAATGCCTGGTCCCTTTTCGCATGAGAAGGCTCGGAATTTTAAAAATACAGAAAAATTTAGTGTTCGATTTGCACATGAAAATGGGTGTATTTTACTTTCGATCGTGTAAAAATTTTGCTGATGGCAGATGTATATATATTTTCACACCTGACATCGTATTCTGTGCCCATCCAAACAATCCAAGAACCGTGAAAAGTTAATCAATAACATTGCTGCCGCGCATTATTTAACAACGTCGCGATAACACCAATGATTTTCACCACCGGTATAACTAAGCATCCGGTACTATAATTCTCTGCACTATTCTATATTGCCTTCTATTTTCAAACCTCATTTTACCATCATATTTCCATCACAGTTCAATTTACAAAATCCAAACCGTATCGACTATAAAGAACTGCATCAACGTTATAGGCTATAATAGTGATAATATACAACCGCAATCTTACCAGGTTCGTGTGGGCATTCCCAGTTTTCACTAAACTTTTTCACATCTTCATCAGTGAACGCAGTGTTGTAAATCCTTACGCAGGCGATACGTCCGTTGAAAGCGTTATGGTCCTCCATATTAGCATTAGTTATCGACCCAAGCGTCAACTGCAAGTTGTTTGATGTGCGCAGTTCTTGCGCGGAAGAGCCGGATTTACTTTGCAGGCGCTTGAAAAAAAAAACTCGAAATCACGCTTCTGTTAGTGCTCTATGCTCGTAGTTATTTAACTAATATACTGTCAAGAGCAGACTATGTTTTGAAATTATCTGCGAGGACAAGGCAATTCACAGGGTGGAGGAATCTCAACCAATTGTAAATTAAAGTCGTGATTATACATTATGTTTTACCTGGCCATTGCGGTATATGGATTGTGTGTTTTTATCATAATCATACGTTGCCGCTATGTAATACCACTGCATTGGGTAAATTGTACCATATTGCTCTACGTAATGTATGTCGACTCCTTCTCTGTTGATGGTTCTACAATATTTCAAACAAGTTAATATTTATAATAATATCTTAATATTAATAATATTTCTTAAATTTGGATCATGAAATAATAAGTTTATTAATCAATCTGTAGAAACATCACGTTTATTTGTTTAATGCACGCAGAGCTTTTGGTCCGGCAACCTGGGCCTTCATCAGTGCAATAATGAAGTTACCACTCACTGCATGGTTAGTTAATTCGGAATGCGACTCATGCATGTTACCTGAAGGAAAGCGTCGTTTCTCTTGCCCATAGATGAACACCCCAATTTCCATCTGCAGTCCAACCCAGTAATTGGCCGTATCGTGTTTCGTAAGTGTAAACCTGCATCAGAATCGTAAGGCTATAGCGAGTGTCCAACTTCCCTGAGTTGTCGTGAAGCTGAAATGAATAATGCCATAACATATGTAATTAGGGCGTAACACGTGCATGAAATGACAAATAAAGTAACCAACAAGAATACGATGGAAATCAATGACTTTGTTCTCCTGCGGAAGCTTGTTAAAGGGGAGGGGGGGGGGTATTTTTATATTTTTATTTATGTAAACAGAATGTGAATACAAAAATTTCAAGAGAAACTAATAATACTGAACGTCAATACATGGATATTTGCCCCCCTGCCCCCACTTAACGATCTTCTATGGCCTTTGGTGATTACTGCAACTTGTATGCCTATAAGTTACTTAAGTGGCAGGCTTTAGTCAAATAGTTCCATAGATATTTGAGTTCTTACCCGAATGTATGAAGATGTTAATCCTTGCATTCTAACTGATCCTCCCGGATTGCCCAATGGTCCATCCTCGTATACAGTGTCGTACATTGTACCGTGGTTTCCGAAGCCAGATTTATCCTGTCCTTTTGTAACATTGTCAAATGGATAGAAACCAACCAAACCTTTTTCTATTATTCAAAATATTGATTAATATCGTGAATTATAGATATAATACCGGAGCAGCTTATATTATGGAATCTGTAGGTTCTCAGGCTTTCTAATAGAACTAAGAAGTGTTCTGATATTTAAAGTACATACGAAGCGTGATTCTTTAATTAATATATGCAATAGAGAGGGGGTAAAGAAAACTATAATGGAATTTCTCTGGTAGTACTTTGATACGTTTCCTAGTCAATCGAGATTATAAGTTTCCTAGTCCATCGAGATTATGATTAACCATTTCGAAGTTGTTCAAAACCAGTGATAGTGGCTACATTCGATTTGCAATATATTCCGATTAGTGTCGCATGTAATGATGATATCAATGTATTGATGTTTCGAAGATGGAAAAGTTGTCAAATATGTAAAATTTTCATGAAAATTTCAATTCTATACGCAAAACAAATTCGCTTTATTATCCCTTCCAAGCCGAAAATGTTACATCCATTTGCAATGCATGCAGGAGAAAATACAAAAACCTATGGAAACAGTTGGAAACCCCGGGGAAATAGCAAAATCAAAAATAATTTTTTTGATTTTCAACATCGAACTTTAAGGTTTGAAAACAAAAAAACAAATTATGTAAAAATTGATTAGACGCCTGGTGTAGCATATTTAACTGTCTGGTCAGCCAAATTACAGGAGTGCTTAATTGAAATTCTAAACTGCGATTTTCGTTATCACACTAATTATCAGTAGTCATCAGTCGTAGACTTTTAAGAATGCTTTTTAGGGCTTTGTTGCCAACGATTGCCCTTGTTCGCAACATTCCGCATAAAATATCATACATACCGTTTGTCTCAAAGCTGAATAAATCCAGAGTCTGAAAAGCGTTTCTCACAACGTCATCACTGGTCGATTTCCCGTCTTGAAATGAATAGCCACACGTGGCTTTCCACTCCACTTTACGTTCGCCTTCCATTCCATTCTGGATGCTTTTCATCTTAGCCAACGACAACCTTAAAATAAATTATGAGACGCGTCCTTCAAGTTATTGCACATGCAGATCATTTTGAAGTCTGTGATGTTTCGTCATGTAATGTACATCACGTACGAATGATCCCCAACTTAAAAAAAAATTATACATGTCTTCATGGTACATGCATGTCTTTATTTATGGTACATCTCTGCGGATTTTTAGATTTGGCTTTGAGAAATGCTTTAGGAATTTAAAGTGCGTTTTAAAGATTTGGGAATAGCTATCCTTATAGCTATACTCTATATCCTTATAGAATCCTAACCAATTATTGTATATTGCAGCTTTTTTAACAACTTTTATCTTTGATAATTTGCTTTCCTTGGGGTGTGCTTATTTTCCTAGGGATATGCTAACCTGGTTCGCGCCACCAGAAAATCCTCCATGTTTCTTTATCATGTTTTGCCTAAACTATTCTTCTCTTTGAAGACCCAGAGAGCCGAACTTCGCTTTCATTTCATAAATTGCGGAGTAGCTAATATTTCGAATGGACTCAGTAAACTATATCGGGTGCGGTTTGAGAATACGTTCATAAATAACGATCATATGAATATTCGATATGATACAGAGTTTATCATTTATTAGTTGAATAAGTTATTGGACCATTATTCATCTTCAATAACATAATGAATGCTTTCGAGCATTAAAATTGGAGTATTTCGGCTTTCCCTTGAATATTTTTATATTCTTTCAATTGAAAAAAACCCGCATCCTATTAACGTGTCTAAATTAAGCTAATGTTGTATCTATTGATCTGATATCATTATTTACTATTAAGAAGTATTATTATCGTTCTTCTGTTATTGAACCTTTTAAAGCAGTACCTGTAATCACCGCTACTAGCGTCGTCTTCATTTCGTGGAAAGTCTTCTTTGAAAGGCGCACGTTCATAATCTCCGGCATTGCCCTTCGAATAAGACATCATTAGGGTCCATGCTTCCATCTCGTCCGGCCGCATTTCACAGTAAACGCGAGTCTTCACCATAGTATTCTTTTCCCAGATGTCATAATACCCGGACTTGGCCGTTCTGTCATTCCACAAGTAGTCGAAACAACTGTTGACCTCCCGCTCGCACATTGTCCCGACGTGGTACTCATGTGCGCATGTGCAATTAAATCCTGACTTCCCGCGTTCACCAAGCTCTGTGCATGTTGCGCCATTTGCACAAGGATTGTTGTCACAGCAACGGTTTGAATACGGCTCGTAGCAGGTGTCCTTAAATCACAAAAAACAATGCTGTTAGCATTTATCATGTATTCCTGTCGAGAGAGCGAGTGATTGAGTAGCTATTTGACCGAATGTAGTTAAAATTGTGTAAAATTAAAACTAGGAATCGCTGTCAGAAGCGACATAAAGTAAACAAATTTTTGTTTGAATTTCCACCAGCAAAAAGCCTGCATTAATTAGATTTTCTGAATATCTTATTTTATTTAAACGTCTTAATCGTCTCCTGCCATGCAGTTAAATGATTTGAATTAGTGCAAATCAATGCGTACGATCTTCGCTTTTTCGGTCAGCTTGCAACCTCTTTCGCTTCGTAAATTGTGTTAAAAGTTGTTTTATGACGTGTACAGCATATCGCGTCTACCGCGTTTAGACCTCATATAATCACACAACATGTTTGCCGCGTAAAAGTCGTATATATAGTTACTCTCCAGGTGTAAATGGCTTGGGAAAGGAAATTAACGAAAATTAGGCTATTTCGTACATATTCGTTCGGTTTCGAGGCTGCTGCCGTAGCAACCGGGTGAATCAGATTAATTACCGAATATAAAGTAGCTATATTATAATGTCATTTCATGTCGTATGGAAAAACTGATAACCGAAACCTGTGAAAAATTGCCCCCGGCTAAAAACTACCTCGGAAAACACGTATTAGTTTCGATTATTCAAGCTTCTAATTCTACATTATTAATGAAAAAATAACTTTAACTTACTGCGCCAGAAAGAACTTCCTTGACTTGCAAATGATGGTAGCGCCATCCGGATTTCGGTTCCGTCAACACTGTACTATTATCCGCACTGTTTAGCTCGCATTTTCCTCCACCCGACATCGGCAGATTGAACGACCTACATCTGCAATCATTATCGCAATGCGTAAAACAGTCGGTGAAACTCGTCACCGTAAATCTGGCAAATACGTGTCCGACCAACACTCGGTTATCGAGCGTCAGTTGGCCGCTAAATTCTGCGCGATAACTGGTCTTTGAGCCATGGCATGCCGAATGAGAACTTTCAGGGAAAGTTAGGAGCACAAAAGCAATGACTAAAAACGTTACGGCCATCTCGGTTGCGAATTCAGCCTAAAATGAGCCGCTCGAGTTTCGATTCGTGATGGCATTCAAAATAATTGCTTGTGGTTGAGCAGGTACTCACTCTAGCCTGATGTTTATTTCACTCCAGTCCGGCAATGCAAATGAATCACTATCGTGTGACAGTAGGATATACGAGAGGAAGTTATACTGAAATTCACTGAACGAAAAACAGTGGCAAACTTAGTGGAAATTTCACACTCATTGTGAATCGGTTATTCTTTTTGAACAGGTGTTTTTAACTCGGCAGCTGTTTAAAAAAACAGCAATTGTTGTTGAAAACATCGAAATGTGAAATAAGAACTTGCCCGGACGTGTCTGGATTCGTTTCTATCTGAAAACATTGTCTTGCGTCAATGCTTGGCATGCACCCACACGTATCCGGCGAGTACGAAGACCGTCAGTATTTGCAAACTTTCGAAAACGCTCGACGGAGTGCAAAAGTTTGAATGTGAATGTTCGAAATGGCAATGAATCCGGATACACCTTGGTTCATTGTAGCTGCAACGTTATGAAAAGGAGACGCAAATCAGTGAAATTTGATAGGATGATGTCGATCAAATTGAAATCATTTCGTGCATTATTGTCTATTGAATTGAATATCGTGATCCTAAACTATAGGGCCGGTTGTTCAAAGCTAGGTTAGCGCTAACCCTTGGTTAAATTTTACTTCGTTGTTTCGGTTTATATGCTTCTGCATCGCTGTTTGTTTCAAGACTTTACAAAGTAAGACTTTTATTGCATGATCCACAAAATATTTATGAAAAAATATGCTCAACTTCATAAACGAGCGATTAAAAAAATGATGTAAAAATTTCAGTTAACCCAGGGTTAAGCTACCCGGCTTTTGAACAACCGGCTCTTATTGTCAGGTGGACAATTGAAGAAAGCTTTCCGCACTAAGACGGCCTATATTGCATGTTAAAACTAGAAACGTGTGAACAAAATCGTCAAGAATCGGTCATGATCAGCCTGCAATTGTGGGTGCGTGAACTAAATCTATGTATAACATGCCTGCGGGGTTCTAAGCTGGGCTGCTACCACATTTTGAAATTTTAAGGAAATAGGTGAAGGAAGATATACAATTATTACTAATTTCCATCTCCAGAATTTTTTTTACAATTTCAAAAAGTGGCAGCAACTCCAGCTTAGAATAACCCCGCATGCCTGCCTAAAACTTTCTCACTGCTCCAGTTTTGCCTCTTGCAACGATGAGGGAACTAACACAAGTGAGTGCGGACTTGTGGGTGATCTCGAAGAAAAGTACATGTTCGGAACCAATCATAAAGCTCTTTCACCCAAGGCTTGAGATAAAACGCGCAACAAATCCGAATATTTGTGGACGCGTAAAATTTTGAATCCGCGACAAAATGCTTGCGGATACAAACGAATGAAACGATCAATCCTGGATACATGTAGACAGGATCTTAAACATCAGCAGCAAGTACAATAGCATGCACTTGTTTGATTGTCATATTCGACACTTGATCACGTTTTGAAATGAAATTAATGATAATTGATATTAATTGATGTGTTTAATTGGAAAACAGCTCGTACGTGCGTAAAACGCGCAAGAGGAAAGCAGCCCTCGATTCAATCGGAAACTAGCTATAAGTCATTGTTAATGTGTGTACTAAAATGCAGGCGATGGTTTAAAGCAGTATAAAGGTAATGGAAGTGTACTGAATAGAATCCTTTAAACGTAAGGTTTTGATATAAATCCATAGCCTCCTCCGAAGGCGTCTCTTATGTATTTCTATTAGGCATTTATATTTGGCTTGGGTTAGCTGTGTCGGGGAGTGAGAAAAAAAGTTATAAATGCCTAATATAAATACATAAGAGATGCCTGCGGAAGAGGCTATAATAAATGCAATCGACGCCAAGTCTTTCAATGTTCGCCGCGTAAAAAATGTATATATATATATATATATATATATATATATATATATATATATATATATATATATATATATATATATATACCCGTTTGCAAAAACGTTGGCCGCAGATAGATATATAGATAGATACTCGAAATCTAATTAGAATTGCATATGTTGTGTAATATGATTGAAATCCCATGCAAATGTATTCATATGCAATTCTAATTAGACTTCGAGTATCTATCTATATATCTATCTGCGGCCAACGTTTTTGCAAATGGGTGGATATATATATATATATATATAATTATATATATATATATATATATAGTTAATAATAATATAACTCGGAAGCTGTTTAAAAAAATTCAAATTGTTGTTGAAAACATCGAAATGTTAATTAAGAACCTGCCCGGACGAAGGCTTGGCATGCATCCACACGTATCCGGCGAAAACGAAGACCGTATTTGCAAACTTTAGAAAACGCTCTACGGAGTGTAAACGTTTGAAAACGCTTTCTATAGTGCAAATGTTCGAAAAGACGATGAATTTGGATACACCTGGGTGCATTGTGGCTGGAACGATATGAAAAAGAGACGCAAATCAGTGAAATTTGATAGCGAAGATGTCGATCTCGTACGTGCGTAAAACGTGCATGAAGAAAGCAGCCCTCGATTCAATCGGAAACTGTCTGTCATTGTTAATGTGTGTACTATTTTGGTTCAAGGTTATAAGAGATAAGTTCCGTACTTAAACTCGACTTAGCAGCCAACAAGTGCATTTGTTCACATGAAACTTTCACGACAAGACTGAACACTTCGTCAAGCCTAAGAAGTCTAAGGAGTTTATCAAAATTCATTGAAAAAATGTTCTACAAAGTATCTCTCCTGTTGTGTTTTCTTCAACTTGGTAGCGCGTATGGTAGGTGTTACTTGGTTTTAGAATTAAAGATGTAGCTATATATACGGACATACAGAGAACAACTATGCACCGGTTACCTGAGATCTTATTTGTGTTAATTAAGTAACGAATACTCTAGGAATTCAAATTATTTTGCAAACCATTCCTATTTTGTAACCGGTAAAATGTGAATGTTTCATTCTGACAGACTAGAAAGCATAATGAAAACCTTCAAATTATATATTATCGTTTCAATTATTTCCAGGTGTGTGGCATGATGTTGGCAACGCCTGTGTCGGAGCGAGGGACAACAGTTTTGCTGGCATAACATACAACGGACCAAGTTCCTTTGTTGATGCGGTTAAATTGGTCCACACTTCAGGTTATGTTTCGAACAGAATGTCAACAAAAAGAGTCTCACTCTGGGGTGATCCCAAGTTTAACAAATCCCTTAACATTCTCATCACAGACGACTTGAACCGCATCCTATACCCATCACCCCGACTGACAACCATAAGCAACTATGGTTGGTATACCTTGCCAAAGTACACCGGGTTATCTCCCAACCTGGTTTTCAGTGATAGCGGCGCACCCCAGTATTTCGAGAAAGGCGACAAACTCAGAATTTGGTATGGAGAAGATTGGAGAGGTGGCCGCACAGAACTGGACAACCATGGCAAATCCTGCATGCATGTCAAATTTCATTTGACTGGTTGTAAACATGGCATGCCTGCACTTGGTTAAAATTTAAAATTTTTGTTACTGTTAATGACTATTTGCAAAACAATTTCTTTATAAAAAAAATGTATACCAGTTTTATTTCAATTAAATATATATAATATAGAAATCATTGTAATAGCATTCCATTGTTATAACGTTTCTTATATCCTATTTAGTTTTGTCAAAAAAAATCGTGACATGGAAGATAAGCTAGCATTCGAAAAAATGTATATAGACTCTTCCGCTTTTATCTTTTTCTAAACTTTTTACCACGTTAGAAAATAAAGCCGCATGTGAAGCCACGCGTAAACTTTCGGATAGAAACGAGTCCGGATACGGCATAGACATGCATGCAGGATATATGCAGACATGGTCTTAAACATCCGTAACATGCACATTTACGCTGGTTTGATTTTCATGCATAATTCATAAGTTTTGTAAGTAAATTAATGGCAAGAGTCGGAAGTACTTCTTGACTTTGTACGAAATCTTGCTTCTATGACTATAGTTAGTTACGATTCCCTTTGCAAGCTTTTCACACGCGCTACTAGCGCTAACAAATTTCCTACATGTTGTTTGTTTTTAGCTAGAGGCATCTTTTCTTTTATTCCATTGAAAATCATTCACAGTATAATTTACAAAAAACAAAATAGACGTACTAAATGGCGACATGTTTTTTTATTAATATTTTGTAATACTCGTGACAGTTATTCGTCATCTAAAGTCAGAAATACCTTTATTCATGAACTGAGGGAAAACGTAACTAAAATGGAGGCGATGGTTTAAAGCAGAGATTATAGAAACTAAGAAAGCATGTTTTAGAAGCAGTATAAAGATAATGAAAGCTTATTCAATAGAATCCTTTAAACGTAAGGTTTTGATAATAATAATAATAATAATTATGAAAACATTATTATTTTTCGATTAATTAATAGGAAATACAAACTTGATAAACCTCGCTTTACAGGTAGCTTACCAATCATGAATACAAGAATTGACTCTATATTAATATGTATATATATATATATATATATATATATATATATATATATATATATATATATACATATATATATATATATATATATATATATATATATATATATATATGTATATATATATATATATATATATATATATATATATATATATATATATATATATATATATATTCCTTGACTTGTAAGTGATGGTAGCGTCACCCGGATTTCGGTTCCGTCATGCAACACTGTACTATTATCCACACTGTTTAGCTCGCATTTTCCTCCACCCGACACCGGCAGATTGTCACGCAAATCAGTGAAATTTGATAGCGATGATGTCGATCAAACTGAAATAATTTCATGTATTGTTGTCTACGTATTATTAAATTGAATATCGTGATCCTAAACCATAGGGCCGGTTGTTCCAAGCTAGGTTAGCGCTAACCCTGGGCAATTTTACTCCGTTGTTTTGGTTTATTTGCTTCTGCACCGCTGTTTGTTTCAAGACTTTACAACGTAAGAGTTTTATTGATCCACAAATGATTTATGAAAAAATATGTTCAACTTCATAAACGAGCGATTAAAAAATTTGTGTTAAAATTTGAGTTAACCCAGGGTTAAGCTTTTGAACCGGCTTTTGAACAACCGGTCCTAATGTTAAAGCTAAAAACGTGTGAACAAAATCGTCAAGAATCGGTCATGATCAGTCTGCAATTGCAGGTGCGTGAAAATCTATAATATATAACATGCCTGCGGGGTTCTAAGCCGGAGTTACTACCACATTTTGAAATTTTAAGGAAATCGATAACTGTAGATATACATTTTCTTACAATTTCAAAAAGTGGTAGCAACTCCAGCTTAGAATAACCCCTGTATACCTGCATGCCTACGACTTTTCTTAGTCAACGATAACGTGACTAACCCAGGTGAGTGCGGACTTGTGGGTGATCTCGAAGAAAAGTACATGTTCGGAACCAATCATAAAGCTCTTTCACCCAAGACTTGAGATAAAACGCGCAACAAATCCGAATATTTGTGCATGGACGCGTAAAATTTTGAATCCGCGACAAAATGCTTGCGGATACAAACGAATAAAACGATCAATCCTGGATACATGTAGACAGGATCTTAAACATCAGCAGCAAGTAGAATAACATGCACTTGTTTGATGGTCATATTCGACACTTGATCACGTTTTAAAATGAAATGAAATTTTAAAATGATAATTGATATGTTTAGTTGGAAAACAGCTCGTACGTGCGTAAGACGCGCAAGAGGGAAGCAATCGGAAACTATATGTCATTGTTAATGTGTGTACTAAAATGCAGGCGATGGTTTAAAGCAGAGTTGATAGAAACTAAGAAAGCATGGTTTAGAAGCAGAATAAAGGTAATGAAAGTGTATTCGATAGAATCTTTTAAACGCAAGGTTTTGATATAAATGCAATCGACGCCAAGTCTTTCAGTGTTTGCCGCGTAAAAATTGTAGATATAGCTAATGATAATATGACTCGGCAGCTGTTCAAAAAAATTCCAACTGTTGTCGGAAATTGTGAAATTTGAATTAAGAACCTGCCCGGACGTATCTGCATGGATACGTTTCTATCCGCAAACGGATTGTCTTGCGTCAACGCTTGGCATCCACACGTATCTGACGAAAACGAAGAACGTATTCGCTAACTTTCGAAAACACTCTACGGAGTGTAAACGTTTGAAAACGCTTTATATAGTGGAAATGTTCGAAAATGCAATGAATTCGGATACACCTGGGTGCATTGCAGCTGGAACGATGTGAAAAAGAGACGCAAATCAGTGAAATTTGATAGCGAGGATGTCGATCTCGTACGTGCGTAAAACGCGCAAGAGGAAAGCAGCCCTCGATGTAATCGGAAACTGTCTGTCATTGTTATTAATGCATGTGTGTACTATTTTGGTTCAAGGTTATAAGAGATAAGTTCCGTACTTAAACTCGACTTAGCAGCCAACCAGTGCATTTGTTCACATCAAACGTTCGCGACAAGACTGAACACTTTGTCAAGCCTAAGGAGTTAATCGAAATTCATATATATATATAAAGAATGTTTTACAAAGTATCTCTCCTGTTGTGTTTTCTTCAACTTGGTAGCGCGTATGGTAGGTGTTAGTTGGCTTTAGAATTAAAGATATAGCTATACAGGGTGTCTCAAAAACCCTGAAAACTATTGAAATCACTCATTGTTAAAATTTGAACGCCGTGTTCATGAATTTCAACCTGTGCAGATTTAATGCAACTTATAAAATGCTAAATGCTTTGTATCGCTAGAGAAAGGGGACATGTTGAAGGTCATGGTCCTTGAGATGCACATTTAAATATTGTTATCCATATTTGTAACTTGTAAATATTGTTAATAGATATTATTTTTGCGTACAGGTAAATTTTACTGCATCATACAGTATACATGCATAAAAATGCGTATGGTAAACATTTATACACCTGTGGGTCCCAACAGAGTGCTTAGGCAATAGGGATTCAAACTCTAACAATTGCATTGTTATGAGTGCCTTACAATAGTTTTCGGGGTTTTTTGAGACACCCTATATATACGGACATACAGAGAACAACCATGCACCGGTTACCAGAGATCTTTATTTGTGTTAAATAACGGTAAATAACGAATACTCTATAGGCATACAAATTATTTTGCAAAGCATTCCTAATTTGTAACAGGTTAAATGTGAATGTTTCATTCTGACAGACTAGAAAGCATATAAATGAAAACCGTCAAATTATATATTATCGTTTCAATTATTTCCAGGTGTGTGGCATGACGTTGGCAAAGCCTGTATCGGCGCGAAGGACAACAGTTTTGCAGACATAACATACAACGGACCAAGTTCCTTTGTTAATGCTGTTAAATTGGTCCACACTTCAGGTTATGTTTCGAACAGAATGTCAACCAAGAAAGGCTCACTCTGGGGTGATCCCCAGAGGAGCAAATCTCTTGGCATTCTCATCACCGACGACTTGAACCGCATCCTATATCCATCACCCCGACTGACAACCATAAGCAACTATGGTTGGTATACCTTGCCAAGGTACACCGGGTTATCTCCCAACCTGGTATTCAGTGATAGCGGTGCTCCCCAGTATTTTGAGAAAGGCAACAAACTCAGAATTTGGTATGGAGAAGATTGGAGTGGCTACACTGAAATAGACAACCACGGCAATTCCTGCATGAAAGTGTTCCTTCATTTGACTGGTTGTTAACATGGCATGCCTGCACTTGTTTAAAATTTAAAATTTTGTTACTTTTAATGACAATATGGAAAACAATTTCTTTATGAAAAAATGTATACCAGTTTTATTTGAATTAATTATATATAGAAATCATTGTAATAGCATTCCATTGTTAGCGTTTCTTATATCCTATTTAGTTTTGCCATAAAAAATTGTGACATGCCAGATAAGCTAGCATTCGAAAAAATGTAAATAGATTTTTCTGCTTTTATCCTTTTCCAAACTTCTTACCACGTCAGAACATAAAGCCGCGTGTGAAGGACGCATAAACTTTCGGATAGAAACGAACCCGGATGCGGCATAATTATATGCAGACATGATCTTAAACATCCGTAACATGCACATTTCGCTAGTTTGTTTTTCATAATTCGACACCTGAGCACGTTTTGAAAGTAAATTAAGGGCAAGAGTCGGAAATACTTCTTGACTTCGTACGAAATCTTGGTTATATGACTATAGTTAGTTGCGATTCCTTTTGCAAGCTTTTCCCACGCGCATATATATATATTATTATTATTATTATTATTATTAAAAAATCTTTAACGAGGAGAGCTCCAATCACACAAAGGTGGTTTTCATGGAGGCACTCAAATAAAAAGATGTTTACATAAACACACATACCATATACATAGACACTAAAAAGAATAAGTTAAAAATTTTGAAACAAGCTGATTATTCCAAATATTGTCCAAATCTTCCTCAAACCGTCTTTTGACAACCTGTGATACACTCACTGACTCTACCCGTTCTTCAACAACTTTTTGAAGGAATTTATGGGTATCATCTGCCTATGAGTCCTTGGTAAACTAGTCCATGCAGCAAAAACAGTTTGTGTAGTTAGTCTCTTGCCCCAATTTGTTCTTGGGGTTGGAAGACGGTTAAAAATATTATCTCTAAAATAGTATTTAGTATTACAATCATCCTTATTAGTTAGTTCATGCAAATGTGAAATGTACTCTCCTTTCATAACCCGATGGGCCAACATTGCTCTATAGTTCCTTCTACGTGTTACCAGGTCTAGCCATCCAAGTTCCTTTACTGCTTCTTCACCACTTAGTGTCTGGGCCAGTATCTTCTTTGCAAATTTATTTTGAAAGCCTTGTAACTTCGTCATTTCTGCCTTTATACCCCTGGTTGATCACCCCAAAGAATGCTCATGTAGTCCATATGTGGTAGCACAAGACCGTTAAAATATGCAATCTTACACTTTACATCAAGATGATATTTAATTCGATGGAAAACCGCAAGCCGGTGACCTAGTTTCTTAAATACTTGAGCAAGATGTAATTTCCACGACCAATTTTCATCCAGCATTGCTCCCAGATATTTATAACTGGTTTTCCGTTCGATTTCTTCGTTGTTTATTTGTAATGTTATGTCATTAAAATAGGTCAGCCGCTGTGAGCTACCAACCAACATCATTTTACACTTCCTTGAATTTATTGCAAGCTTATTTATTCCATACCACATTGATATATTATCCAAGTCTCTTTGAAGGAGAGACTGTAGCTCCGTTTCACTAGAACCAACATTATACAGGACCGCATCGTCAGCATAGAGAATCAATTTGCTGGTAGTTAAGCAATTTTTCATTGAGTTCACGTATATCGTAAAGAGCAGTGGCCCCAAAATTGACCCTTGCGGTACTCCCAATTGAACAATCCGGTCCTGAGATTTTTCGCCATCAATGCTGACAACTTGCTTCCGGCTTGCAAGGTAAGATTTGAACCACCGAACAGAACTGTCATCTACTCCTATAATAGATAACTTTTTCAGTAAGATCTTATGGTTAACGGAGTCAAAAGCCTTGGAGATATCTAAAAAAACTAGACCGTTGACCGATCCTTTATCCATTTCCTGCATCACCCAATTGTTTATCTGGGCAACCGCATCCTCCGTCGAATATCGTTTCCTGAAGCCATACTGATGTACATAGATCAAATTATTCGATACTAAATATGAATATAATTGCTGATGAACTATACGCTCAAGTACTTTGCTCAAAACTGGCAAAATAGATATCGGGCGATAGTTAGTCATATCCATATTATTGTCAGTTTTATAGAAAGGTATTACTCTTGCAAGCTTCCACGATTCTGGAAAAATTCCAGATTCTATAGACTTATTAACAAGGTATGTAACCGATTTTGCAATAACTGGGGCTGCGTCTTTTAGGAGTCTAGCTGGGATCTGGTCTTCTCCAATCGCTTTATTCGCATTGAGAGACATAAGGTGTTGTTCAACCTCCTGCATCGTAACATGTGATAAATGAAAGGTTGATTCTACAGGTATCTCAAATTGTACCCATTCGCTCCCTCGAAAAGTGTGATATAACTTGTCTGTAATGACTTTTGCAATGGATACAAAGTATTTATTGAATAAATCTGCAACAATTTTTGGTTTGGAATGCACTGTTTTATTTTTCTCGATGTGTATGGGAGCCGTTTTTAAGTTACTTTTCTTACCCATCAGTTGATTCAGGACGTTCCACGTACTCTTAGGGTTGGTAGACGACAACAACAAATCTTGATAATAATCTGACTCTGCATTTTTGACTTTCACATTAACCAAATTTTTGAACTTTCGATATAATTCAAAATCATAAGTGCACTTGGTTTTCCTGGCCTTCCTAAGGAGACAATCCCTTTCCTTCATCATAGCTCTGATACTAGATGTCACCCATGGCTTATTTGACCCTTTTATTCTTATTTGCTTTAGAGGTGCATGCTTATTTGCAACGTCTAGAAAAAGCCTGTTCCAAGCAAAAACAGCATCATTTACATCGTCAAAGATACTAATAGTGTCCCAAGGGATGTCATTCAGATCATTTATAAATCCCGTTTTCGAGTAACTTTTATAAATCCTGCGTGTTTTAATTTTGACTTCGCTTTTTGCAAACCAGCTTTCTTTACAGCGTATATGATGTTATGATCACTACCCCCAAACGTAAGTACCCCTGACGTCGAAAATCTATGTATCACGTTTACATAGATTAGGTCAATTGTAGTTGAAGAATGTGCGGTGATTCTTGTTGGTTCTTTTATCAATTGAAAAAGCCCATATGACTGCGAAATTTGATGCAAATTTTTTGCATATTTAGATCTTCGCTTACTCGACATGTCTGCGTTAAAATCCCCGGTAATAACTACTTCTTTGTTGAATTCATTAGTTGCAGCGTTAAGAAACATTTCATATTTTTCAATAAACAAGGCATTATCAAAGTTCGGGGGCTTATAGAAAACAGCAAACAAGATATTTTTGGCCATTGACGGACACAATTCAATACACAACATCTCAATATTATCCTCTTCTAGATCACGCCTACGCTTAGAGGTATGATGTTAGATACATAAACTGCTACGCCGCCTCCAGCACGATTTCTATCCTTTCTATGGCAGGAATAATCCGCAGGGCATATTTTCTCGTCCGGAATAGAATCATCTAATCTCGTCTCAGAGACACCAAATACATGAAAGATCTTTTTTTCTAACAGCGAGTCTATATCTATCATATGCCCCAAGAGGGTTGCGATGTTTACATGACCAAATTTCATGCCTTTCATATGATTAAAATTTTGCATATCCTCATCCGAGCAATTTGTACTCTGACCAACAGATTCATCACTTTGATTAATATCAGTATCAATATCAATATTGGGGAACAGGCAGCGATTGCATTCCCATGATTTACTTACATCTGTCTGTTCGAGATACTCGGCTTTCGTCATACTAATGCACTTCGCATGATACCACATATCACACATATCACATTGTATCGCCATTTGGTTTCTTCTACAACCTTTCGTACATAAACAACAAGGATCCGTAACTGGTCCAGGGTTTATATATACTGGTCCAGGGTTTATATAGGATCCGTAACTGGTCCATATATACTAGCGCTAACAATGTTGATGTGTTTATGTATGTGTATGTTGATTGTCATTAGGTAAAAAGCTAAATAGAGGCATCTTTTCTTTTATTCCCGTTGAAAACCATTCACAGTATAATTTGCAAAAAGCAAAATAGAAGTATTAAATGGCTACAATTATTCATCGTCCAAAGTCAGAAATACTTTTATTTTGAACTGAGCCCAAACCCTCACCTCAGTGTGACTGTGATTGTAGCTAATAACTTTAGTCTGCTGTGCAACTAAACATATAATATAGAAACTTTAATTAGATGACGATCCTTCAACCGTAAGGTTTTGAGATATAATTGCAATCGACGAAAGTGAAAATTATGCACTTCTTGGTGCATGTCAAAACGAGTTAAGTTTGAAAAGTGAGAAACACGTTCAGGTTGACCATGCTTTCTAACCATGTTCAGTATTTTCTCTGCTGAATCAATAATTTTGATTCAACTTATTATTATAATTAATAGTAATTTTGATTCTCTTTGGAAATTTGTATGATAAAAACAAATTGATATTTGCTTTATTTATATAGCTATACTGCATGCTATGTGACGATATATGTACAGGGTGCATGTATCAAAAAAATTCGAATCGAAATTTTGCGTGTAATGAATGCAAAACGTATTTGACAGATTTGGTTGATTTTTACACCTTTGTTAAGTTCATTTATTTCTTTTTCAAATGACACGTTGTACGTGTAATTTAGTTGAAAAATGAAGAAGTACTGGTTCGACAAAAAAAGTTCATAAAAATCCCCATTTTCCGCCGATGGGAACTGGACGTTTGTTTTATTGAAAATTTGATTTCGAGCAACAATTTTTAAAAGACGATAACCCGGCCAGTTTTGGTCGTGTCGATATAAGAACGGTATAATCGCAAACTAAATAAGCTACTCTTTGATGCCATATAAAAATCATATCGTTTACTTTAGTATTTTATACACAGCAGCCGGTCAAAGTTGGATTCGAATTTTCTTTATACATGCACACTGTAGAATGTGAAAATTTTGCATCTCGTTTCTTCATCGCTTTTCCTACACCGTCTTGCTCACCCCCTCGTTTCAAGTGACATTGTTATATAAGTGCTGTGTATTTTAAATGTGATTGGTTCATTCGTAGTCACATGACTTTAAATAAATGCAATGTTTCCCGCCAGGGAAACAAGTGAAAAATTGTTGCCCGCTACTTGTCATAACAAAGTAAAGTGGGTTTTTTTTAAATTGTTTTGTTCTTATATAACAAAACACTTATTAATGCACACTACCTTCGGAAATAGTGAGTTTTGTTTTCCCTTGAGTATCAATGTTTCCCTCGATTTCGTCTCGGGAAACATTCAGACTCGTGGGAAAACAAAACTCACTATTTCCCTCGGGAGCATACATTAAGTGTATAATATTTCACGTACTGATTATAGAGCAAAAATATAAAAACATTCATCCATTGAAAACAGATAATTCCTACAGGCGTCCTCCGAACCAGTATTGTGTGGTAGCCAGGTTTGAATTAGCACATGCGTGGGTTGATGGGTCAGAGGCTTTATACACACCAAAGATATTTTCATCCGTAACTGAAGAACCAGATTTGAAATTGCACTTTTGATCTCCGCGATGTGCGTTGATTGAAAATATTTCCGTGTTTGTCTGTGTCGCCCACACGTTGCAGTTGTGACATTCACGTCCCCGGATCTTTATGTAATCAACACGATGGCAAAGTGGGGCTGAAAGTAAAGCAGATTATTTTTATAAATCAGCAGGAGGCGGAATCCTAGCCTTTCCTGCAATCTGATTAGCTGTAGCAGAGGGTGGAATTTTTCGATATCTGACCGCGCGCGCGCGGTCCGGAATCCTATATTTTATGTTCGAGCGAATTAAAGTGTATTTTTTTTGTTTTTCTAAAGTTTTATTCGCAAAATTTTGACCTTTTTAAAATATAGCTATTGACCAAATGATTATCACGATAAATTGGAGAGAATTTTAGTAAATTAAACGAACGAGGTTTTGATTGTTTATGTTTTTGTCGCCATGCACCGGCATTGCTGAGTCAGACTACACATTAAATAATACGATCGAACGCCGCTTTTTGTAAAAAAATAAATACGTTATTTACCGTTTTGAATTGGTCTGTCCGGATAGAGAAATATTTCCCCTCGGTGTTAAAAATGATACCTCGGGAAAATACCTTCCTATACGGACCTAGCGCCGGTAATTCATAACATAACTGTCCAATAAATTGTTATGTCGTGTTAACTGTTATGTCCAGTATATTGTTATGTCCGGTAAATTGTTATGTATATTCAATATAACGATAATAGTAACCATATAGTATTACAAGGTCAAGTTGTAACAATGCCTACGCATTGCAATTGACAGGTTCTTCCTCTGAACGCAATAAATGTAGATTAGATCCTATAAACAGTTCTAAAATAAGCAAACTATGTTCTTCCTTTAACGTATGTCTTAAGTTATGTTCTTCCTCTAACGTAGGTCCTAAAATATGTTCTTCCTTTAGAAACACTATATATATAACCCAATCGTTGGTAAAGGAGAGGTTTTGTGTAAATTTGTATCTCTATTTGTGAAATATATGTATTAAACGTAAGGTGTGCAGGTTTCGCCAGTTGTCGCAATGATTGAATTATACAGTTCCAAGGAATTGTGAGAGTTTCACAACAATAACAGAACATCAAAAAATCCCAGACTTCACCCTCAGGACAGTTTTCCACTGTCGCGTTTTTTGTCCGTACCTTAAAATAATTTAAATAAATAGGGTTGGATTCTGTTGTGTTCGATTCGGTGCGTTTTTTTCTGGCATAACTGTAATTAAAAGAGTGTACGTTACGTGCAAAAAAACGCGACAGTGGAACGCAGTACTGAATTCATTTTGGGAAAAGTTAATTAGCGCAAGCACAAGAATCAAATTCACTATGCTCAGTTATCCGATTACCGTTCCAATGAAAACTACTTTAAGAGATTAACCTTACTATATATTGCTGGCACTCTGAAAATCAGTACCCATGCAAACCCCATTCAGTTTACCAGCACCATACAATTACTATCCCATCTAGCGTAATTTCCAGATATTGCAATCTTACCAGGCTCATGTGGACATTCCCAGTTTTCACTAAACGTTTTCACCTCATCATCTGTGAACGCAGTGTTGTAAATCTTCAGGCATGCGATACGTCCATTATAAACGCGAGTGTCTCTTTGGTAATGATGATTTTTGTAGGTCACTCCACTTGTCAATTGGAAGCTGCTTGAGGTGCCTAGTTGTTGCAGTGAAAATCCGGTTGTTCTTAGCAAGAGCTAGATGGAAGAATATGCAACTTTATTTAAGTACTATATATATAGTTAAAATATGAGCGGCCTATCTGTATGGGTATTTACAGTGGCAAGTGCGCACCAGCTTGTAAAAGGAATAGATTAAGCTTAATGCGTACTAGGGCATATGTGTAACAAATTTATGAATACTAATTAAGATTAGTTGTAACAAAGTTAATACAGATGTATACATGTGACCAAAATACTGCGCAATGATTGGAGGTTATGATAATTATTCGTAAATTTCACAACTTAATATTATAATAGTGAAGCGACAATAATATTTTAACATATATAGTGAGTCAATTTACCGTAACTCAATATTTTCGAATGATTACTGCATGCCCGTGCCCATTGGAGGCGTCTGTAAATGCTGTGATTATTGTGTTATAAGGCCTGGTTCTCATATGTCGCCGACAGTCGGCGATGTATTTTTTGTGGTTGGTAACGAGGAAAATTTATACAAAATAACAAAGCACTTTAGTATCCAGTGATCGCCGACAATGATGATCGCCGACAATAATGATCGCCGACAATGGTCATCGCCGACCGTCGGTGACATACGCCTGAGAAAGGCTTAAGTATACTAACTTCTTATTAACCAAGAAATATCGGACAGAGGTTTTTTCAGTGTACAGACCGAGCTCGAAAAGCGAGGTTTGTACAAAAAGATCGAGGTCCGATATTTCTCGGTAAAGACCGAGCAAGCGAGGTTAATAAAAAATTATTATATGGCAAAAGGCATATATTTGCACTTGAAACAAACAAAAAATGCATGAATTCGTATTAGTAGCCTGGTACGCATTTGATAAAAACAAAAACAAAATATTGAATTATTTAGTTTACCTAAACTGTCTGGAGACGCTTTATTAAAGGCGCAAGAAAAATTGCACCGTGTAACATGGGCTTAATTTCAGAATCAATTAAATTTTCTCATGAGTATTTATTTGTGCCTTTTTCATTCAGAATTTCTCTGTTTTTCATCTCGTAATGGATCGCCAGTAACGCCAGTCCATTACGGGAAAGTAATGGACCGCTGAAAATTCTTCTCAGCCAATCACTGACTAAGCTCCATTTCACCTGAAGTGACGCTTTCCATATAATAATATATTTGGTAATTTCTATACCTTTCCATTGCGGTAAATTGATTGTATTCTTTTATCATAATCGTATGTAGCCGCCAAATAATGCCACTCGTTGGGTTGAATTTGATCAGTTGCCCGCAGTAATCTTATTTTGTAGCCTTGTCTATTTCTGGAGCTGTATAATTGTAATATTTCAAACAAATCAGTTAATGATTAACAATTTAATAGACAGAGAAATTTTCTGCACGCATGGAGCACATGCATGAAGATATGGTTCATTTAAAAAAGATGACGTATACAACCAGAAGTAAATCGTCTTGTCTATTGCCCATAGGTGAACACCCCATTGTCCACTGGCAGTCCAACCAAGTAATTGTCCATGACGTGTTTCGTGAGCGTATATTTGCATCAGAATAGTGAGGCTGTAGCGAGTGTCCAGCCGTCCTGAGTTATCATGAAGCTGTAAGGAAAGTGGCAACGTTAACACCGTATTCGCTTGTTTGTAGAACAACACCCCAACTAGAATTAAAAATTGTAATTGAGATGCTGCGAGTGAATACACGCACTGCCTTTATCTTTCCCCAGTTATCTAAGCTAACAGTAGCAACATAACTGAATCCCATACAAGTTTTCTAATTGACCACGACAATTGCAACTATAAGTATCAGCTTTAAGGACACTGCGAACGTTTTATAAGAACAAAATTTTTGTAGTAGAAGATCCATTGCTATATGAGCAGAAACGACTGTGACCTCCCTCTGAGCACTTGATTGTGCATTTTTATGACGAACAAGACACACTGATATTAAAGAATTATTCAGTATTTTTACCTTAGATACTATATATGAGGACGCTTTATCGAAAGTGAATTGCATTATTTCGCCAAGAGTATTTCGTTAAGAATATAACAGTGAAACGTCATTTCCTGTGCTAGACATGCAGATAACGATATACTCGAATGCAGAGTTCTTGCAACAATCTAAAATACCAGTAATCTGTCTGTACAGAAATTCAACAGGACCGGTCTGGCCGTTTTTACCGTATAAAAGAAAGCACCCTAGGTCTCTAATGTGGGCCAGAGTTTCAGCAAGTTATTTAGCACAAAATAATTATGTTGAGCAGATTCATTCAGAAATAGTCAATAAGACATATTTTAAGAAAATCAAACGTAAAGTGTTTTCGCATATTTTTACTCCGCCTGCGTATGCGCAGCGGTTGAGCCACAGAAGTTGAGCACAGAAGTTGGCCAGGTAACCTAAAATATTTTGACCGAGAAGCCCTGGGTTACACGGTCCACGGATGAATTAGGTACATCAGTTGGCATGCAGGCGGAGTGAACGCCTTGAGCAGGCGTCTTGTTATTATTGCGATAATGTGAAGCACAAAACAATAGCGCAAAAACCTATTCCAAGTAACTCGATTAAGTGCAGCGTACACACGTCTGTCAGATTGACCATCTCGTCGGTCGGTAAGCATGCAAATTGAGCAAGTAAGGTAAGGAAGTTGCTTTTGTTTGTAACATGCTTCATGCTTTGACTGGATGGTTTTAATATAAATTGTATGACGCGTATATATATATACCCGAATGTACGAAGATAAGGATCCAGTCATTCTAGCTGATCCACCTGGATTCCCCAATGGTCCATCCTCATATTCAATGCCGTTCATTGAAGCGTGGTTTCCAAAGCCAGACTTATCTTGTCCTTCTGTGACATTGTCAAATGGATAGTAACCAACCAAACCTTTTTCTATTCAAAATACGAATTAATCAATATCGTGAGTAAACAGGGCAGAGACTGTGCAGGTTTATTATAGAATCTATAGAGTTTTTGGCCTAATTTACGGAAAGAAACGTTTGGCCTGGTTGGCCTGAATCCGGAGAAACCTGTGACGCGTACCGTTCGTTTTAAAGTTGAATAAATCCAGAGTCTGAAAAGAGTTTCTCACAAAGTCATCACTGGTCGATTTCCCGTCGTCAAATGAATAGCCACACGTGGCTTTCCACTCCACTTTACGTTCGCCTTCCATTCCATTCTGGATGCTTTTCATCTTAGCCAACGACAACCTAAACATATAAGACAACGCAACCGTATTTTATGCACAACCCTGAAATTAGCAATGTTTCGTCAGTGATATACTTGCTACACAAATGATCGACAAGAATTCTTTCTTTTTTCTTTTATTGTCAGATGAACTTAAGCCTTTTAGGGCAGTTTTTAACTATTGGCAGAATTTTTTTAAAGATAGCGATTACAATTATTGACAATAAAAGAATTCATCTCTTTGAAGATCAAGGCAAACTTTTCCTTAATTGTGTCAGAAATTTGCGAGCATAAATACGATAATTCGTGCGGACGGAGCTATCATTTGGGCCAGGAAGTCTACTCTCACTCTGAAGACGTTAAACACACAGTTACCATGTTATTACGATCGCGGCAATAGAAGCGTCACGAATATAGATTTTTTCATTTCATTGGCCTGATATGGTCAGTGAACACATGCAAAGTAAGGAGTCTTTTAATGAGTTTTCTAAAATGTTTGATTAACTGTTTAAGCCAATTGACATTGAATCCTTCACTACCCAGTACCTGTAATCACCACTACTAGCGTCGCTTTCATCACGTGGGGAGTCTTCCTCGAAAGGAACACGTTCATAATAGCCATTATTTTGCTTCGAATAAGACATCATCAGGGTCCATGCTTCCATCTCGTCCGGCCGCATTTCACAGTAAACGCGAGTCTTCACCATAGTATTCTTTTCCCAGATGTCATAATACCCGGACTTGGCCGTTCTGTCATTCCACAGGTAGTCGAAACAACTGTTGACCTCCCGCTCGCACATTGTCCCGACGTGGTACTCATGTGCAATCAAATCCGGGCTTCCCGCGTTCACCAACCTCTGTGCATGTTGCGCCATTTGCACAAGGATTGTTGTCACAGCAACGGTTTGAATACGGCTCGTAGCAGGTGTCCTTAAATCACAGAGAACAATGAATTTTTATATCGTGCGGCATTCCTTTGGAGGGGACGAGAGATTGAGTGTCTATTCTAAAGGGTGTCTATTAAAAATATCACCGCTTATGGACATGAAGCTATTGTTCGATAGCGCTATCCACCGGATAGTGATTTTTAAAACCATTTTAAGTGTGCTTAAAAAGCAATGAGATCACAAACTTAAAGTTACCAATAAAAAAAGTTAATCCTAATTTAAGAATACTAATGTTTTCTATTTCTTTTATAATATAACTCAACAAAAAGATTTTGTACAAATATTATAATTCGATTCAATTACAAATTCTCATTACATCGCTTCGCTTGTCAAGTTCGGCGGGAAAATTCCCGTGTTTCTATACAGTTTTAGTATACACCCGACTATTGTCTATTACAAATCCTACATTCTGATGGCTACTCAAGCATTGCCTATTCGTGATGGTGAACGCTTGGGAAAAATTCGCTCGCGCGACCGTATAAAATTGAGTTAATTAAATTATTTTTCGGTGTAATTGCGGTGTATCGATTATTTTTTCGAAATTAATATATCTATGTACATGGTGTATAATAAAAAATTAATATATCTAGGTACATGGTGTTGTCTATGAGCGAATAGTCAACTCAGGCTTCGCCTTGGACTCGTTGTCTAATTGTTTAAAAATAGAATGCCACTCGTTGGAGAATTACATGATGTATACATGTGACCAAAATACTGCACAATGATTGCAAGTTAGACTCATTAATTATTCACAATATAGATTACTTAATGGTTGACGAGTGCATGGTACGATTTTTATATTTTATATTTTGCATAATAAAAATCGTACAAAAAAGCCAGCTATAACGTAATTTGTTTATTATATGAGTCCATAAAGATCAATTTGACAACGACACGCTTTTAATAGTTATACAAAAACAAAGCGAGCTACTAAAATCGAAATTTTATGCATCAAAACATATTTGTTACCGTTCAGTTTCTTTGTAATTTTGTGCAATAGAAGTTAGATATTCTTCCCGAAATGTGCTGAATGTGAAAATGTCTTGAATATGAGAATTATGTTTCGACGCCTTGCATCTTGAAAAAAATGTAAACAAAATGACATACGACAATTTTTCACCTGTGAGGGATATCGTACGTCCAATCAAAATGCCATGATGTATGGCATTTTTCCACACTTCACACATTTCATCATTCTGCTTTGCATACATTTTCACTGCGGAACTCTAAAACACTCGTAGAATTCATACGCTACTGCACGCTTGGGAGTGACATAACGAGTTTTAAAAATTTCTCTTATTATTGTTGTTGTGAAAATACAAACTGTCTTTGATTCGTATATATTGAAACGAAATTAAAGTTAGAAATTCAAACGAAAACACTTAACAGACAACTTTAGATAAGTAACACTAATTTACGCTATAGTTAATTCTATAGCTATTCGCTTTTCGGATGGTCTTTCCAGGCTTATTTTTTATTTATTGAATCAAATAATTTATAAAGTGCATTGTTAATTTTTATCGTTGCATTTCATTATCAGCAAATTGCTAAACCAATATTATTACATTCCTTGTCACTATTATATTTCCCGAAACTAGAAATAATATTATCGAGGAAATTAAACTTTAACTTACTGCGCCAGAGATAACTGCTTTCACCGCCATTGGTACCGCCATCCGGATTTCGGCTCCGTCAACACTGTACTATTATCCGCACTGTTTAGCTCGCATCTTCCTCCACCCGACATCGGTAGATTGAACGACCTACATCTGCAATCATTATCGCAATGCGTAAAACAGTCGGTGAAACTCGTCACCGTAAATTTGGCAAATACGTGTCCGACCAACACTCGGTTGTCGAGCGTCAGTTGGCCGCTGAATTCTGCGCGATAACTGGTCTTTGAGCCATGGCATGCCGAATGAGAACTTTCAGGGAAAGTTAGGAGCGTGACAACGACGAGAAGTAATGTTTCAGCCATCCTGTTTGCGTGTGGCCTAGCTCAGCCTAAAATGAAGCGTTTCGTGGTGACATAAAAATATATTTCCCTGCATGTGGTTGTGCAGGTGCTTTCTGTAGCTTAATTGATGTTATTTCACACTATATAGTGAATGCAAAAAGACTGCAATTACAGCATCGGTGCCTAATGTATGCCATATACGATGCGAAGGAAGGTTATTAAAAAAGGACCCGGACGAAAAAGATTGCGGTGAACATTTAATGCATTTAATTCGATATTTTGTATAATTAGTCCATGTTTCAATCAGCTCTATTTTTAAATATGCAGTTTTTTATATATGAATAAATCAGCAGATGTTATGTAAAAACAAAAATTTCGTTAAAAATAATATGTATCAATTAAATTTCCGACTGCGATACGCTTCGTAGGTGAATAAATTCATTTATTATATACCACTTGTCAAAGTTTGGTGTTTGTAGCATTGGTCGAGAGCGAATCACGCGAGAGTGACGAAATTTTGGTGTCGCCAGCGCGACCCCCTGCAGAGTGAGGTAACGTGTTATCTCATGGGATATCGACAGGTCTTGGGTCCACAAAACACAACGTTTCCTTCGTTCGCAGTAAATAAGCGTTAAATATAGATCAGCCATTCTTATCTTTAGCCCCTGCTGCCACAACATATGCATGCTTGATTTTCCCATTGTTCTTAATCTAGGAATAAATGTTCTTATAAAAAGTAAAAATATTCTTGCATTCCATTCCATAGGGGTATTCTCGCAAGAAAATATGCTCTTGCATATCAAGAACAAATTTTCTTGCATGCCTATAGATTATTATTCTTGAAACAAGAATAATATTCCATGCAAGAATAATATTCTTACCATACGGACAAGAATGTATTTGCTTGCTTTTAGCACAATTTCGCTCAAAGCAAGCATTTTGCTGTCGACATGCATGCACTTCACGTTTAAATTGACCTGCATGCATAGCAATGAAAAGCAATGCATAGTAGCTTAAACCACGCATTGGTTAACATAATTGGTATAAAACCTGGACTGTTTGAAAAAAGGTGACCTTGCAATGTTTGCGAGGCCTAAAAATTTGACCTAAAAATTTGCCTATAAATAGATATGGACATCGGTTTTATTTTTTAACAGGTCTTTATAAGTTATATAAATCATTAGCGGTTTCGTAAAAAAAAACAAAAAGAATTTTTGCTATAAATAATCACCAATCGAAATGCGCAGTAATGTACAACTTTAATTTGGTGCATTCTTCTTTAGTTAAAATATCTATATACGGTAATTAATGACATGCTTAAATATCAATCACGTGACCATTAAACATGGATTATTTTTGTTCACTTTTCTCTTGTTTTTTTATATTGTTCGCCTTATTATGACATTTAAAGAAATTTTCAAGACATGCAGATTTCCTCCAAAGATTTCCCCTAAAATTAACGAATGCAGTGCATAAACAAATCAATAAATCTACAAGTTACGATCTCAAAATTTCATTTCGCTGAACTGTGTTCCACCCTCTACCGCAATACGCGATCATCAAGTGATCGACGTATATAATATATACGGAAATTAAATCTTATTTTATGTCGCTACCAATTGTTTCACGTAAGTCATATTGACGATCTTTAGGCGATAGATCTAACCATATAGATCTATTAATATATGTATTGAAATTACGGAATTATTAGCACAAGAAGTACATTATTCTGTAATTAAGTACGTACAAGACAAGCAGCTTGTATGTATAATTCACAAAATAGTGCATATGGAAAGAAAACACCTAACAATAAAGCTACGTACTTATTACAACTTGCAAATTTTAAGATGTTTTTGTCAATTGACAGTTGTGTAACAGGTATACCCGGAAAAATTATTTTAATTTAATTTATTTTAATTTAAGTAATAATTGAAACAACTTTCATTATTACTAGAGGAAAGACTAACTTAGATTTTGATATTTTATAGTTGTATTTTTGAAAAACATTCATGATTATATTACTTTTCAAAATCGGACATTATTCCGGGATGTCTTTAAAATATGCAAAATACGCTCTATAAAAATATTAATTAATTATAATAATCTTTGCTCGGACGCATGCACTATTATTATATGGCAAGCGTCACTTCCGGTGAAATGGAGCTCAGTGATTGGCTGAGAAGAACACTCAGCGGTCCATTATTTTCCCGTGATGGAACAGCACTTTCCAGTAATGGACCGACGTCACCGGCGATCCATTACGAGATGAAAAACAGAGAAATTCTGAATGAAAAAGGCCCAAATAAATGCTCAAGAGAAAATTTAATTGCTGTTGAAATTAAAAAAGACGTCCCCAAACAGTTTAGGTAAACTAAATAATTCAATATTTTGTTTTTGTTTTTATCAAATGCGTACCAGGCTACTAATACGAATTCATGCATTTCTTGTTTGTTTCAAGTCCAAATGCATGCCTTATCCCATATAATAAACTTTTTATTAACCTCGCTTTCTCGGTCTTTACCGAGAAATATCGGACCTTGATCTTTTTGTACAAACCTCACTCTTCGAGCTCGGTCTGTTGAAAAAGGCCTCGGTACGATATTTCTCGGTACAGACCTCGCGCTCATCGTCGTATTAACAGTAAGTATAGGCACTTAATAAACTATTCATTATGCTATACCGCAACAAATTTTCGCGATAATTTATTAAAACATAAGTTAGGATAATGTCCAAATGTTTCTTAAATGCGAGCAATGCTTCTCTCATTTGCTGCTATGCTGCAATGATTTAGACACATTATTTCAGGGTAATGGCTTCACTGTTTAAAACGTTATTATCGATCAAACCGGCACTGGCGTAGCCAGCATCGATAATTGGGGGGGTCCATATTCATATATTCATGTAAACAGACTGTAAAGACAATTGATTTGAAAAGAAATTAATCCTGCGTATCACGAATATATGAATATGGACCCCCCCCAATTATCGTTCTGGCTACGCCGCTGCAAACCGGAGTACTTTTTTGGGACACCCGGTAGAAGTAGAGTAATTCATGCATTGAAGGATGTCGGTCAATGGAACCATCACGAGAACTTTGAGGCGTTAACCACGTCGTTGATGATGGGTACTTATCCAATATATATATATATATATATATATATATATATATATATATATATATATATATATATATATATATATATATATATATATATATATATATATATATATATATATACCCATTTGCAAAAACGTTGGCCGCAGATAGATAGATAGATAGATACTCGAAGTCTAATTAGAATTGCATATGATTACATTTGCATGGGATTTCAATCATATTACACAACATATGCAATTCTAATTAGATTTCGGGTATCTATCTATATATCTATATATATATATATATAATTATATATATATATATATATATATATATATATATGAAGTTGGGAGTTTGGGAATTGATGGGCTTCGGTCAAGAGTCTAGGGTAGTAAATCGAGGGTCGTGAGGTAGGTCGAGGAAAAGGTCGCGGGGGAAGTCGGGATATATATGTTTAAATTTTCCAAATTACGCTCAGTGATAAGGACAAAGGGGAAGGCCACAACGCGCGAAAAAGGCCCGAGGCGCAAATATTAGATTACCTCGCATTTTAATACCTCTTTGGTGTGCACGCGACTGATTCGGCGATTGCGAGGGTATGTAATCAATCCACGGTAATAAACACACGGCTGGAGAAAATTTGAGTTGAAAGTCTACTGGTAGTTGTACAATTTGCACTGCTCAGTTGCACGCATTGCACTTAAAAAATACAATTTTACCGACAAAGCAATTTCACTTCACTGACTGCACCTTGCGATAGAAAAAGTTGTTATTTTTAAACCTTCGAGTAACAGCGGTTGCAAGACTCCTACATATGATGTTTATTTTCATTGACGTGCAGTGCTGATAAATTCACGCTGGCGATTCTAAAAAAGCGTCATTTCGGAAGGACAAGGATCAGATGACACAGATATATAATATATCTATGTTGGCAATTGCTAAGAAGGCGTAGTCATGGACTCGCGATATACGCTTATTATTTTCATTGCGTTATGTTTAAATTCCAAACGCATCAACGGTCAAACACAGTTGTATCGAGGCGTGTTTCCAGATGATTTTATTTGGGGCTGCGCAAGCTCAGCGTACCAAATCGAAGGTGCTTGGAATATCGATGGCAAAGGCGTGAATATTTGGGACACGTTCACTCACACACCAGGAAATGTATGGGGAAATCATACTGGAGACGTAGCGTGCGATAGTTATCACAAGTATAAAGAAGATGTGAAGCTTCTCAAATCCTTAGGTGAGTCAAGTGAGCCGTGAGATAATGTTGCTTTTATATTGTGCAACAAAACAGGCCATAACTGATGAGATGAAATGTCCCGCAGTAAATGGATAATGATTATAACAACATTAAAATATTCAAGCAGTAAGGTAAAGGCGTGTATGTTAAAAATTGAGAGACATTTTATTTAGACGAGATGTTTATATAGATCTTATACAAAACAGGGCAGTCCGTATCATTGCAAAGCGTGGTTATGACTATAGGTCTGTAGACATACTTAATGAACTTGAGATACCGAATTTGAGTGTTAAAAGAAATAACCAATTATGCACTATACAATGTATCAGGTAAAAAATAGCCTAGTTCCGACTATCTTATTGACCTTTTCACGAAAACAAACGCGGTGCGTGACTATCAAACTAGACAGGCTGAGCATTATCTTTTACCACCTAAGCCAAATACAAATTTTGGTAAAAAATCTTTTTCGTACAGAGGTGCAGTGGCTTGGAACAAATTAACATCCAATCAAAAAAACTGTGAATCTATAAAGTGTTTCAAAAGTAACTTAATAATTAGTAATATGTCTTAGTGCGATAATTGACATGTCTTAGTGTGATAATTGTAATAAACAACTTAATATTAGTAGCATGTCTTATCCTGTTTCAGTAAAATATTTCTTTTGTGGGAGTTACTAGGCTTAGGTTACTATTTGAAGTGTGCTTAGCACGAAAATATTTCGATACGAAATCAGACGAGTTCAAAATACGAGTATCTTAGTTGACCTGCGTGGCCAGGAAGACCGGGTCGAAAACGTAAAAAACACGAAAAAAAAACACCGACGGCAACTTTAGACTGTGTTCGCGCTGTGCGCGACGCAGTAATATAAAGTTTGGTCAGTAAGCCTCTCCCAATTTTGTTACTTCACTGCATGACAGAAAGTTTTAGGGAACGAGAGAGGCTAAGCAGGTAACCTAAAAGTTCAGAATCGTAAACATAATTTTGCACCTCTATTTGGCTATTATTTAAGGCCCTATATATCATGCGGACCTTCATCCAGATATCTGAACCATGATATGCGTACGTATTAGCGAAGAATACATGCGTTATCAGTGCGTGAAAGTAGTAATTGATTAATTTGTCACATCTAGTGCATTAGTATATTTTGGCCGGTGATTTTTATATATATATATATATACTTAAGACCTTATGTAATTATAACAGGGTGTATGCATGTGTAGCAAAAACATTTATACTTTGTCAATGTCTTCAAGGCGTACGCGCATGCACGCATGCATCGTTGGGAAAATCGTGCCGCTATTTGCTGGTCACTTTCTATATGAAAAGCAGAGCTAACGAAATGAGATCATGTTCAACATTTTAATACTAACGTTAACTTTGTTTGTGTACCAACGTCTAAAACCATTGCCTTTTGCATGGGAATTGTATCTCCAACGTTGTTAGTTAAAAAATGTAGGCAAATTTAACAGTCACATCTGGAATTAATAAGCTTTGCTTTATTGTGTTAAAAGAATAGCTCTTGAAAATTTTATTTTCTAACATTTTGAGAAATGTATCTACATAATATAATATGTGCTGATCTATTCTGTTGAATACATTTCGCCGATTATGAACATGGGTTCCTCGCTTATAATACACCGTTTCATAGAGCGCAGACAAACTGGTTTGAAGAATAAAAATGTCATGCAGACATGCACCATGCAGTCTAATTATGGAAAGCCATATGGTTTTTGATGAAACTTTTAACGCTGAACATTATTTGGTGCTTCTAGCTTGCTACAAGTTTACTGAATCGATGTCACCGGATATCTTCTTTTACTGTAGGCGTGCAATATTATAGATTTTCACTCTCTTGGTCACGAATACTTCCGAACGCTACGGCAGATTACGTGAACCCCAAGGGTATAGAATACTACAACAACCTGATTAACGAATTGTTGAAAAATGACATTAAACCCATGGTCACGTTGTACCATTGGGATTTGCCACAACCTTTGGAAGATATTGGTGGATGGCTCAACGTAAACATTAGCGATGCATTCAGGTACAGACTTGATATTGTTTTAATCTCAGCTCGTTAGCAGAAGACGAGATCGCGCAGCGGTCGACCATTGGAAAGACATGCATGCATGTATATTTCATTCCATTAACATATGACCATGCAGTTTGACCATTTTTGGCCCTGGGAGAGATTAATCTCTGACGAGTAAGACAATTTAGCTACAAGCTGAGGTTTGTTTCTATCATATGCCAGGCATACTCGCATCATCTATACAACTATAAGCATAATATTTCACGTTCAGTCTTTTACATTCCACAGAAATTGAATCTGATTTACTTGTTCGTGACAGCCTATAGATTTCAAAGCTTTATTCTGTCTTAAATGGAACGTTGTGTAAACTCCTCTTGACCTATTCTAACTATTGTTTTGTAGCAGACAACTATAACTATATTAAATATACTATATCGCTGACAAGTCGTTCTCATCCTTTTATCTTATATCATTCGCTATTTGACCATTTGTGACCGTTTCTTAAATTTTTTGTGTATATATAGAATCGATGCTTGTAAATAAATTTAATTGCTCTGATGATCTTGTGGACAATACAGCTCAGTATTCAACAATAGCGACGCCATCTTTAATTCCAAATCTTAAAAATACATTTTGGGTGATTCTGGATAGTCGGGCCTTTCCGAAGGGTTTTAAATTAGAGAAGACTGAGAAGTAGACGATACACCCTGTCAATTTATGTTTTGCATAAAATTTGGAGGACACTACAAGTTTTGGAAAATTTTATTCACCGCTTATCAACCGCTTTTATATCAGGAGATATGACCCTTAATAGATCTCAATTCGAGATGGCGTCGCTATTGGCAAACACTTGGCAATTACGTTCCTACTGAGTACTAGTCAGCCAGTGATCTTCTGAAGAAATTAATGTTAGTTCAAAAACTCTGTTTTTAAGGCTCACGCCAAAAAATGTTATATTTTCATCTATACTTTCCTAGCGAATATGCAAGAGTTTGCTTCAAGAATTTTGGCGATCGAGTGAAATTTTGGGCTACTCTCAATGAACCGTGGGTTTCTGCTGTCATAGGTTATGGCAACGGTGTTCATGCGCCTGGTATCGAACGGCCAAAAGACGGACCTTACTTAGGTAATCAGATAGAACAATGACATACAGTAGAGTAAAAAAAATTTCCACTTCATTCGTAAGAGATAAATCATTAAATTTAAAAAAGGGTAAACTTAACGTAGCACTGACACAGCAGAAGGTGTCGTGCAGGATGTCAAGTGAGAGGTGCCTCAAAATTTGATAGACCTATCTAAAAGAAATAAAATACAAAAGGCTGCTACTTGTTTCGTTCCCTTAAAATTATTGTTCTATTTGTCTATTTTTTGCAAAAGCCAATGCCTGCAAGTCAGGCTGGCACCAGCGCCACTGAGGGTCTCGTGAAAAGTATCAATTGAGAGGCATGCATGGTCAGAGGTACCTCCAAAAAATTATCAAGGAAAATTTGATAGACCTACGTCGTCTTACTGATGATTAATAATTACTGATTACGACCAGTTTTTATGGAAGTATTTAGTACGACGTAAAAATTATTTCTTCCTCAGCGGGCCACACGTTATTGCTTGCTCACGGAAAAGCGTGGCATGTGTACGACAAGGAATTTTGAAAGCAACAAAAAGGCAGAGTCTCAATCGTTTTGAATTCCGACTACCATTTTCCTGAGACAAATAAAGAGGCCGATTTGAAGGCTGTCGAACGTGGAATGGCATGGACATTGGGTTGGTTTGCAAATCCTGTCTACGTTAACGGAGATTATCCCGAAGTGATGAAAACGTTGATAGCGAGGCATTCAACATTGAATAGGGAATCAAACAGGTATAGCAAATGTCGGACGGAGCGCCGAATATTTCTTTCTATGGCTTGTGCATACGAGCGTTGCTCTCGAGCGTTTTTAAAACCGTTTTTATGTATTCTTAATTGAGACGCCCTGCACACACGATACATAGTCGAAAAGCATAGCTTGAAAAATTTCAAAACATTCCGCTTGAGAAATTTCAAAACATTCCCCATTAACTGCATGGATGCAATTCAGTTCGAAATTACTATAGATAAAAGATGATCGAGGCTTTTTTGCATGTACAAGATCAGTTAGGATCACGTCAGGAGCTGGCGTTTAATCTGAATTAGGAGGGGGGAGGGGCATTCTTAATAAAAAGTTTGCTAAATAGAATAGTCTCATAAAACGATAACATAAAACTCATCAGGGATGTTATTTTGAAAGTATAAGAATTTTTGTGTCTCGGGAGGGAGCATTATTTCAAATTTATTCGCGGCTGCGGGGCATCCACCATCCCTTATTAGTTCAGGTACGAATTACTTTTCGACGTCTCATTATACACATTTTCATTTTTTACATTTAACCTTAACAACATCCGCCCCTGCTGTAGTTTATGAGTTGCAATTGAATTTTCTTAACAATTCTTGCATAGACTTCCACAATTCACTGAAGAAGAGAAGAAAATGTTGAATGGGACAACAGATTTCTTTGGCCTCAATCATTATACATCGGTGATGTGTAGAGACATTGACTACGGCAAGGCTGATTGGAATTATTGGATTGACAACGAGATCCAAACCTTCAGGAAGAGTTCGTGGCTTCCAGGTACTATATGCAATGTGAAAGCCTGTATTCTGAAAGTTCAATCACACCAAAACAGTAAACTCATCGAGCGATTCAATAACGTCGTAACGATTGCATTATACGGGATCAGTTTCCACACGAATAAAAGCTTAATTTTACATCAATTTACACCTCAAAACTTTCCAATGATTAACTTTACTATTCATCAGGAATTACAGAATTTTAGTCACACTCTATATAGGTATGAATGTGAATGAATTTATACTACAGCTATATGCGTCTGGATTACGGCATTCAGGAACCCAGCGAGTTACAAGTGGTGGATGAGATGCTTGAAATTAAAGGATTTGGTCCAAGTTGAATAGGCCCCGTTTCCGCGTAGCCGGATAAAGGTTTATACAACCAACCTTTTCTTTTAACATATCTAGCTTAACTGAGTAAGAACATTGCCGGTTACACTTATATCCGACTACGTGAAAACGGGGCCCATTCAACTTGGATAGCGAGGCATCCAAGTCGGAAAAATTCTTCTACAACGTACGACGCTCGTGGTTTAATCAGCTAGGTTTAATCAGTTTTAATCAGCTAGGTTGCCGTTAATATAGTATATAAGCGCCCTGGTTTAATTTAGCGCAACTTAGCGCTATAGTTCTACTTCACAATTTCATGAAAAACCTGGGAGGATACGTTTTAACCAGTAACTGACTAGCCTTACTCCTATTTTTCAAATAGATCTATACATTTTTTTAATTCCACATACCTATACCTTGGGTAAATTACTCTAAAATATCCCCGATAGCTATCTATTGAAAATTTTCCATGGATCTTTAAACTCTGATAGATATCGTATGCAGTACCTAGCCAGCGTTTAGGTGTTGCCGTTTTTCAATGTACAGGTGCTCCCTCATGGTTGTACAAGGCTCCACAAGGACTGCGTCAACTTCTCTCTTATATAAAAAAGAATTATGGCGACCCAGAAATTTATATCACCGAAAACGGTTGGAGTGAGAAGGGGGAAGATATGAGGGTCGGAGAAGCAGCGCTGAATGATACCGAAAGAGTTGGTTATTACACGGAGTATATCAATGAAGCTCTGAAGGCTTCGCGGCTGGATGGTGTTAATGTAAAAGGTATGGTGTTTTTATTGGAACTTCCAGGAATGTTACTTCACGCGACGAATGTTTAACAATGATAACACGACCTCACATCGTATAGGGAGTTTACGATTCACGACGGCGCCAGCTCGACGACGCGCTTGCAAAACATAGAAATTCCATACGCGAGACAATAGGTATGCATAATTTGTTGTCCCAAGACAGCGTTGTCATTCTTATACGATGGCTTTAAATGAGTCATTTTCACGGCCTCTCGATGACATGAATTAAAGCAGCGGCAACGCGTGATAGCTGTTTTACAGCTCATATGAAAACCAATATCAACCAGACATCCGAGGTTCTTGGCACAGTTGAAACGTTTGATTGTTTCAAAGTCCTGGCAGCGTAAGTAATTTCCCGTAACTTATTTCTAGCAACGTCGACGTAGAGCTAACCGCGTCGTAGATCGTAAACTCCTTTATGCCACTATACATATGGGTGGCATGCATAATAGTTATATTCGAAAACAGCGACTAGTATGAATTGCTTTATAATATAGTCACTACGTACTATAGAATATTACCATTACTAATATAAGTTTTAACTAGACCGGCTATTGATTTAATTCAAGTCAAATTTTGCTGCTTGTTTGCATGCGGAAATTAAATTTATAACTGCACATTCTACTTTTATCACTGCACACTACCAATAATTAGGCACGGTTAACAATGATGATCATTTAATATTTTACATCATATCTTCTCATTTTAGGTTACTTTGCTTGGTCGTTGATGGATAACTTTGAATGGCACACAGGATATCACGAACGTTTTGGGATTCACAGGGTTAACTTTAGCGACCCCGAACGAAGACGTGTTCCGAAACAATCGTCAAAGGTGTACGCAAAAATTGTCGCAGACAACGGTTTTCCCGCAATGGTTTTCCCGACGAATAAAACGACAACTCCCAAGCCTGATAGTGGTACGCCTGGTGCAAAGAATCAGTACATCTTTGAGGTGATTTTGATGGCGATGTTTTTTCACGTGTTTTTTTTGCTCTGATTTGAAACAGTATTTAGTGGACACCTTGGTATTTCACGATTATATAAATCCAACTGATTGTTATAGCTATTGCAAAGAGGAATTAGCGCTTTGTATAAAAAAATGTGAAAAAGTGAGTTTATAAGGGATGATTAGACATTAGTTATATATGTAACATTTGATTTAATCATTCACAACTTTTGCAAATGATTAGATGTTGTCCTCAAAAATTTTCTCATTCTTGACCGTTAGACTCGTCAATTGTGTAGCCAAAATAAATTTAATTAAGGCCCTTTTGAGATGTCGAACATTTCATGTGCTGACGGAATCGAATGCTTAAAAAAAGACTTTAGCTCATTAACATTAGGTTCGGCACATGAAAAGTTCGACGTCTGAAACAGGCCTAATCTTCAGAAATCTAATAAACCCAACACAAATTGTTATATTTACGTAAAGGTATATATTCAATCAATGAGCTTGTTTTGCAGAGAAGATATTAGAAACTCGATGGATTTTAAAACACACATATTAACTTGAATTTCAAAGACGAGCGTTTTGGGGACACACCTGGCCCTGCACAGGTACTGTCTGTTGACATGTTAGAATTTAAAGCATGCACAGGACCTCTGTACAGTTGGGGCAATAGAAGCGTTGCAAAAAATTCATTTGCTTACAGTACTAGCGATTTAGGAAGTTAGTCTTCATTACCCAATCAGGATGGCTCAAATTTCATTGGTCATTGAAATTGACAGCTTCCTGTTTTATTGCACAATAAGAATAATAAAAATACAGTTACAGGAAGTTAAGAGTTCTGTCAACAGAGAAATATTAGCAAGTGACTTAGCAAGTGGCTTAAATTTTTCGGAACCCTTCTACTGGCGCGGCTGAAAAACTCTGGTGTGAATAAATGTTTGACATAACCTGGCTATAAGCATTTTTATGTACAAAAAGAATGAGACTTGTTTGTTCGCAAAAGTAATATTTACCTACTATGAGCTGCAACTGGCCAGTGAAAAATAGTCAAAAAAGTCACGGTTCAACTGGCAAAGCTAAGGGTATCTTTTTGCAACACAGTAAAATACACGCCCGATTAAGACAGGTTTCAGAAGAATTTTTACAGGGTGTATAAAATATTCGCTTTGGTCGCTTTCTTTAGTCGAAGACAAAAGATAGAGTATTTATGAATATTTAATGTTGCGTTTTTTGATACACCTTGTATATTGTCACTTGGAGCACCTGTAGATGAGAAATTAATTACTCAGGTAGATGTGAAGTTAATTACTTACTGGGTTTCGTCGTGTGTCGGTCGCGTTTTGGACCTCGATGACCCAGTATGCATTGCGCACTTGACCCAGTAATGTATGACGAAATGTAATTATCCGACAATACAAGCCACATTTTACAAACAATACGAAGGATGCAAAATATATATGCACAGAAGACATTATTACTACGGTGCAACATTTACATGCATATTCCTTGGTGCGATATGTATTTTTAAATTCCTATGTGAAAGCAAGATATATGATCGATGTTTTCGCAGTTTTAGACATACGAATGCTTATAAATTATACTTATTAATACCTAAATGTTTGAACCGTCGACTGACATTACGAACAATACGAATAAATACTATTACAACTAGTTTTTTGAAAGCATTCGTCAGAACTAAAACACTGCAATCTGCAGTCATTTTGTGAATTGTGATAATAATATAAATGTAAATGATTTTGAGGTATTGAAATGAGCAGATAACATGATCCTGGCAGTCGTATAATCAGCACAACAATAGCATGTGCTTGTTTGGTGTCATAAAGACTTATTTCAATAACTTAAAGTCCTCTTACGCTTCGTTGAATCTCGGGTGACCGGGCTCGTGTAAACAGCACCTAATTGCACCATCTGTTTTGCCAGCGTGAGCTTATTTGTTTATGCTAATAAGACCACTTGTGAGGTGTCCGCTTTCGCTGCCAGAGGTGTACGCCAACCACATGTGATAGGTATTTTATGAAAGGATTGGATTTTCTGCCCTTATGCCTGAAAGAGGTGTACGCTTACCCGAGAGAGGTCTGCTTAACTGAGAGCGAATATGCGCTATTATAGAGGTTAAATGTGGACAATAGAAATTTAGTAATGGGTTTCTTTATGCGGTCCTTTGTATGTCAGTACAGACAGGCAACTGGTAAACTAGTTCAAGGTATCTTTAGTCAAGTATATCGTTATTTACATCTGCCTATCCCATTTCAAAATATGACTGGTTTGACCATTTTGGCCGCTTAAAGGAAAGCGCAAATGATGAAAGTTTTTGTCATTATGGAAGCATGTGGAAAAATCGAGATTCATATAAGAGGAAAGTTAGCAGGCGACGAAAAGGAATGTTATTTTTAAGCGATAAATTACCCACTAGCATTCACATGGTGACATGGAAGAATAGTCAATGGCAAAGCGAAACACGTAAATGCGTCGAGGTTAATTTGAGACTACGTGAGTCGGCTCTGACCGGCGTTGCGGTGCATTCATCTTCGTGAATCCTTGAAATATACTCCTTGACTTTTCCATGGAATGTGAGGGATGAGGCCATTGATATCAATCAAAGGCCACATGCAGTGCGCTTTAAAGAAACACAATTAATATTGCATCAAGGGCAATAAGCCGTGGCACATACTTGGTGGCACGCTATTACTGGATAACAAGCAATAGTCATGGCAGTACAAGAAATACTCATTATCGCTTTAGTACTGTGCCTGAGTGACGCAGTGTGTGGAAATGATGTGAAGTTGTATCGAGGCACGTTCCCAGATGATTTTATTTGGGGCTGCGCAAGCTCCGCGTACCAGATCGAAGGTGCTTGGAATATCGATGGCAAAGGCGTGAATATTTGGGACACATTCACTCACACACCAGGAAATGTATGGGGAAATCATACTGGAGACGTAGCGTGCGATAGTTATCACAAGTATAAGGAAGATGTGAAGCTTCTCAAATCTTTGGGTGAGTCCTTTTAAAATCCAATCTACGTTCATACCAGACCTATTGTTCTGGAAAATGCTTGTAATGTCTATACTTATTTATAAGGGCATAAGATTTACGCTTTTCAATCCATAGCTAATGTTTACAATGGAATATCTTCATTTTTCTCATACGACCTGCTGTCCGTCCGTGTTCGCGGGCGAAGCGGCCTTTGAAATTCTGTCCATGCAACCGTGACGGGTCTGAAAAACAAAGCGCGCTTCGCCCGCGCGGGCGTAGCGGACGTAATGGAGAATCGCCCTTATATACGGAAGTTAACTTACACGCGTCGGATCAAGATTTTCGCGAATTTTTCAGTTTCCAAAACCGATTAATTTTGAACCTGAATGATGTTCTTGCTTATATATATATATATATATATATATATATATATATATATATATATATATATATATATATATATATATATATATATATATATATATATATATATATATCAACCCTCTTGAGAACAATCCTCTTGAGAACAATATTCTAAGAGTAATTTTAGGGTTTATACAAGGTTTTAAACGTATCACTATAAGGTTGGATTTTTAAGCTTCACGCATGTAATTGCGGACTGTGACCAAGAAAATGCTGTTGTGAAAAAAAAGCCAGATGTAAGCTGAGAGGATTTTTTTAGTAACAGTTTTTGAACTAGATCAACACTGACTCGCCTTTGATTAGAGTGTCACGCTGTTTTATTTATCATTGCAATTGTTTGTTATCTCCTGTATGATCATTTTCTCAATTGGCGAAAACATAGCAACATGAAAATTGCTGGCGTTCTTTTGAGGATTTCAACAGATTTTGACTACTGAATAAAAGAATCTATATGATATAGTATTCAGCTATACTATAGATTTTGTTATTAAATTGTCAAAATGTATGTGATATTTTATATTTGGACATTTTTCGTGCACATTTTCCCCATATTTTTAAACACATGGTTCACATTACAGCATTCGCATGTCATTTGAATAAACAAGAAGTTCATTAACGTCTTACACAATTCAAATAAGTATAGACAACTATGAATGGCACGAATGTAACATCAATAAGGTAATAATTCAAAAAGTGCATTCAATAGAAATTTATTATGCATTTAGTACGGAAAATCAACAATGTGATCGAAACAAATTTCAAAATAGTTTGAACGTTCGTTAACATTTTTGAAAGACATTAAAACACAAAAATATACGTCATTTATGATAAGCAGCCTACTGCTATCAGTATCTGTTTCCTGTATTCACACAAGGGCAAGTGTGCAATCCTGGCTGCTTGTCGATCAATTTAACTGCTCTTGTATCTCTGGTCAAAGTTATACATCAAGGAGATGAACTATTTAACAACGAGTCCGAGTTGTCTATGAGCGAATACTCAACGAAGCTAGGCGAAGCCTGAGTTGACTATTCTCTCATAGACAACGAAGGCGAGTTGTCTAATTGTTTTAGTATACAGCCTAGATATATTAATTTCGAGAAAATAATCAATACACCGAAAATTAATTCAATTTTATGCGGTCGCGCGAGCGAAATTTTCCCAAGCGTGCACCATCACGAATAAACAATGGTTGAGTAGCCAATCAGAATGTAGGATTTGTAATAGACAATAGTCGGGTGTATACTAATATTGTTTAGTCTAGAAGCGCACTTTCATGTGTTACGAAATGCGCATATATAATTTATCTACAGAGCATTGTAAAAAAATACAAGGTCAATATCGACGAGGAAATTCCTTGGGGAACTTGTCACATAAAATGACGTATAAAGTAAATATTATTATGACCCATCCGAGGTGACAGCCCATGGGATTTCCTCCCAAACAATAGTACCGTTGTACAAAGTACAAGTGTCAAGATTCAAGAACATAAGTTCTAGGCGGATACTAGTTTGTGTCAATCGTTTCTTTGTTTTATTTTGCTCAGTTAAGCACTTGAAGCCTTAGGTGACGAAAAGCTTAATTCGATGAAATTGTTGGTAAAATAGTTTATAAGTTTGAGATATGGTTCACAAAGTAATAATTTGACAATCGTTCGTTAAGTTGATGATAAATATTTTAAGTTGTGAACAAGTTTTAACAATGATCGATTAAGCAAAAGACCAACTCGAATAGTGCGTTAACGCCCTTAAGTAAACAAAATACGAGAGCTGGACCAAGCTTCTAACGCCAACTCCCACTTGTAAGACACAACGTTGATTGGATAGTGCGAATCACATCACTTTGCATTGGGCGTCTTGCCCAATAATTTTATTATAAAAGGAAGCGCACAACACCCGCACCCTCAGTGGACTAACGGAGTAAAAGCCATATTAAACGTTAAAGAAGCTCAACATTACTGAACCAACGACAAAAGAAAGGACAGAAAACAACAAGAATCTGAAAGGACAGAGAGCAACGTAGATTCGAAGAGCAAGAAAAGACCAAAAAGAGAACATTCAAAACATTAATATTAGAACTTAGGAACTGTAACGATCCTACTATCTTAAGGCGGCTCGATACAGTTTTCAAAAATTCCACTGTTCATCACTTTGACACGTTCAAAGAATGCAATTTTATGATTTATTCTAGAGATATTGGGGGGTTTATATATTTTGATGTCTCTACTTTTGAATCGTATTAGTTTTAGTAACAGATCGTCCGTTGCTATGGCGACATACGTGTACAAAATTCACTCCAAAATGACCAATTGCCTCGGATAGTTGGAAAAGAAGCACGGTGACCCCCAATTTTTTTTCGTGCATTATTTTACTTGGGAGAAAAACTAACAATTAACAAAATATAAAAAAATTCTATAACGCCACATTTTTGAAAAATGCAAAAATGACATTTTTTTCGATAATTTTTTTTGCCATTATAGGTTTTTTTTTACATTTTACTAATTGTTAGTTTTTCTTCCAGGTAAAATAATGAACGAAAAAAAATTTTGTGCACGTATGTCGCATTAGCATATTTAAGGTTTGAAAGGAAGGACCTTTCAAAAATAAATAACGAAATACAGCTGAAGCTGATTTATAACAATAAAAGCGCAGTCATTTGTGCAGTGTGCATTCCAACCCTTTAAAACTACTTAGACTTAGGGAACTAAACCATTAAACCATGCTTATTCAAATTAAATTCGCATTATGCAATATATAATAGATAAAATTTACAACTCCCTCCACTGACTGATCCGGTTCCCATTCTGGTGTCAGCTTACAAATATGAAGTGACTTATTTAAAATTTACGCAGCCTTTATTCGCACTACGATTGACTTCTGCATACAATCTAGTCTTATCAGTTTTATTGTTGTTATATTGAATAAAATTGAAATTGAATAAATTCTATATTTGTTTCATTGATTTTTACATATCAATGTTTGCCTTATAACCATGTCGACAGGTATTAATAATCAGCCTTATGGCGCTACTGCTTCTTTATTTTTGCAGTTAAATGATGTATCTTCGGAACTGCAATTTTTCCTGATTTTCTATTTTTTCCATTTGTGTGCCTGAGCGCTACGCTAAATCCACAGATGCATAGACATCAGCTTCTTGAACTTTAAATACTTCTTCGAGAATTAAGTGACCTTCAAGTCTGATATCAGACATATAAACTGAAGGACGAATACTTGCATGGTATATGCCTGTATATGCATGGTATATGCCATTTTCCCAGGTTAGGTTGACTTGAAACAATGAAAAACAGAAATATGCTTATTTATTATATACGCAGTGTTTTATTGACGAATCCGCCATTTTGAAAAGCGATAATAACACATGTGCGATTATCCATGATAATAACACATGTCCGATTATCGTGTTTGATCCACCGATCCGGAATCATGAAGGGGGATGAAAAAATAGTATTTTATTATATATAATATAACAATATATGTATACAGTATTTTATTATAATATAACAGTATATATATAATATATACGCCTTCTGACATGCAATGAGGTCGAATTGGCAAACTGGTCGAATTCTTCATTCCAATTCATGCTACATAATCCATGCATTTGTGCTAATCTTCCTATTTTGTAGGTGTCAAATATTACAGATTTTCCCTCTCGTGGGCAAGGATTCTTCCGAACGGCACCGCGGACAATGTCAATCCCAAAGGAATCGAATACTACAACAATCTGATCGACGAATTATTGAAGAATGATATCAAACCGATGGTTACGTTGTATCACTGGGATCTACCACAAGCCCTGGAAGATATGGGAGGATGGCTCAACTTTAGTATAAGTAATATTTTCAGGTAAGGAATTTGGTGAAGATGCATTAAAGGAGGGGGTTCATCTGTTAGATCAATTAGAGAAACAATGCAAAACGAAACTATTTCGACCTATACTGTTCGTATACTTTTACAGTCTGTACAAACGATGGCATGGATTGAGGTTTGCAGTGAAGCAAATTCGAATTCAAGATTGCATTGATTTATCACTATTCATACCTTCCAAGAACACTAAAAATTGACGATCCGGAAGAACCGGCCTGCTTTAGGTTTTCAATCCAAGCATAGCATATCTCAACCCTAATTAACGGTTTGCATGTTGAAACTCCAGTCAGACCTCTCTGATAAAGAGTTGAAGTGTACCGTGCATGCAAGCTGCTATCTAGCAGGGAGTGCAAAGACAATCAAAGACAATAAAAATTCATGGCAATCTGTATGAACAACTTTAGGGTGTCGATATTTATCTATTAGAGTGTCCACATTCAAGTTTGCTAATCAGAAAACAGTATAAATTATGTACTACATGACCAGATGATTTTTCGCGGTGTAACATACCTCGATTTCCAAGCTGGGAGCGTAATGTTTAATTTCTCATACTTTTCCTGAAAAATGGACGTGACTTTTTCGCCGCCCTGGATGCTGTTTAACTAAAAACATTCCCTCCTAAAGATAATCGGTCGGACGTACAGGCTATAAATGTTGTGCTGTGGAAAAATTGAAAACTCTTAAACCCGACCAAAATTGCGTTTAAAACGGGCTAAAAAGAGGGAAATTGTACCCATCCCCGATTCTTTCGAGAGCATTGTTTCTGGCTGTTTCCATATTTAAGGCAGTTATAATACTATAAAACTTGCTAGTAACTGATCTTTAGTCAGTCCAGTTAAACCATGCGTTTTTTAACGTTTAAGGGATTACGCAAGAGTTTGCTTCAAGAATTTTGGCGACCGAGTTAAATTTTGGGCTACATTGAACGAGCCTTGGGTTTCGGCTATCATAGGTTATGGCACTGGCGTACACGCCCCTGGTATTAAACGGATGAAAGATGGACCATACCTAGGTAATCTTTAGCTATTAAGGTAGGAATACCTAGGCAATTCGTGGAGGAGGAATAGAATTATGCGATGTTTTAAATACAGCACCCAATCAGAATAATGGAAGTAAATGTAGATCTTTTTTACCCATTCTGGCTTTTACGATGTCCTAATTACATCATTATACCCTTTAATTAAGTCGTGTAATGTTTGATAAAATATTTAGTTAAAAATGAGTAGTTGTTCTATTACACTAAGATTTCAGTTTAAACATTGTTTTGTGTGTTCGCGCTTACATGTATATTTGTATACGCGCTTACGTTCCAATTAAGCGCGTATACTGCTGATCTTATGTGATTTGTACTAACCAACTTGCATGACTAAAAGCGAAGTTAGCTATCATTACTGCCATCCCCTGATGACTGCTGTTCCTCGATCTGGTTGTACTACTTTCTGCCTTGCACAGATAATATAGTGAGCTTTATCAAGTGACGTTTTTGACAACATGCAGGTACGTTGATCGGAAGTAAAGTTTTTGTTTTTCACCGATCACAATCCCTAACCCACTCTTTTGATGTTAATCATACCGTTTGTGTTAAAAATGGCACTTGCATATATATAAGCTGACTAATTACACATGCAAAAAAACTTCAATGATAACACTTATAATTACTTTTTCCCTAGCGGCTCACACCTTATTGCTAGCCCATGGCAAGGCTTGGCATGTGTACGACAAGGAATTTCGAGAAAAACAGAAAGGTAGAATCTCAATTGTATTGAATGCTGACTGGCATTTTCCGCAGGAGAACAAGCAACGGTTTTTCGAGGCGACAAAACGTGGCATGGAGTTTTTCTTGGGGTGGTTTGCAAATCCAATCTACGTCAATGGAGATTATCCAGAGGTGATGAAAACTTTGATAGCGAAACACTCCCAAATGGAGGGAATTCCAAACAGGTACTAAAAGATGTTTCACTAAACCCAACAATTATAGGAACCGGTAATTTTTTATTGAAGGTTAAGCTAGGAAGGGTAACGAAAAATTAAGCATGTGTGGGGTGGGAAAATCAAAATTCTAAGGGGAGAAATTTTTAACCAAAGATGTATGAATGTACGATGATCAATAATCATGCGTCTAGAAGCGGGGTAAACTTTCTTTAACACAATTAAATAGGTAGAGCCATAACTGATGACCGCGGTTCCTTATATACTGCATGTTAGCTCATGCCATGGACTGCATGATATTCGTCTTTTACGAATATTCTGATATTCGTTTTTAATAAGGACTCATGACTTAAGGAAATTAGAGTTCAGCTCATATAAGACGGGAAACTGACACAAATGAGTGGACAAACGGTTGTAATTTTCATTCTTTGAATATGAATAATAAATAATAAAACAAAAAAACGGCAAACCTCGTTGCCCTTGACAATTCTTCACATTATGTTCAACCAAATATTCAATAATTTTTATTCTGAATGCTGAGATTCTAAACTGACATTAAATGTTTCAGAATGTATGTTGCTTCGTTCTTGGAAAGACACGCCGCAAAATACGCACGACGTTTGTATTAATTTTTCTCTTGCATGCTGCAGGCTTCCGCAGTTCACTGAAGAAGAGAAAAAAATGTTAAATAGAACAGCCGATTTCTTTGGATTAAACCATTACACGTCAACAATGTGTGGTAATCTTACGCACTTCAAAAACATTTCTGCTGTGGACTGGAATTACTGGGTTGATAGAGAGATATACACCTACACAAATGGATCATGGTTACGTGGTATGAAAAATCGAAATGTATAGCTATATCGTGAACGCACATGTCATGCCAATGCAATCCCCCACCAGCGGTGTCTGCCCGTCGTTTCCCACTCTGCTTGTGTCATGCATTTCTAAGTCAATTTTTTTTTAATGTGATGAAAAAGCAGAAAAAATACATAATGATTTTATTATTTTTCATAGATAGTTGATTTCACTACTCCATTAAGCTTTTATACACCCCTTACCACCCCAAACCAAAAAACATTTTTCCAATGATAACACCTTATTAATATGATGTCTTTTAATTGGTTGTTTTTGATCACGTGGCATTAAATAAAAATTCCCATTTTAGTGACAAAAATTTTAACAACGCGTTATCTACCTGCTAACCGCTACCTGCGTTGATTTTTTACCCAGATTAATTTCAACGACAGAAATCTGCAGTTTCCTATAATAGCTGTATAGTATTTTCCTCTCTTGCAATCTTATGCTATATTTTGATAAACATTTTGAACTAGGTGGATAAAATATAGTGTGTGTAGTGTGTACATGCAGTATATGAAGCTAATTTTACATAAGTCATAACTCTATAATCATATTATACAGGTGCTCCCTCGTGGTTGAATAAAGTTCCTCAAGGACTACGGAATCTCCTGTCTTATATAAAGAAGAACTATGGGAACCCGGAAATTTATATCACCGAGAACGGATGGAGTGAGAAAGGGGAAGATGTGAGGGTCGGCGAAGCAGCGCTAAATGATACTGAAAGAGTTGGTTATTACACGGAGTATATTAATGAAGCCTTGAAAGCTTCGCGGCTGGATGGTGTTAATGTCAAAGGTATATCCTTTGTTTCTTATAACTGTCATATAGATTTCAAAGATTTTTTATTTAGGGGGCTTAAACTTTCGCAGCATTTAGGTAGACATGAAATACAATAATGGATAATACAAAATGTAGTTACGGTATATAGATTTATTAATTTAGTGCAGGATGCTATATAGCATGTCATCTGTAAACGCAGGCTAAACAGATACTGAGTTTGGCCAGGTTGCCAAGGCCAGTAAATTTTGTACGATACACCTAAACAGTGGCAGTGATCTATCATTCATGCATACCAATATTATGCACGATCGCGAAAATATTTATATTATTGATTGTTAATACACAATCTTTGTGCATTGATCTAAATCAACTCACGTGATTGGTCAAAATAAATCACGTGGTTTCCTTCTGCCTGCATGGCGACAGATCATAGCAATCATAATTTATTCGCAATAACTCCTGAAAATCATGGTTTATTCGCAATAACAAATGATAATCGTGGTTTACTGATTCAAAAATGACAGCCTGCAGCGAAGCTTGGATCTTCAATGCAGCAATCAATGAACACTGTTAGAGACTTTGGTTTCATAAATTTCATGGATTATTTTATAGATTGAAAGATTAAGCCCGCAAGCATATCTTTTGCTTATATAATTTTATTTACTGGGCAGTGCGTATATCAAATATCTTTCACGAATAACCAAACGATATTTTCTAGGCTACTTTGCCTGGTCTTTGATGGATAACTTTGAATGGCACACAGGATATCACGAGCGTTTTGGGATTCACAGGGTTAACTTTAGCGACCCCGAAAGAAAACGTGTTCCGAAACAATCGTCAAAGGTGTACGCAAAAATTGTCGCAGACAACGGTTTCCCCGCAAAGGTTTTCCCGACGAATAAAACGACAACTCCCAAGCCTGATAGTGGTACGCCTGGTGCCAGGAATCAGCACATCCTTGTGGTAATTTTGATCGCCATGCTTTTGCACATATAATTTCTTTTGCTGAAATTTGAATTGCTATAATAGTCATTTAGTGTGTAATGAAGAAAGTACCTATATAAAGTGATTTAAAAGAGACTGATGATTAATTATATGTGAACATTTGATTTTTCATGGAATTTTGCCGGTTCACAATTTTTGCAGCAAATAAATGTTTGTCTTCCCCCTTTATACGCAAATTTTGTATTTGATTATTGTTTGATTTGTAATTAATTTTTAGAAGCTTAATTATAATTTCTACTAAATCATCGTATTTTTACTTTGTATCTGATTATGGACTCGTCGAAGTTCACTGTAGAGTCGACATACAAATTTCGTTTTGTTGTAGTTGGATCATACTTTTTGTGAAAATGCGAAATTGGGTACGTGGGGGTTTCACTTTCGCATTTAGGTTTTCCTTCATAACCATATATAGGCCACACGGCTGCAGCCTGGGTTATGGGTCTCTCGATGTGTAAACTCGTGAAGCCGGATAGATCATTAGCCGGATAGATCACCTTAAGAGCAATCAGTGAGGTTTCAATCAACTATTTGTTTGGACCTAAAACCGGCGAGGGTATGGCCAAGGTCCAGAAAATATGGGGCGTCGAAGGGTATATTCTTATGACATGCAAACAATATTATTCGAATTCTAATCCAGATATAAACTTAGATTATGACCTGAAAGTAATACGTGATTGGATAGAATATTAGAGAAACGCATGGCTTTCTGTTTTCTGGCTTGATACCTTGCATGGCTTAAAACTAAAATTATGCGCGTCTGTCGCATGTGAACAATCACTGAAATATATAGTTCTTCACCCACCCACTCGAAAAAGCTGTATAGTTACTATAGTAACCGTCGGCTCAAGGATGTCATATTCAATTTCACATTCAGATTCATATTAGATATGAACAAGTACGATCGTACTATAGGGACCAGGAACTGCGTAACCGAGTTTAATTTCTGAACTGCATTGTATTTATAACAATGGAGAGGACAATGTATTTCTAATCGTTTCCGTTTACTTATACAGGGTGTCTCAAAAAAAACGCAACCACTTAATATTCTAAAATTCATATTGTTCATAAGCTCAATAGATTTTATGCCCCTGGGATTTTAAAATGGCTTCTAATCGTACAGTTCAACTGCTAATAGTCGAATCAGCTAAACTAATAATGTTGCAGCTAACAACCGAACAACGAGTTCTTATTGTCGTGCATGATAACTTGAATGCTAACTGTCGACCTTGTAAAATAAATTGTAAATAAAATTTTGCTCGTTAAGTACTTTCAATTCAGCTCGTTGGTTTACGCACCCGACTTTGTTTACCGACGATTGTGCCGCAGTGCCGCTAGAATATGATTACAAGCTTTCTCGCATTCCAGGGGCCAAACGTCTTTTGTGTTGTAGAACAAAGAGGATATTCATGAATATTAAGTGGTTGCGTTTTTTTTGATACACTCTGTATATAGGCTGAATATTAATGATATGTATATATTATTTGCTGCAAATATATCAAGAATTGCTTGTAACTTGCTTCAAAGGTCAAAAGTAAAAATTCGAACTCCGTCAATCGATGCGGAATATTGCTTAGAATAATTGTGCCAAGTTTCATTCCGATCAAACAAGTAATGAAAGAGCCTTAGGGTTTTTTTAAAGAGCGTCGCCCCCTAACAACAACAACAAGACTAGCAGCGGTTAGGGACCAGTTCCTGGTCCAAAAAGGAAATAGCCGGGTATATGAAGTACAAAAATTAATATGGAATAAATCATTCTGCTTCGTCTCATGCAATAGACCTTTTCAAATTAGGATACAAAGGCCTTAAATTTTTAGTGCTTTATTTTTTTTGTGCTTACGACAATTAGTTTTGGTTGAAAACATATGCATAAAATAAACTCTTCAGGATACGGTCCGGAGGATAATCCTCCTTAGTTAGGCAGTATTAGCCTGCCAACAGCCTGGGGCGGGTTGTTCAAAGCTAGGTTAGGTTAGCGTTAGCCTCGGGTTAAATTTTGCTCAGCTGTTTTGGTTTATATGGTTCTGCAGCGCACTGCTGTTTGTTTCAATACTTTGCAAATAAGACTTCTATTTATCCACAAAATATTTATGAGAAAACATGTGATGTAAAAATTTTAGTTAACCCAGGGTTAAGCTAACTCTCTTTTGAACAACCCACCCCTGGAATTATGGCTAGGGGGAAAGCAGGCTACGACAGTATGTTCTCTAATATTATATCACGCGGTAAGACAATCTTCATTTCACTTTACGTTGATCACAGTCGCCAATATGTTTGCACTTTGCACCACACTTCCTCTATATTGCATGTTCCAGAACAAACCCCGAGCGGAGAAAATAACCAATACTTCAAATGCCCTGTGAACAATCCCCGGGAAAACATTCCTATTCCCCATAATGCTAGTCGCGCTCAACAGTTGGCAACTAATCTCTCAAGCCAACAATGTACATAAAAGAGGAATAATGGTTGGATTTTTATCGTGGATTTTTACTATGTTCCTGTGTAATTTTAAGAATTTTTAATACTAGACGAGAACAAACGTATTGCTTTGAGGTTCTTCCCGTTTTCACGGGCAACAGAACCGTCGGGAACAATTGAAACATTCGGCATTTTTGTGGTCTCCCTGGCTTGAGAGATCTTCGTGGATATGTCGGATGTTGTCACACAACGCAAAAAGGGTTCTGGTCTGCCATCAGATAAGGTTTGCCCAATAAAATGTTGCCTATGTCAGTATGTGCTGTATTAACTGTTTAAACGAAATTATAGTGTCGTACGAACGTCTTTTGTTAATGCAGTAATAAACTTTATTTTAATTTCTGGATTTGTAATTTTATGTGCGACATGGCACGTTATATATTCCCGTTTCCTGGAGATCTGAATTGTTTGTGTTTTAACAGGCTTTAAATTGTGACCCTCATTATCATACTGGCTTAGGTTTTGGTGACTGTTTCGTTCAGATATAAACTCCTCTCACTTGAAACACAGCGTTTTCCCTTGAACGAAAAAACCCTGGTGAAGTGTATGACAGCTAACAGCTTGTACACTGTGCGGTGAAATTGGGACATCATATTCCAAAGATACTCTTACCGCAATTTAATGTACAATTTTTTTCAATAAAAACAGCTTTTACTTGTCAATATACTTAATCACATCAATGGAGTGAGAATAGAGAAAGCACTTCAAAGTTGTTCAGGGTTTAAAAAAGGAACTCTTTCAAATATTATTGTCGCAACTAGCTAGTATATTTTATCTCAATATCGTTAATTGTGCATCGAATATTTGACTATGGCATCTTCTTCATTTGCATACAAAAATAAAATTCAAAAATGTGCTACACATATTTCAGTATATATATACTATATGGTAGAATTTTTCTGGAAATTTTTCTGGAAACTTTTTTTAAATTACACACACTTTTCCTAGCAATGTCAACTGTATTCTGTTTTTGATGCTTGATTTATTACCTCCCAATGGCCAATTCATAGCCAATTCCAACCAAGATTGGCTGTGCCTTGAAAGCAATGGGAATTCTATGGTAGTGCATGAACATAATTAATTACAAGGCAAACAGAGATAAATGGGTAATTTTCTTTGAATTAGACTCATTTTTATCCGGCTTAGTCTACAGTCAGGTGAAAATGTTTTTTAGCCATCCAGGATGGTTTTTTTGGCCATAACACCCGTTCTGCTTTTCCAGAGTATCTGGTCTTTTTAGCCTACTACAAAAGGTTTTGTAGTAAGGGAATATAAAATATAGTATATACATATACGTGGATATAATTGGATTTTGGTGCCATCTATTTGTTTTAAAAAAGTATCCTGAATATCCAGCAAATGTCCTTGCCCCAGGTTACATACATTTCCAATATAATCTATATATCATTGCTAATTCATTGATAGGCACAAACATTGTTACATGGTAAATATTCATTGAAATAATTTCATCTTTTAGATTTGTTTACAATTGATTTGGGTCACATTACCAGTCAAAAGACTAGACTTTTTTTTTACTCCTGATGATACAGCTGCTTACATTTGTCAGTATGTCTTTGATCACTGGCCAGAAGGTAAAAGTATTAGTACTTACAAGTATAATAATATATATTATTATAATATTAATAGTATATATATATATATATATATATATATCACAATCAATTATTAATAGTATATATATATATATATATATATATATATATATATATATATATATATATATATATATATCACAATCAATCACACCTGCCATTATCTAACATCTCTTCTGATGAACAAGGTTTGAGTTATAACAGGGTCTACTTTTGATATTCGATCTGATGATGTGCTGAATTTGTTCCAAATTTAAAACCTTTATTTCGGCAATGCAATGAGGGTGATTCCCCCTATGATCTTCAAAATTGTGAAACAGATTTAATATTACCAAAACCTAAGAAAATTTCTGAAAAAAACTTTCAAATACAATGGAGTTTCGCATTGGAATAGTCTACCTTTTGAAGCAAAAACTGTGGATTCTATTCAATCATTTAAGCGGGTAATAAAATTTATTTTGAGATGAAGCTGACCTATCCTCATTCTCATATCTTTGTCTATTGCCTGCTTGTTGTATATTCTGTTCTGTATTTTCTATGTAATCTCTTGTTTGTATATTTTTAATGTAAATACGCCCCTCATGTAAAACAGCAATGCTGATGAGGCTAGCGTGTTTAAATAGTATTATGTTTGTATGTATGTATGTATGTATGTATACTTCGGTATATCGCACACTCTTAGTGCATATTTGGTATATATATACTGTATATACAGGTGCGCTCAAAAGTTATTGGACATGTAGTTTTTTGATTATTTTTTTGTCTAGTGAGGATTTCGTCTGATAATACAACAGAATTTCAAATAAAATATTTTAGTATTCAAAAGTTTATGCTCTAATACAACATTTACGAGCTACATACTATACAGCCTTGTTCATTTATGCACAGTTGCACAATTATCAATGGCACATCACACAACAACCTTTTTCAGGCTAAATCAGTACTTAGTATGCCTCTTCGCTGAAGCGTATTTTAGACGGGCCAGCGCATTGACTTCACTTATCAATGGTTTCTTTCTTGCTATTCGTCCATTCATGTTACCTTCTTTCAGACGTCTCTTTATTGTTGATACAGACACGAGTGTGCCTTCTGCTATTAGGTTTCGTCTGTGCTGGGGAGCTGTTTTAAATCTATCGCTCTCGCTGGCACGCATGAGTGCTCGACTGCTCGGTCTTTTCTTGGGGTGGTCTTTCTTGGGGTGGTCTTTCTTGGTGCTCCAGTTATATATCACGTCCCATTGTGAGATCTTGAAATTTTGCATGGATGACGTCATGACGCAATTCAGACTCGTGGATTTATATATGAATGAATCCACGTACGTTATACTTGTAGGATTGCAATGCTATTGGCATTTTCGCATATATCCAGACATTTCACACTCGTCATTTCTAATTCTGCATAGGGATAAGTCGATTTTGTAAGCCACAACCCGGGCCTTCATTCATAAAACAACAGACGGCCAAAACTTATCGGCACACCTATATTTAATTTGCATAAATGAACAAGGCTATATAGTATTTAGCTCGTAAATGTTGTATCAGAGCATAAACTTTTGAATACTAAAATATTTTATTTGAAATTCTGTATTAAAATAAGTTGTTATTATCAGACCAAATCCCCATATACATATGCATATAACGATATGCATTGTGTATTTTCTATTTAGAATGGAAGGAGGCTACAGTAACTTCAGCCAATGTACTAAAATTAATTCATCAGGGAAGATTTCTTCATGGAAGTGTATCTATAGGAGGTATCTGCATTGATTTATGTTTACATGTGGTATCCTTTCTCCAAGTACAACTAAATTCAGAGCAGTCCTATTTTCAGTTGAAAATCAGTTGAAAATAAGAATATTTATGTCAAGATATGTAGCCTGTCTTTAGCTGCATGTAATCAGTGGTGCTACTTAACTTTTTAGACCATTGCTAAAAAGCATGATTGTAACTGTCCAGCTCAACCACAACAGTTCTAGACGTCTGCGTTCCCAATTTTTTTTCTGTTTCATTTTTCACCGTCCTTTATTTTGAGCGCGTGAGCAAACATCGTGTTTTTTGTATATAAATTAACTTCTCTCAACATTTTCTCTTTTTCAGCTTTAAATCTTCCGTTAGGGAAGCGTAGTGTGATGCATTTAGTGGCCAGAGAAAATTTACCCGAGCCTCCTTCACAAGGTAGGTAGAACTAGCTACATACAGCACAAAACGGGTTTTGCCTGGAATACTATAGGTATACGATACCGAATTAGTAGCGTACCGGATTACTTTTCATATCAGATATGCGTTGCAGTTACAAGTAATCCGGTACGCTACGTGGAATAAAAATGATCCAGTACATTTCTGTCTCCGCGTAATCGCTCTAATCCCGTATGTATATGTAGTATGTTTGGCGGGAAAAATAAATAGACATCAAGCGCTTGCAAAGGTTACCGATTTTTTGTACTTTTTTTGCTCGCCCTTCGTTGTCCACCATTTTGTTTGTATTTTGAATCAATACCGTTATCATGTAAGCAAGACAAAGCCGATACCGTATATATATATATATCGAATCAACGTAGATAATCCGGTACGAAAACTAATCCAATATCGTTTAACTGGGGCCTTCGATGTCAAACTTTTCATGTCACATCCGAAACGGGCCTAATTCACTTTTTAGGGTATAGTAACTTACACTGTTATGTTCGATATAAATTCGGTGGAAATTTTTAAGAGCAAACCACCAAGGACAAGGTGGGCGGTGGGTGGCGTTCGCTAGGGTGTTATAGCCCTGTTGTTACCTGCCTATGTCATTGTTTTTCATGTACATGAAGTTTTTAAATAAATAGATAAAAAAACAAAGTCCTTTGTTTTATTAAGGTCAAAGCAAGAGAGATAACTGTAATATTTTGTAGTATACCCATTCGCAGAGAGCCGAACAAAATGGCGTGAATCGAATATCAAATGTTTACTTTTAACCTGTAAAATTATGTACAAATTTTTTTGCACAGCAACCTTTTCGCGTGTTAAACTGAACACAGCATGCAGGTGCGCTTAATAAAGTGACATTAAGGTACTGTACAGTAGTGTACATGCAGCTGTGCGAATATTCATATGCAGGGTGTCCCAAAAAAATGAAACCTGATAAAATGATATATTAATTTAAATTTTCATTGAAATAATGAGATTATTATTCTGAATAATCGAATGAACTTGCATGATATTCCTGTTCGTCCAAAATATCATATGTTTTGAACAATATAAGATAACAAATAAGCGAAGCAAACCAAAAGTGCATACAGTTACAATACTTCGGTAATTGTCATTTTAATGCATAATTTCTCGGAACACCCTGTTGATGGAGAATTAGCTGCAACAAAGCGATTAATTTAGATTAAGTATTTGGTAGCCACAACAAAGGTTTTGTACGATAAATCCGGCTGCCATTTATAACGAGAACCTCGGGTGTCAGAGTCTATGCGGATTAGTACGTAAGTTCTTCGCGCGGCAAAAAAAACTGCTTTTGTGGTGGATACACTACTGTTGGACACTATTCGCTTCTTCTGTTATTTTGCACGATGGAATAGCGCTATACTTTGTGATCGTATGTGAAACGTCGTTGTATACGAGCGTCCTAACTCGCTTAAAAGATTAATATCTCGCCTGCATGGTTTACAAAATCACAAGCTTGCGTGTCAAAGGTGGCTCTTTACAGTTTTCAAAAGTCCAAGTTATAAAACTTTGAAATGTTCAATAATGGCAATACATCAGACTTTGTCGTGCTCTGTGTAGTAAAACATAGGTCGTTGCTATCGTGTGTTTTACTTGCACTAGCTGTGAAGTCTTTTGCCATTGCAAAGTTTTTTGATTTTAATGAATTTTTTTGCGGACTGCGGCGAAATACAGCATGCGAGATTTGAAAATGTATCGCCGGACAATATAATGTTAAAGATTTATTGACTCTAACGCAAGTGGAAATACTCGGTGAAATTTGTTTGTAATTGAATGAATAATAAGAATATACTGACCGTATAGAAATCATTTAGTAATGTTCTTATACAGGGTGAAGTTTGCTGTATAACGAGCCACCTTAACATTGCAACATATGCCATCTCGGCAACGTACTCTATTTCTCCAGTAAGAATTCTAGGAATCAATTCCACAATATCGGTTCCTGCGTTACTTTCAAGTTGAAAATTTTGTTTGATTGAACGCTGTGGTGTTTAACCAATTATAGAATACCATTGTAACAGGACTGATATTCAGGATAAACACTAAAGCCAATTCAATTTAAAGCAGATCGATTAGTTACCTTGCCTTGTATTTGTAATTCTTGCTTTTATTTATCGTTTATTATAAGTAGGGTTGGTAATGGGTATTTTCTTGAGTGGTGAACTGCCATTTTTATACTTCGTGCTGAAATGTGAAAAGCGCGATTAACATTTCCTAGCATTTTCAGAGCAAGTCTAATAGATTCGAAAACGTAGACTGGATAAGGTTTATTGAGAGGGTCATCCTTGTTTTTGTGGAAAAGTAATTCAACAAACCGAATAAAAAACCATCATTATGCGAAAATCTAGAAAATACATGCATCTAGTTAAACCATTGCGTCCGTTCCCGCTATCAGTGTTACTTTCTACCCTTTAAAAAGGCTTTATGAAACTGGTATGGTAGCCTTCCCTTACGGGACAGTTAACAGGGCGTTTATAAAATCGGACAGTGCTACTTTCATGTGACTCTGTGTGTATTTTGCAATTGCATTTTACTGTTGCGAGTTAAAAACCAGGCTATTGAGATTTAAGATCAAATATTTTTGTTGATTTCTAAGATTGCCTTGAATTTTTATCGATGAAACTTTGCTTTTGTGTAACTCAGCAATGCCAATGAGCGGCAAAAATAGACACAACCAGCAACCCCCGCAAATTTCTGTTGTCGAAGTCGTCGAACATGCCATTATGCCATCCGTGTTACAGAAGACTCAGTGTTTTGTTCACAAAATATTGCTAAAGTAAAGGTAATCCGAGTGGTTATTTCTGTTGAAGAAAGTTCAAATGGAGTAGTTGCTTTTGGATTTGCTAAACTGCTGTGGATGGCCATCATTGTATTTGTGAGCTATATTTTTACACTTAAATGTTGAAACGGCAGAGCGAGCACCGCGGGTCAACGATGAAGAACACTATACGTTCGCCTAAAAACAATTCAAATTTACTTTGGTCTTTTGGTCTTGGTCTCTGCTCCGATCTCATTAACCTGGTAAGAATGACAAGTATTTTACCTGTCAATATAGGAATAAGAGTGCCTATATATGAGGCGAATAAAGGATCTTCAAAAGTATTATTCGGGTCCGAGTTATTAAATATTTTTTGTGTTGTTTTTAATGAGCACATAGGTGTAAAACTGCTTCTATTTCGGAAGTGACAACTTTCGTACTGTTAAAAAGCCGTGAACAGACGTTCATGAAGGAAATAAAAAATCATGCATTTATACATACATTTGTAGTGATAAGTGAATAACTTTAGAAATTTGAGATGCGTTTTGAGTTGTCTCTATTGTTAAGACTGAAACTCTTGTGAAATTGTGTGGCCACGCATTTTTGTCTGGAAAGTTGACCAAAATATTTGATGAACTCCGTATATCAACAGAAAAATGTAAGCAAATGAATTGCTTAATATTTTTTGTACCACTTCTATTTCCGCACGAAATCTTTGTTTTAATACGGCGTCCCGAAAAAGCAATTTTTTAAAATGATCACATATTTTGGAAAATTCCCATGTAACTCCCAGTTGATTGACCAATTAAAATTTAGACCCTAACTCAAAACTAATAGACTCAAACTCATTTCAGTCATTTGACTCATATAAAACAGGCGATTCAAACGTGTGAAAAAACCCTCCATAATGCAGTGTCAGTATTAATATTTTCTGTGATAAGATGGTCTAAACGCTAAAGCCAAAATTTTTACAAATCCAGGAAATAACATATCACCAGTGCTAAACTATCTTTGTGTTTCTTTGTGTTGCTTCTTAGTGGCAAAACCGCAAAGGAAAAATAAAATATTATGTCAAACGGAGATTTTCCTGTAAAATTATATTGCTAATTGTAGATACCATGTTTGGCACAAGGGCAGAGCCAACATTTCGGCTGACGGATATGGTATTTTGAACCAATTTCAGTATATTCAACCAAACCAAGGTTCGAATACAGGGTGTCCCAAAAAAAACGAAAACTATTGAAATCACTCATTGTTGAAATTTGAATGCCGTGTTCACGAATTTCAGCCCGTGGGGATTTAATGCAACTTATAAAATGCTAAATGCTTTGTGTTGCTAGAGAAAGGGGACATGTCGAAGGTCATGGTGCTTGAGATGCACATTTAAATATTGTTATCCATATTTGTAAATTGTAAATATTGTTAATAAATATCGTCATTTTTGCGAACAAGCAAATTTGACTGCATCATATGCATGCATAAAAATGCTTATGGCAACCCCGATTTATACATTTGTGGGCGCAACAGAGTGCTTAGGCATTCAAACTCTAACAATGGCATTGTTATGGGTGATTTCAATAGTTTTCGTTTTTTTGGGACACCCTGTATACCATATTACAGTATATCATCAAATGTGGTATAACAACTGCCTAAAATAGACAAAACACTTCTCTATGTTTCGACCTAAGGGCCTTTGTCAGGAGAGTTAACCAAATTTGCTAAGTTGTTTGAAGATGCTGCTATGCTGCTCTCTGGTTATACTGGAACATATTACAGTATATTCAACCTTATAAAGATGAAAGATACCATATACCAGTATATCCCACCCTACAAAGGTCCAGTATACCACATTCTGCTGTAGTTAAAATGGGGGTATAAAGCACCTAGATACTAGGTAGGGTACTGATATTATTTTTATTGTATGCCTAGGATTTTACAGGCAAGCATTATAGGCAATTTTTCAGGAATTCCAATTTATTTCATTTAAAACCACTCATAATATTCTTGCATATTATGTTGCATTTGTTTAGATTTCAAATTATTAATATTTTCTACAAAATCTGTTTCCTATATATTATGAAATATTGACAGATGTCCCATGGTTTTGTCAGTCAGCAAATATGGAGAATTCCTTTACGGGTCACACTTATACTGACATGTGAATTATATGAATGCACTGGTATGGTTTACCAAGTGTATACATTGCTACTGCATCATTACTAATATTGCCATTCATCATTACATTTGTACGAATTCCACTAACATTAACAGCAGGATGAAGCTTTCTTGTTTTTCTCATGATTGGAAAGATTAACCCCTCCAGGGGCAAGGTTCTTCATCTGTCTGTCTAACTTTTGCTCCAGCTCTAAATGTCTTTTCACAGAAGAACTGAAAGATAAATCCACATTGGTGTTGTCTTTGGCACTTGTTTCAAAGTATGGTAGTTCACCATTAATTTGACACCATGACTTGGCATCATCCTCATTCACCATCCTCTCTTCTTCCATGTCAACCTTGTTACCAAGGACAAGGAAAGGAAAGTTTTCAGGGTCCTTTACATCAGCATAATAAAGGAATTCCTTTTTCCACTGTGCAAGATTCTCAAGACTCTGCTTATCATTCACAGCAAAAACAAGTAAACAAATATCTGATCCTCTATAAAATGGTGTTCTCAAGCTTTTAAATCTTTCTTGTCCAGCTGTATCCCAAATTTGAAGTGTGAAAGTCCCTATAAAATATTCCAAAGAAAATCAATCTAGCATTATGCATAGACTTCTTTGTCATAGACAGCTGATACATGTAATGTTGCAGTGTTGTTGGCACAACAGAGTATTTAGAATAAAATGGTTTCCAAAGCCAATTTGCAATTGATGTCAGTGGGGCGGTCATTGTTCACAATAATGAATTTTAAGGGTACCAACTAAAGAGGGTTCCCATGCATTAATTCAGTATTCGAAACATGTTCGAGGTTGGATATATCTAGTGAGTGCCATGGGTTTTGCAGTACCTGTTTATCACACATAATTCATAGGAAATACTAATTAAGATATAATTGATGGTACAGGAAGTAAAACTGAATAAATATATATCCTTTAAGTCATGAGTGAAATTAACATCCATTAACTATGGATTCCATTCACCTACAGTATTGACCTAATCCAAAGAAATTATTGCCAAACTGAATTTGTCCTATCCATACCATATAAACATTTGATATAGCAGTAATAGCACAGATATAGATATTTTTATTCCTTGGAATACCCAAACATAACTTCAGGCGTAGCAAACGAAAAATTAGTACAAGCGCTAATACCAAATTTTAGGGCAGTGTAAACAGAGCTATATAAACATCACAAAGAAACAGGAAGGGATGAGGGATTTTCGGATTGATGGTGTAGATCAGGTGCAATTTAAAAATTATATTTGAAATAGTGACGTTCCGGAGTAGAATTTTCAAATTTACTTCAATTTTTCGTTTTTAAAACGCAAACAAGCAATGCGTTCAGCTTAGCCAACATTATTTCATATATAGGCAAACTTAGTAGCTTACCTCCTTCAACTGAAACGTCTTTGTTGAGAAATTCCACACCGATGGTATGGAAGGACTGACTGTCGAACTTATCACTGACAAATCGATTCATAAGCGACGATTTCCCGACTCCTCCATCACCTAACAGTACGACTTTTAAAAGAGACGGCTTACTTGTCATGACGCCAGAATTAATGCGCCAAAGTTTATGTCATTTTAACCTATTTTCATCAAGAAGTATTTGATTTGGAATCTTTTGCAATACAATGTCAATGTATATAAAACATCATGTGATTTTTAATTCTTGACATTTCCTGTTTAGCTTCACTGAGTCGACCTCAGTCAGGTGACATAAGCGGTCAGCAGTGAAGCTTTCGCAAATACTTTATTTCGATCATGTCAAAAGTAAACTTGTGTCGTTTAAGGGGGGTTACCGTCCCCTCATCGGTTCTGCTTATAACAATGGTAGTCTACCTGTTTTTAAATTGCTCAAATTCCGCATGTTTCGCATATTTCTGAACATAAACTCTCTTCTCTCACATCTTATTCGAGTATAGCGAGCCAAAAGCGTCTCAAAATGTAACCCATTCTTGGCCGTTCTTGAATTACGTATGACGTCATAATCAGTCATTCGGCGCCCTCTTGGTTGACTCTACAAAGTTTACTTCTGCTTTTTAAGAGAATAAACTGCGTTGATTTACTATTTCCTTGTTTATTTTGTAACTGCTTATCGTCTCTGTCGTATTATTGGGCAGGTATTAAAATACAGCAACGATAGGCTGCTTTTCACTGCCGCGTTGTTTCACTGCCAAGTTGTTTTATAATTAATTTTATGCGAGAAAATCCACCAAATCATGATAATCATCAACAGAATACAACCCAAGCATCTGTTCAATCGTTGATTCCATAGGTATCATTTAAATGCTTTTAAATTTTACCGCGTATACGTATGTACAAAAAACGCGACAGTGGAAAGCAGCCCTATTCCCTATACAACAAAAAGTTTCAAAATGAGAAAGTAACGATAAGATCTTCAGCAAGTCGGTCTAAATTCGATGGTTACAACAAGATATTGAAACAGTGAAAATCTTGCTTGTAAAGCTTCTGATAACAGTTTAAAAGCGTTCCATAAATTTAAGTGATCGGTCTTTGACTACAAAAGTGTCTAGCAAGTCAAGCACGCTAAGTTACATTTTTCTGCTTTATTTTTTTGGGCCGAACTTTGTTCCACACTTACAAGATTTCACCCTGATTTCCTGCCTTTAAAAGTTCCGCGAGGTATCCGAATCTTGTCAAGCAGAACATCTTGCTTATCAAACTCGACAATGGAACCTTGGTCCAACACCATAATTCTGTCACACTTTCGAATTGCATCCGCACGATGTGATACCATTATTATTGTACAATCTTTGAACACTTCAAAAATAACACTCTGAATTTGTTCTGCAGTTTCTTTGTCTACCTTTCCCACAGCTTCATCAAAAATGATTATTTTGTTTTGTTTCAACAAAACTCTTGCGAGATGGAGCAGCTGTCGTTGACCGATGCTAAAATTTGAGCCACCAAATTTGGTAAACGGCCAACAAACATAGTCCAATTGCATCTGATTAAAAACATGCCAAATTTCGGAGTCGTCGAATATACTTGTTGGATCCAGGTCCTCTCTAATGGAACCGTTAAAAAGCACAGGAGACTGTGAAATGATAGAAATATGTTGACGGGTTGATTGAAGATTCATATACGCAATATCCGTATTATCTATGATAATTCTTCCCTCAGTTTCTGCAATTCTCACGAGGGCGTTGACTATAGAAGATTTACCAGCTCCAGTCCTTCCTACCACACCAATCTTTTCTGACGCAATAATTTTAAATGATACTTTCTTTTAAGACTTTAATTTGGGCCTATTTTCATAATATCGCAATGAAACATTTTCAAAATCTATTCTATATACTGAATTCTGGCCAGTCTTAAGGGGCTTGGTCGCTTATTCCATGTCTTTTCTCTGGGTCAATTTCTGTATAAGCAAGAATCCTCTCAGCAGATGTCATCTTAGATTGCATTTCGCTAGCACTATAGATCCCAATCTGCTGCAAAAAGGGTACTGTGGAATGTATACATATAATGTCCACAGAAGCAATAAATAAAGTGTATAGAAAGGAAAATTATATTACTAGAAGTTACTATCGCAAGGGAAGTGTTGGCATCGCAAGTCCATTTATCACATGTTGAAGAAAAACAACGGCTGTTTAAACTAAGTGTGTCTACTCCATAGAGGCTCTCTGGGCTTTTTTTTCAAATGAATAATATTGTGAACATTGTCGTTAACAATAGGTGCATTAAGTGTTAGGTGTCACTACTGTTACAGTAACAATGTTGCGACAACATGTGTTTTTGCGCGTGTATTTGATTACTCAGCTGCATGATAGCTCTGAGCAGCCTGAGCTAATGGCTCGCGAGGCAGTTAGCTCAGCCTGAACCCATCCGCACACGTGAGAAACCTGCCTCTCGAGAAGAATTCCTCACGAAAAACTATCCGCCAGATTGACTTGCTGAGCGTTAAGCCACGCGTGGTCTTTACCTCAGCTATAGTAGCGCAGTGTGCATGCGGCGGGCTTTACGACGCTGTTGTTACGCTAAAGCAAGTTTCCTTGTACTTGGAATGCATTTATAATTTTCAGACACGTAAAATTTGTAAAGCCGAGTTTTCGAAATGTATAAGAAAACGTTAGCAGATCGTAAGAAATGTTTGTACTCGTCAACATTAGATGCTTCAGAAGTAGAATTGCATTGCAAGTTGCAAGAAAAGTTGCATAGTGTAACACCGCCTTTAGGGGAAAAAGTCCCTTCGTTCACATATAGCCTGAAGCGCTATATATAAGCGCTAATATATCCTATCTTAAGGATTCTTTGGAAACACTTCTGAACGGTCCGATTTCCTTGATTATTATGGGAGGTCAAAACTAAGATAATACAATATCTAGGATGCTGTATAGGGAGCATAGTATGAGTACCCTATTAAAAGAAATGGTTGATGATATATCATCTCATCTTATCATCTCATCTTATCATCTCATTATTTATCGTTTGAATTGTATTCGACCCTATAAAAATTAAAAATGCAACGATTAACCTAGGCCAGTAGGCCTTACCCTTACATAGACCCATATAGTTAAAGTTAACCCCAGTTTGTCGCTTTGTATGAGTTTTACGTCTATTCTCTGTGTTTGTTCGCGCATGCATGCAGTTCAACGCTTCATTTCAATATGAATATCGCTTATGGGTCATTCTTCCTTTGCGAAATAAAGCCGGTTTTCCACTGGCGATATTTTTCGCGTGAAGCGACTTTACTCCTTTGTATTTGCATGAGCAATTTGTTCCAGATGGTTGCAATTGAGAGCTCTGAAACAAAAGTAAAATGTCGCTTCGCGCGAAAAATATCGCTAGTGGAAAATGTCGCTTCGCGCGAAGCGACATTTTACTTTTGTTTCAGAGCTCTCAACTGCAGCCATCTGGAACAAATTGCTCAAATACAAAGGAATAATGTCGCTTCGCGCGAAAAATATCGCAAGTGGAAAACCGGCTTAAGAATGCATGTTCGTCATAAAATCACTCGACCAGGACAATCTATTATATGATATGGTTGATTCAAGCTAACATTGTCCTCAAATGCTTCATCCCGTCACCTGAGAAAGTGGTACAGAAATAAGTGTTAGGTATGTTGATATTATTTCTACTTTATCCTAACTAAGACGTGCAAATGTAGTATGTGGTTATAAGATCCAAATGTTTGGATGATGGTTGACAGGCATGTTAGTATATATGATTGCGTTCATGCGTATAGTTAGCTATAGTTCACGTTGTCGTTGGGAAAGTTTTTACAACCGGCTGTGGATTAAATTTTTGAAGTCTTACGCCTGATCACTGGTAATCGTACGTAGCTTGAATTGTGCTAGAGTTGTTTGCCCGTCCAGTAATTCGGGAGTAACTTTGTGTGAAATTTATCAAACTTTGATATCTGGGTGTTAATAATGTGAAGTATTCCTCGGGCTTTTTATCCTAGTTCAACGATGGTAGGATAAATCCGTTTATTTTGATCGGTTATCATAGCCAATATACTTCATGCAGAAAATCACACTATAATGTCACTCAATAAACTAAATTTTAAAATTTGGACCGGAGATTTTACTCGTTAGATTTCTAATTCAGAGGGTATATATTTACATATTCGTGTTCACATCCAAATTCGGTATCTCACAACAAGGACCGCATATACGAGAAATGTTCGCTGCCTTTGCCACGCCAATATCGGCAATAAATCTCTGGCGTTAACTCGGTCCTGCTAAAAACCGCCCGACACCGCCCGAGAGTATAGAAAACTACCCGAGACTTGAAAAAACCGCCCGAAAGAAACTGAAGCGATTGTAATACTTGTAACATCGCAGCATTGCAGTCATTTAATTTGTCTTTAATATTGGTAAATATGAAACGTGCTAAGAACCGGTCAACCATTCACGACTATAGCTAGTACAGATTAGCAAGTTGAATTGCAATTCTTGCATGAGAATTTCCCTCAGAAATTGCGCTCGGATTGCGTACTGCGCCAAGAATGCCCAAAGTTGGAAGAAAACTAGGGAAAAAGAAAGGAATAAAAAACATAACACGAACAAATTTATCTAGTAAAATCTCTCGGGATCTATTACAACCTATTACAACTTTTTTTCGCATTTGCATGTATGTGCATTCAACCACAGCAAAATAAAGTTGCACATGCAAAGCGCATAATCAAATACATTTCAAAACTTATCCGGTAAGAGGACTTGATTGTGTAAGAGCGCCTTAACTTTACTATTGGATGCATGATATATGTAACCAATTATAATTTTATGTCCAAAAACATACACTGATAATTTTTTCCCCTCAATTGCAATTTACATACAAGTTAAGTGACCCCCACGCAGTAATTACATACAGCATAACTCCTTAGCTTGTTACCCAAAATTCCCAAACGTATGCTGTCTGCTGGCATTGATCTTGATGTTAATAATGTACAACCTAGTGGTAAAATGAAAATGAAATAAAATGTTAAGTACACAAATAATTCATTTCCTATCATACTTTTATCGAATATCGATAACGTTATAATTCTACTACATCCAATCAATTATATGCGCAGTTCAATGGTCGCAATATTGGTAGCACCTATAGTTGTCTGTGACATAGTTGGCCAATCACAATCGCCATTTGAGTTCACTACGATTTAACCGCTATCCGCAATATCCGGTTAAAGCCGGTTTTCCACTAGCGATATTTTTCGCGCGAAGCGACATTATTCCTTTGTTATTTGAGCAATTTGTTCCAGATGGTTGCAGTTGAGAGCTCTGAAACAAAAGTAAAATGTCGCTACGCGCGAAAAATATCGCTAGTGGAAAACCGGCTTAAGAGCTCTACAAAACCGGGCTGCAGCTATTTTTGCATTTGATTATCGCCTCTTAATGGAAATTCCGTTCCGCTCTTAAGGAAAACAATTCTCAATACAAGTCAGCCCACATCACCACTACGGTTGGCTTACAATTACATTGATTTAGACACCATTTCTCTGCAATTTCCTAAGTGTGTTGTCAAAAACTGCAGTCTCGTTTTAAAGCACTGAGATATTTATGAATTAATCTGTGTAGCGGACGTATTTTAATTCAAAGCAGTGTTTTATTTAGGATGTAGGATGTATTTTAATTCAAAGTCACTTAACAGTGAAGCGGCGAAGGTAATTATTAGTGTTTGAGTGATTCCTAAACCTCAGTAATGGGCTTGGTTACGCATAAATTAATGTTGTTCGCATGCATCGTTGGTAATTATGAGCGTATCGGTTATCAGCCAAGAGTGTTAAGCTCGCCGCACCCGTGAGCAATGATAAGCTGAGCTAAAGACCTCGCGAGGTTGTTAGCTCAGCAAAGTGATAGTTTTCGTAAGGAATTCGCCACGAGGGACAAGTTTCTCACGTGTGCGGATGGTTTTCGGGCTGATCTAACTGCCTCGCGAGGTCGTAAGCTCAGCTGGTAGCTCTCGTGCGCGGGGCGGACTTTAAGCTTGTTCTCCACTAGGCAAAATTTTCCGCGTGTAGCGAAGTTTCTCTTTGTTTTCTAACATTAGTTCTGCATGAAAGCAAGCAGACAATAAAAAATGGCGCTTCGCAGGCAAAGTTACGCCTATAGAAGAAGGGTCGACACAGACCGCACGCGATACAGCAACGCGACGCGAATTATCAGCTTCAGAAGCATATAAATGAAATCGGTCTGGATTCAAAATTTGAAATCCTTATGAACGTGCCAGAGCAATCAAAATGTATTATTCTTAAATATTCAACAAGAATATGATAAAAGGTTAAACTTTATTTGCCTGTCTGTGTGGCTTATGTTATGAAGTGAATTCGCGCGAAAATTAAGTAGCTACCACGTCCACACTGTTTTGCTTTGTTTTAATGATTCATATAAATGATATAATTATCGCCATTAACAAAAAATGTTTTTATTTTAAAACTGTAATTGCACACGAAAAACTCTATATACCCACACTGTTTTATTTTCCAAAATATTTCCTCACAGAATTAATTAAACGTATGATATACCCATTTCAACGACAGAAACCTTATCTGTATAGTGTTAACACTTGTTTTGACATACCCGTCTTTTAATCTCTCTCAATTGACTGAAGTCGAAGTTCGTCATTGTGGCTTCACGCCATTTTGGGGTGCAAATTAAACTATACTTGTTATTCATGGCAAGCTAACACTGAATGCAGACGATATTGTAACATTACGGCTCAGGTTACCTTCAGATGGTACCAGAAGAATCAGAGTTGCAAAAAAGCTGCGGGTACGCGGGTGCCACCCGGAGTAAGGTTTGCTTTGAATGAAGTTTGTGAGGAAGGTTCAAAGTTGAACACTCTAATTGATCACATGCATGTACCAAAAAACCAAATATTTTGTTTTGTAAAAACCAAAACTTGAAATCCTACCGGAGGAAGGTTGAACTCTTTTTGCAACTCTGAGAAGAATTTGGGACCGCACTCGAATTCATCCAGTAAAGATGATGGCACAGTAAAAATAGATAAAAATGGTCCTACGCGTTCACATGCATGCATGACAAAATAAAAGAAATTCGAACACGGTCCCAAATTCGTCCGGCACAGTGTGAACGTAGCCATTCTATAGTCCACGCAGCCTATTTATGGTCCAGCCTTCAAAGCACAGTGCCACAAAGTCTTAATTGTTTTACCGGCCCTCGCCTATTCGAAGGCATTACGAATCATAAATACACAACACACCACTTCAGTCGCAAGGTTCGATTTCTACCGAAGGGTCGATATACTTGACACATTTTTGACACACAACTGTAGACCTTTCTTGAATTCGAGTTGTGTATTATTTCACTCGAATTTAAAACCCTTAATTTACAGCTGATATAGCTAGTTCAGGTTTTAAATGTCATTGAAGTCGATACTTGCGAGGATACTTGATACTTCCACCGATAAACGTTTTCACATTAATAATAAAACATAAAGACTTTGTTTCAAAGGATTTAGTGTCAAAATGAAGCAAGGATACTTGATGACGATGGTAGTTTTGGCTGTCTCTCTCGCCGAAGTAAAATCAGGTTTGTACACTTCTTATTAGTGGTATATAATAAGTTTTGTTAAAACTGTTTAAAGAATTAGTATATATAAGTTTGTGATATCCATACTAATTGCCATTCCCATACTATGGATGTATGCATGAGTGGGAACGGTATGAGTGTACTTATTTCTATATAGTAGAGATTTTAACTCAGGCCATTCCTTATGACGAAATGGTAAATCAATACTCTAGCTCTCAGTGGAAGTCTTGCATGCCATGCAGGCTTGAACCCTCTGCCTCCAACAAACTTTGCACGCTTAGAGTTGGGGCCTTTTTTAGTTAGCTGCATGCATTAACATTTAAGCCCTTAAAAATTAAGGTATTACACTAATACATGACAAAATTGCCATAATCTGCCCTGACATCGCATGACACACAACCAACATGTTTGTACTGAAAGCCCGCAACCCCTCATGCATGAAGCACTCTATTCTTTTCTTAGAGAAAAAAGCGACTGGGTACTGAATGGATTCATTAGCTAGATTCGTTCTTGTTTCGATGTTTCTTCAATTTCTGTCAATGCTAATTTCTGTTATATTAACTTAATATAAGATAATATAAAACTAACATAATTAATATAACTTAACTTAACATAATTAATATAAAATATAAAATATATAAGCGATCATAGAGTTAGGGGCCTGTATTAGCTGCCTCATAGAATAAAAACTATGTACACTCAATTCCCACTCATGCCAGTTCACATTATAACCCATATATTTTTTCATTTTTTTCAGAATGTTCTATCAAAACGGAGGACGGTGACTGCTGCGTATTTCCATTTACTTACAAAGGTGAAACCTATAACTTTTGCACGTTCAAAGACAGTATCAAACCATGGTGTTCGCTGACTTCGAATTACGACGCAGATAAAAAATCTGGTACATGCAAATACGAAAGTAAGTCTTCTTATAAGAGATAGCGAAATATAGCGGTAGACAAAATGGCAAAACGAACATTTTCTTGAAGAGTTTCTTTAGTGCATTCGTGATGTATAAGATGCACAAAATTTGCGTAAATTACAATATGCACTGATACTCTCTATCATTGACATGCAATCATAAAATAATTTTAGCATTTGACAGACAGATTTTATTTGAAAAGTGTGGTTCTGGCAGCCAGTTATATCGTGCTATTGTTTCCTTATTAGCTTGCCAAATTAAAACTACAAATGACGAATGCTGCGTGTTCCCATTCACGTACGGGGGATATACTTACCACGCGTGTACAATGGTTTGGGACTCGAACGCATGGTGTGGCACGAAATCGTCTGTCCAATACTTTAATAGGGAACCAAGAGGAAACTGCCGATCGTATGGTATGGTTATTTGATCCTTGAAATCAGGAGGTTTTTGTATGTATGACTGATTGTCAGGAAAATTTTAATGTGTTGGCTATATAACCCATGCATTGACATGTATTATATCGAATATATTTCTAGTGCATGCATGTACGAAGCATGCCATTTTGAGGCCGACATATTAAACTATTTATTACAAACGTTAAAAGTTATTTGTTTCTCTGTATTATAGTTGTATATAACTTCTGAATTTACATGATTTCATAAATTCATTTATCGTAACACGAAGCATCAGACGACGAAAAATCGTTATAAGGGGGGGGGGGGGGGGGAGGAGAAGGTTAATATAAATATACTGATGTTCAGCATTATTAGTTCCTTTTGAAATTGACTTCTTTTTCCGTCTGCTAACATTAATATACGAATATTAACCCTCCCATGCCCACTATCTTCCGCCGTCAATGCTTTGTTATATGGAAAGATTCTGGCGCGATTAAGCCCTATTTTTGAGCGTCGTGTATAGGCCAGTTGATCCACCTAATATAGAACCAAGTATCCAGTCGTGTCACGAGACATGATAATAACACTTTTTCTCTTCCTTCTTAGCGGAGCCGTGTTTTAAAAACCCATGCGAAAACAACGGCGTGTGTCGAAGCGATAAATCGCATTTTACCTGTGATTGCCGAACGGGGTATAGAGGCAAAACCTGTTCAGAAAAAGGTTAGTGTTACAGTATAAAACCGCCCCGATTAAAAGTCACATCTATAACAGGCGTAGGTAAAATAGCCTGGCTTTCGAGGTTGGTAACAGTCACGGGTTTTCCCGACCGTATTCATCATTACAATATAATGCTATGTAATCGTATCGTCGTATGTCTAAGCGATTGACGACAAACTCATTTGTAGTTTGTGCTATTATATTTGGACAATAGAAATAATAACACAATACTTGCGACAGTAGGCGATATACTTTTCGTTGATGATATTCGTTCAAAACTTAAAGAATTCTATTGTTTCAGTTCCTTTTCTTCTTCGAAGCTTATTCTAGAGTAACATTACTCGTATACATTACTCGTAAATAGTTCTTCCATGTGAAAGTTCGCCATGTAAAAACGGAGGAAAGTGTGAAAATGACGGCGAGGCATACAAGTGCAACTGCCTAGAAGGATACAAGGGAACCGATTGTGGCACGAAAATAGGTAATTAATAAACGTCTTAGATTGTGGATGTATATTTCTTGAAGTGTACACAGCCGCTAAAGCGTCCATCACATCAGAAATTACTTCAATCTCAAAGAAAGTTATTTATTTCTTGCCTAGTGGACCCTTGCAAAAATTCTCCATGTCAGAATGATGGGAAGTGTTTTAGCGACTACGAAAAAGAAGAGTTCTATTGCCAGTGTCCAAAGGGATTTGAAGGAAGCGCTTGCGCAGAGGAAGGTATAACAACGTTGTATATTTTTTAGAAATCGTTTTTTGAAAAAATTCCAGAAATTTATGCTGCCAGATAAAGATAATATTAATTTTAGCAGGATTTATATGTTTAACATGTTGATAAACGATATGCCCTCATGGCGTATTTTTTTGTGAAAGAACCTGGTATTTGAATATACACCTAAAATACCATCGAGGTGAAGGAGTTATGGCCCAAAATTATGAGAATTCAACTGTTTTAAATGTTTTTATAGTTGATCCATGCGATCCTTCGCCTTGTGAAAATTCTGGACAATGTTCTGCCGTTGGACAGAATTTTCAGTGTAAATGTTCAAGTAACTATGAAGGAGATACTTGTCAATGCAAAGGTTTGTAATTATCAATTTTATGATTGTCAACGACATTACTAATTGACATTGACTGTTTTGATGCATGAACCATGTTGTTCGTGATTGACGTTCCATAAAGAAATTTTATATGAAAATTTATAGCCTATAAGATATGCGAAAAGATAGCTTTCTGTATTTTTTGAAAATTGTAAGATAAACATTGGGACAGGAAATTTGAGCATCTATTAATATGAAAAATTCCATCCATTTATAAAAAAAACATTTACCAAAATAATTCACTCTACAACAGGTGGTTTGATTTAGTGATAAGTTTTTCATGGTCGAACGTTTAGAGAAGTGGCGATCATTGTATGAATATCACTCCCAGTAGTAAGAGTAAAGTCATTCTTGGAATGAGCGAAAATATATAAATTTTAGTATTGTTTATATTATTTAGAATTTTCAGACAAAAAGATCAAATAGCAACTAGATACTCTGGCAAAATTTTATACGCCCCAACTGCTGAATTTTTGCCAAACACGTACATGCTTATATTACGTTGAAATGTGCATTTTCAAAAAAATTTCCAGACAGTAGGGGATCACTCTTATGCTACTAATTGCGCAATCTACCTCTGGGAAAGGAACGTGTTGCATGTGCACATGTCTATATAGCTATATATATAAGTATAGGGGCGTCGAGGCAAACAGTTTTTGTAAGTATAATGGTCATAAAACACGAGTCTTGTATCAAAGATCCTCAAAGAATTTATATCGGCATGTCCATTTGCATGCCAGGCGTATATTAACATACTACAGAGAACAGATACAAAATCCGACCCTCAGTGTGGATAGGAACCATGACGTTCAATGTATTTAACACACTGTTGATTAATTTCACACTCTTTGTCTTTTAGCCGATCCATGTAAGAGTAGTCCATGTGAAAATGGAGGAGAATGTTTAAGTAACTTCGAAAACTTCACTTTCTCGTGCAAGTGCTCTGAAGGATACGAAGGAGTGAAATGTGAAGAAAGAGGTATAGCTGGGATTTGCATGTTCATTTGAATTACGAATAAAAGATGGCCATTAACAAAGCTATAAATGTTCAAATCTAAAATCTATTCCAACAGCGAACGATCCTTGCAAGAATAGTGGAAAATGTGAAAACAAGGGAAACGATTTTCAGTGTGAATGCACTGAGAATTACGAGCGTGTGATCTGTACTGTGAAATATCAGACCAAGGCATGGAAAAAACCTCGGACTGATATTTCACAGCATGGACCAAACAAACGAGGTCAATAATCGGTTTATTATATGGCTAAAAATCAGACAACCGGTATACAGGTCCAGATACAGAATATACTGATCACGGTCCGAATATGGGTTTTTACGGACTGCTCGTCAACCAATCGGAATAAAAGATTTTGAAAAGCCATATAATAACAAGTGTATATGCGCGGTTAAAAAACTCAGATGATCTTAAGCGGCTGTAGGAGTCTGTGATCTCACTGATTTGATATTTCACCTCAACGGCATTTATATGCCATATTTATCTTTCGAAATTGAAATAAAGTATGTCAGCAGGAAAAACCTGCTATATAATACTTGAATTCTATTCTAAATTTCCACAGATAACCCATGCGAGTCTACTCCTTGCAAAAATGGTGGAAAATGTGAAAACAAGGGAAACGATTTTCAGTGTGAATGCACTGAGAATTACGAAGGGGATACTTGTGAATCAATAGGTTTGTAGAATATGTTGCATTGGCGTGTAATTGTGTTGTGCAATGATCCCTCTAAATACAGAGACAAGGGATATTTGTCAAAAAGATTAAAAAGTTTAAATAAAAAACTATTATAGTTGATCCATGCAAAAGTGAGTCTTGTAAGAACGGAGGACAATGCTTGAGCAACTTGGAAGATTTTTCTTTCACATGCAAATGTTCTGAAGGGTATAAAGGAGAACATTGTGAGGAGACAGGTAACAATACAGTAGAATTTACGGATTGAGATTTTTTCATCAACAAATTTAATGATTGCTAATTCTGACTATTAATATGTTTTTCACCTTTGCTTCAGCAAATCCGTGCGAGTCTTCGCCTTGTAAAAACGGTGGGAGATGTAAAAATAAGGGAAATGATTTTCAGTGTAATTGCACAGAGCATTATGAAGGCGATACTTGCGAGTCAATAGGTTGGTACTTTTTTGGTTTGGTGTAAACGCAGGATTTCTAGGATTAATTGCAAGCATCTTTGTGTTCTCTTATTGTTTTATCAGATCGAGCGAACTCAGTGGCCAGTCGTAAATCTCCTACTATGGGCCCCCGGCTGAAGTAGTTATTAGACAACCTCGTTCCCAGGGCATTTTACCTTTATTCTGGGTTGGGGTAAAAGGCCCTGGGATCGGCCAGCCGCCCCTGTCTTCTGATTAGTTAAATGACCCTTTCTAATTTATGTGTAATTAGCGGAATATTTTTTAATTATTCCTAACCGAGTAAATAAATAGGGGTGCGATCAAAGGGTGCGCTAAATGGCATAAAGACTCCAACAGCCTCGATTCTGTACTTTGATTCTGTTAATTTATGCTTATTCGAAATACTCACGAAATGTGGGTATTTTGAACTGCTGATGCCAGGGCCTTTTCTCTTCTCTCCTCCCACCTCCAACCCCCACAAAAAGGCCCTGGAAACGAGGTTGGTTATTAGAGAGGTTAAGATTCCCCGGTTCCGGTATACGGGTACGGGTAGCCTTATTTTGTTCACCGAATTTCCATCATTGTTTTTCAACTTTTTCTCGATTACCTCGACAATTTATTCCCAGTAGACTTTAGCCTCTTGAGGTAGGCATGACTTGTATCACGAAACGTGCAAACAACAAGAAGTTCCAATGAGTAAAATATGTCTACCCGTACCCGTACACCGAAACCGGGGTATCTTAACCTCTTTATTTAAGAAGGGGCCCCCTGATTATACATCCTCCCCAAACCATTTTACGGTGCCAACCCTTCGAATGGATTTTTATGCACAAACACGAGATTCATAAACTGTGTGCGCTAAATTCTGATTCGTAATTTTGGAGATTATATATTATAGCTTTTGAACATATTACAGAACACTGCAGGGGAAGCAGCTTCGTTTAAAATATGAATAATTCATACATTTTGCCAGGGAATAACACGAAGAATAAAGTTGTTTTAACAATGTTTCTATATCAGATTTTGAAAATCTCTTGTTTTCGCCTATATTATACGATATTTGAGACTCAGTGATATTAGCCAAGCCCCCCCCCCCTCCCACCTTCCGTAACTGATTCAATATATAAGTTTTAGTGGAATATTTTTGCAAAGGCTAGAGAATTCAAATTGATCGAAGTCTGTATCCTTTTAGTTGATCCATGCAAGGACAGTCAATGTGAAAATGGAGGACAGTGTCTTAGTAACCTGCACGACTTCACGTACTTCTGCAAATGCCCCACGGAATATAAAGGAGACACATGTGAAAAGAAAGGTAAAAATGGGTAAAACGGAATCTTATATGCCCTTCGTAGATGCCATATCAACCATATTAGATGAAAAAAAATGAAGAAAAACACCCCTGTGAGCAGTGATAAATACTGCAATTTCATCCGACTGTAGGAGTGCGATATTAAGCATTTATTATTACATGATAAAATTATGAGATGCTGATTGGTCGAGAGAAGTACAGTAAAGTTCAATAATTTTACACCTGCTGTAATCAATGGCAAATACTCAATTTAAGAATTAATCGCATTCCATAGGTATTAAAAATAATTCCCATAGGTATTAAAAAACAGTTTAGTATTTACAACTAGCAAATCATCATTTAGCAAGCATACAAAATATGAATTTCGGGAGCTAAATTATGATATTTTGATGTACTATTTACCAGAATTCAGTGAACTCTTAAGAAACGGAAACGATAATTAAGAAACGAAATTGCTCTTCAAACTGTAAATTGGTCACTAGCTAATCATTCATTCTTCCAATTGGTCAAAACAACTAAAAAAGTGCTAAAAACAACCAATAATTTTGCTGCTTTGACGAAAAAATATTCATCAAAGGAGATGTATTCTGATGTATACTGACAGAACGAGTTTTTAAATAATCGTAATTTCACCAACCTGATTTCACAGAGCATTGTTGCACTGCTTTTTTACGTAAATTACCGCCACATGTCAGAGCAGTTATCCTTCAGTATTCATTAGTATACTGTACGTCCAACAGTGTTGTATATACTAAATCCAATATAATTATTTTTATAGTCGATCCATGCGAGTCTTCTCCTTGTAAAAATGGTGGAAATTGTGTGAAAAATGGAGTCAATTTCAAGTGTGAATGTACAGCACACTTCGAAGGCGATACTTGTCAATCAATAGGTATGTCACATTAATTTGGAGTTTACATATGTTGTTGGACATCTTAGAGACAACCGCAAACAATATCATGTTACAAAGAAGCGTATTCAGAGTTTATTATATGGGTTTTCAAAATCCTCCATTCTGATTGGTTGACGAGTGGTCCCTAAACCCATACCCTAACCGTGGTATGTATATTCCGTATCTGAACCAGTATCTAAAAAAGCCATACTAAAAAGCCTCTGTCTGATATCTCACAGTACACATTTCACGCTCACTCGATAATCAGTTAGTATGTATACGGAAAGGGATGTATTCCATATCTATAACAAAGTAGATCAAACGAGGAATGATTGTCTCAAATCTCTCAGTTCATTCCAATTGTATCTTTTAAACTGTTCTAACTGTTATAATTATACACACAAGGCAAAACACTGCGGATATAGCTATAGTAATTCAAAATTACTCGACAATGGTCAGGCATTCAATTAGCTAAATCAAACTTTTTACAGTTGATCCCTGCAGCAGTACTCCGTGTAAGAACGAAGGGAAATGTTTGAGCGACATGAAATACTCCACGTTCCTTTGCAAATGTTCGAAAGGATTTGAAGGGGAAACATGTGAAGTGAAAGGTACGAATATTTTGTCTATAATAACTTGGTCATACGTATAATGAAATTATACAAAAACGTAAAGTCGCACAATTTTACTCTCTCCTTTATTGCATGGTCTTTTGTGTGTTTAGAGCAAAAAAAGGATGTATTAGAAAACAACTTTTTCGTTATAATTTGAATTTCCTTAGTTAAATTATTGAAGGAACGGTGCATGGTTATATTCGTGATAAAACTTACGCATAAATCCATCCCATCGACAACAACCGAGTAGCAACGAAAATAATTCCGGGTTGAGAACCCCAAAGAGATGAAAAGCTGGAATATATAAAATTGAGTAGCAACCATATTCCTTTAATTACATGCAGTCAACCCATGCGACTCTTCTCCCTGTGCAAACGGCGGGAAGTGCGTCGATTCAGATGATGGTTTCAAATGTGAATGTACAGAACACTACGAAGGCCAGATGTGTCAGTTAAAAGGTTGGTTACTTTTTAGTTACTTGTTATAAAATTATATAAAAATGTCATTTGTGATTTCCTTCCTGTTTTTCTCTCCTGTCATTTAGTTTGTTGTTTTTCTCTCCTGTCACTTACTTTTTTGGGGGGAGATTACTTTCTGTACGTTATACACCTGTATTTATGTGACAAATTCTATGGTTGTTGAATGTTGGCGTATTTATAATTCTTAGTCGATCCTTGCAAAAGTAGTCCATGTAAAAACGGTGGAAGATGTCAAAGTGACTTGGAAAAGTTCACGTTTTCATGCAAATGTTCTTACGGATTCTTTGGAAAAACTTGTGAAAGGCGAGGTAATAAACTTTTAAACACATCACTCTTTAATTGCACCAGCAAAATCGCACGATATTTTTTTTATTAGAAAGATAAAATCGTACAATTTTTATAGAGCATATCGTCGAGATCTTTTAGGACGAAATACTCATTACATAGATGATTGTATTGATTGTCAAAATACCGTCCTGCTAGACTTTTATCCATCATTTTGCATTTAGCCATTTATCCATCATTTTGCACTTTAGCTGTATTTTCGTTTACCTTTCTGGACCTGTTTAAGTTTCTACAGGGCTGTCTAGTTTGTATGCAACAATAACTTTCCCGCTATTTTGTGCAAGCATTTCGGCAAAACATTTATTATACTGCGTACAATTAATGAAGTAAATGTCTTTATCAAAGAGAAAACTATTGAATAACTTTAAACAGTTAAATTTTCCTAACAGTTAAAAGTTGCCCAAATTTTATCTCATGGACCATAGACGTTCAATGGTCATGGTACTTAACGAGTGGATACTGGTAATTAGCAACTTGCTGATTGCCTGAGACAAAACGTTTGTGTTTCAGTGAAAAACGTCCGCAATTTAACTGTCATTTTGCAAACTATTTTGTTTTAAAAAATGTTTCCAAAACACAATATGAAATGTGGGATCAAATAGAATCAATATAAACACTGGGAAGAGTTTATAAAGGAAATATTTTGCTTTGTTTAAAATGGCGAGGGGTTGCTGCATGCATGTATTTTTAGTTAAAGTTTTTTCTCACAAAGTTTGAAGCCTAATTATTGAGATTCGTGGCCTAAATCCGTACCAATTTATCATACCGATTGCCTCGTAGCCATGCCGACTCTTTCTCATTAGTTTCTGATGTACTGTTAAAACCGTTTTCTGCAACTGTTGTAGCTACTGGCTCATGCACAAATGCAAACTGGGTGAGAAGTTTTGACAGAGCTGGATGGTCAAAATGTGATCGCAAATTTCCTTATATTGATGGCTTTTACCGAAGCAAATCAGCATTTTCGTTCAATGATTTCATATCACATCTGGAAAGAGCCAAGTGCTGTGAAGGTTACAAGTATATGAATAGTGAATGTTTGGTGGTGGATTGGACCATAAGTTTTGATAGGTAACTTTGGCTTACTAGGTTATAGCGTATAAGTCTACCTATTCGATCCTAATATATCAGACTGAAGTTTGCATGCTCGTTTTGTTCAATACATTCAGGATCTTATCAAACTGTTCCGTCTATATTCAGGTTAATTTCATCATATAGAAACTCTTCCGAACACATAGTTTATTTCATTTCCTTTTATCATCCCATTCTTTCTTTTTTATTTTTACTAAAACTATGCACTAGAATTCGTGGAATTCATAGAAAGCACCGCTTATCCTAGATCTATTCGACTTTGTAATGTCACAACAATCATCGTTAGGGAACAAAAATCCTTCCTTGCATAAAAATTTTGCACAGCCTTTATAATCTAAAACTCAGGTTACTGGCATTACTTTTCTCTTTAACCAATAACCGTAGATCATATATAAGCTAGCTAGCTAATTCAAGGTAAGAAAGTCAGTGTTCAGTTTACCTTCGAACAGGAAACAGGAAACCTTCAAACATGGTTTTACTTCATTTAGTTATTACCTACTGTCTGTGTTTTGATTTTTTCACTACTGAAATTTCACTGCGTCATGAAAACTATTCCTTTTTTTTTGAATAAATATAGAAAAAACACATGGAACTTGTGTAAAACCGGGTACTATTTGTCAGGCCTGTCTCGTTCACGAGGACAAAATTTGCACAATATTGAGAAAGCGTGGTGTTGCAAGCCCAGAGGGGCGCCGAATTCCTACAAGTCCTGCTACAATGAGAACGTTTGGACTAAATTCGACTACAATAGGCAGGGGATGGTGTCGTGCTCAAAACCTGGTCATTATATAACTGGTCTATACAGGTCCACTTGCGACCTCCTGTATTGTATCGAGGAATTCAAATGCTGCGAACTGTAGATTTTTTATTTCAATAAGGTTAGTAATTCGTGTAGTATAACTGGTACGTCCTCCTTGGGAGTTGTGCATCGTTGCATGTGCGTACTAAATGACTGTATGTCTATATGACCAAAAACTGTTAACTAAGTGACCGAAAACTAGTCTAGTTACACAGTTATCACATCCCTATAGATTACAAGCTCAAACTTAAAAGTGAATGACTCAAACTTAAAAGTTCATATGTAAATTATTTTCTAATTTGCAGTTCCACCACTTGGGATATGCGTGCGCATGCGTGGAGTTTGATGAAGAACTGCTTTTATCAACATTTTCGTGTTATTTTAGTAAAACCTTTAACTGAGGTTCAGTGACGTAGCTATAGTAGCGTTTTGTGTCCTTCCCGATAGGTGATTATTTTTCAGATTCATAGGAAATGGATTTGTGATATGTCTAATCGCAACTTGTTGTTTTATAAAAAAATTAAATAAACACGAAGAGTTAATCTCGCGCGTGAAGTCAAATAACACTCGAATGTAGCCTAATTACAATGTAGCCTGGCAGCGTCTTCAAACAACTTCGCGTCAAATGTGGTATAACAACTGCCTGAAGATGACAAAAAACCTTTTAATTTTTCGACCTAGCTAGGGCTTTCCTCAGGGGAGAGTAGCTACATATTTTGCCTATATGGGTGCCGAACCCGTGATAAAGATAATAGGAAAGAGGAAACAAAAAATGAAAAAAAAAATTGGAATATCATTATGTTGCACACGCAATCGAGGAAACCTGATTTGGCACAATAAGTAACATTACAATTTGTTATGATGAAAACAAAGAAATAATTACACTTTCCCTGTTTATATTATGTTTAGTTTTTAGACTCGACAGGCTTGATTTCATTTAAAATACAACAACTGTAACCATTAGTAACATGTAAAACCATGCTGGAATTTCTCTCATTGCATTTAAAACAGAAATTTAAAACTCTAGCCTTTCTCCACAAGAACTCTGCCTAGGGATGTTTAAGGGATGTTTTTCTATTTGAAAATATTTTTTCATATAAACTCGTCGAAAAAGATTAAGTTAAATAGAAAAATGCAGCATTTCACCGCAAGTTCGGATGGTCTGTTGATGATGGCGAACTTCTCCCGAATTTTAAAGCGGAGGTTCTTGTTCCTCAGCCGAATATTTTTCTCTCATATAAAATCCTTGGAAAAAGGTTTGAGTAAAATAAGAAACTGTGTCTTCGTGTGCATGCTTGTACTCTGTGCTGACTGTGCACCAGTCCAAGATATAAACAAACTTTTAAATGTTCTTGATTTACTTCATTTCTTAACCATATTCATAAAGATTTTGAGAGCAGTTTTTGGGAGAGCAAGAGAAGTAGAGTTATTTAATAAGACTTGGTGTGCAATTATATTTATAGCTGTGAATTTACTTGCATATGTTGAAACATTCTGATAAAACTACCGAGTTAACTACCATTTTCTCTTAAATTTTAATTTGTCCCTTTAACTCGAGAGTCTACTTTATAAAGGATTCTACTTATACGACTTCGATCATTCAACAGAAACGAATATTATTGAATTTCAGTGATGGAAATATATGTTTATTGCTTCAGGTGAGAAGATTTTGCATCATTGCATGAATGTATTTCTAGTATGCATATAAATTAATAAGGAATATGCATGAGAAAAAGGAACTAAGGAACCATAATAAGCTGTTCCACTAAAAGGCAAAAGAGATCAAAAGTATCAAACAACGAGGATGACAAGGATCGTACATCCCAAGAAACTCGAGGTCGATCGGGATAAGAATGTAACATTCCAGAAGTCATTCTTTTCTAGGTGCGCGAGTGTATTGCATGTTCTTTCAATTTCCAAAAGGGCTGACAACGAAGAACATAAGCTTTTGTCGATTCAAAAACGATCTCTATAGCTATTACCATTCGGCCTTGAATATATATGACGCGGAAAATCCTAGACTTGGAAGTCTGTAAATAAAGTAAATTAAATAACCATAGCCATTTGTAGCAATATTCACTATCATTATATTTATTTAATTTATTTTATAATATGCAGGGTTTTATTGACGAATCCGCCATTTTGAAAAACGATAATAACACATGTGCAATTATCGTGTTTGATCCACCGAATCTGGAATAAAGAAGGGGGATAAAAAACTTTTCAAAAAAATCAGCAGTAGCTGCTATACAAATTAATTATTTGCTGCAGTTTGCAGAGTCGTGCACTCTGTCTTTATATACAATTTATATACTTAAGTACTACAACTACAAGTTATTCCGCTTATTCCGCAGTTTGAAAAACTACCATCACAGTTCATCAATCATCGTCACCCCGTTACATGCATGGTAATATTTATAACTATATACACGATATCACAACACAAACATGACCAAAAATCACAAAATTTGCATGGCTTATGTTATGGCTTAAAGTTTACAAACGAATACGATAATTAAACTTGTTTTAGCTAATAGAAACCGTCTATACTGACGATTGCGAACCGTACTCTCGTTCAGTTAACGAGGCTACTCGATCGTACGTTTAGGCCTAGGTTAAACATCGCATTTTAGTCGCGAAGAATGCAATTCAAACAATAGATAATGAGATGGTAAACCTGATTAAGCTTCATTACCATCTCATTGCCTGTTGTTTGAATTGCATTCGACGCGACCAAAATGCGACGTTTAACCTAGGCCTCAGTACAGTGCAGGTTAACTAATGAGACGAATAAATTTTCATTATGACTTTGAAAAGGGATTTTGGTAAAAATAAATAAATGTAGCCTTTAACACCAAGTGCTGATGCTCCAGTAGCTTAATTAGAAATTTGCAGAGATGCGTCGTGCGCGTACTATCTTTAATTATCTACGTTTGATCATAAACCACTACCTTTATTTATGCACAATGGGCACTATATTGCATAAAGGCGATTCTCCATTAACGTCCGCTTCACCCGCGCGGGCGAAGCGCCTTTTGAAATTCTGTCCATGCGACCGTGACCGGCCTAAAAAACAAAGCGCGCTTCGCCCACGCGGGCGGAGCGGAGGTAATGGAGAATCGCCTTTAAATCAAGATTGTTTTTTATTCACATCATTTCTTAACTAAATCAACCTGTTTTAGCTTACATTAAATCTGTAAATGCAGTGAGTGAAAAAGACACTTACGGTTGATAAACATACTTGAACCGCCATTAGAAAACGATGAAAAGTCAAATTTAGAATAAAGAAACCCCGCGCAGTCGCAGGGAACTAATAATAATCCCACAATCACCACATAGCGATGTCATATATACTAAGCCTCTGGCTTTTGGAGTCACATCCACTGCGTGACACGCCAATCTCGCTCTCTCGTCCTGTTTCGAGGAAAAAGGCTCCTCTTGCAAGTTTGATTATGGCGCCGTAGTTGTCGGCTTCTCGCACGTCTTAAGCGGAAGGAATATGGCGTAAAAGAGAAGATTTAGGTAAGTTAGAAAAAATATATTTATAGCTGTTGATTTCAAGATACTTTGGCCAAGTGGTGAAGACAGTAGTCGTGTTATTACGTCTCGATCCCATAAATATCGTGCTAAATATCGATTTTTTACCATGTAAAAGGCGTGATTTTGGAAATGATATATTGAAAGGGTATTCAGAGGTAAAGGGAATGTTGAAACCACTGGTTGAAACATTCTAATTAATCTACGAAATGAAATACCATTTTCCTCAAATTTCATTTTGTGACCTGTGAAATCAGACTTAACTTTATTGATCGTAAAAAATTGGACCGTGACCATTGGCTTCACCTGGGCCACATATAATTAGTTTATGGTAAGGTAATACTTCTTTGCTCAAGGCGTCCCATATCTGCGATATTTTATAGCGTCAACACAAATGGTTGATATTAGGTTAAAGTTGAGAATATAAGGTACAGTTACTTGCGTTTTGGACAAGAACATAATTCATCATAACTCATTGAGGTCATTAATTTATGTACAATCCTTCGACAAAAGGTTTAATAAAATAAAATAGGATTCGTAATTCGCTATTTGTTTTGCTGATCTAGTGGTGAGGCAATGCTCTGCCCGGTTCAAAACTGGAGGTTCGAATCCTACTATACTGCTTTTCATTATTAACTTCGTGAAAAAGACTATGAAATGACATAACCATAGCCGTTCAGGACAAAATCTTTTAGCCTAGTGACTAAGACAATGGCCTCCCAAGTGGTATCTCGATGGTTTGAATCCTACCATAACCATTTTTCATTACGAAGTTCGTGAAAAGGATAAAGTAAATTAAATAACCATAACCGTTCAGCAAAAGATCTTGTAGTTTAATGGCGAGGAAAATGGTCTCCCAAGTGGTTGCTATCTCGATGGTTCAAATCCTACCATAACCATTTTTCATTATGAACTTTGTGAAAAGGATAAAGTATATTAAATAACCATAGCCGTTCGGCAAAAGATCTTGTAGTTTAGTGGCGAGGTCAGTAGTCTTCCAGGTGGTATCTCGATGGTTCAAATCCTACCATAACTATTTTTCATTATGAACTTCGTGAAAAGGATAAAGTATATTAAATAATCATAGCCGTTCAGGACCAAATCTTGTAGTCTAATGACTAAGACAATGGTCTCCCAAGTGGTAAATCGATGGTTCGAATCCTTATAAACCCTTTTTCATTATGAACTTCGTGAAAAGGATAAAGTAAATTAAATAACCATAGCCGTTTAGCAAAAGATCTTGTAGTCTATTGGTTAATACAATGGTCTCCCAAAAATGTGAAATAAAGAAAGTGGTAAATCGATGGTTCGAATCCTACAATAACCGTTTTTCATTATGAACTTTGTGAAAACGATAAAGTAAATTAAATAACCATAGTCTTTCAGCAGAAGATTTTGTAGCCTAGTTGCTAACACAATGGATTTCCAAGTTGTAAATCGATGGTTCGAATCCTGCCATAACCGTTTTTCAGTATGAACTTTGTGAAAAGGATGAAGTAAATTAAATAACCACAGTCTTTCAGCACAAGCTCTTGTAGTGTTGTGGTCAAGATGTTAGTCCCATGTGTTGACAGTCAAAGGTTCGAATCTCGTTTTCGATGAAAATTTTCGTTATTTATACAATGTGGTAAGTTTATGGTGAATAAATTGGTGCAGGCTTTCAACAATCACCAGTTAGCACTGTGGTAAAATCGTGGACTATCAAGTACAAGATCGAGGTATCAAGAACAGTATGGTACGTTCCTAATGGCGGTGGAAGGGAAAAGAAAAAGAAAAGAAAAAAAAATTGGTAGGTATGTTGCTCGGGGAAGGTTTGTACTCGATTAATCTTTGCAAATCAAAATTAATCTTTAGGGAAATCAGGGGATAGGTAGGGTGAATGAGGGGTATATGGGTACAAAAAGACTTAGTAATTGGGTGGCCTCGGCTCCCGGGGGAAGGAAAAGGGTATAGGTGAGAAAACAGTATATAAAATGTTTAAGTCTTTTTGTACTCATTTAAACCTCTTTACCCCTATTTATCCTCCTATTTACTCCTATCTATCCCTACTTTTTCCTATCCTCACATACCCCCAACTATCCCCTAACACAATTAAATGTTTGAAGAAAGCTTGCTTTGAAAGTCAGGAAAGCCGGGGGAAAGAGAACCCCCCTCAGTCTACTCCTCGCCCAAGGCGAGGGCATATTCGCCCTCTCGCTCTACTCCTCTCACACTCACAAATTCTCACTTTATTACCTTGTTCTTTTTTGGTTTGTCCAGGGCTTGAACCATCGACTGTATTCTTGGCAG